TTGTTCCGTATTTTCTTTATTACCTGTTATGCACACCCAAACTTAACCAAACCTAATCTGATCTTACCTAACATAACCTGACCTAATCTAACCTAACTTAATCTTACCTAACCAGACCTGCCTTGACCTAACCTAACCTTCTCTCCTGTGTTTACCCTCCAGTAGCCTCAGTTCACAACTCTCATCATCTAAAACAATCTCATCACTTATCTTATATTTTTTATGTACGTTGCTCTTTCGTTTTTACCTTTTACCGTCCGCCCTCTAACTCTTTATTTTTTGGCAGTCGTAACCTGTCACTGTGTACCTACTTGTGTGCTGCCACAGACTCTTAGATTTAATTATCACTTAATTCAGACCGGAGAAATAAAATACTTTACATAAGCTACGGCATAACCTTGGCGGCTAAAATAGTGTTTGTTTTATTTACATTTGAAATGTTAGATCAAGGAGTTCGTAATCTTGTTGGGCATCCTAATTAACACAACTAAGTGTCTCTTCTGACAGTTCATTACGTTAGGACACAATTTCAACACATCCTGGATTTACATAAACTATGCCTGAGCTCATCCAGGAACTGTATAGTGCTCAAGGTTAACCATCCGGAAATACTCCTGGCTGGCACCCGGGCGGTTGCTTCTTCCCCATACCAAGGATCACGGTTGAGCGAACCCATAGAGTTGGGAAGATAAAATTTTAGAAATCATCGGAACCAACTTAAATTACCGTCGTTTTACTGACATCTAAATATTGTAATAAAAACTGGCAGTTATAAACACTCATGCAAGAATTGAATAAGGTAAGAGAAAGTTGAACATTATATGTGAGGCAGTTGTTGACTGAGTGAATTGGTTGATTAATTTTATTTTTGGAATTCATCACAAGTACTGTACAATAAAATAAAATATAGGTATGGACAATAATTACAAGTAAACATTTATCAATTATGTAACGGTAGAACTCTGAGCACAACACAAAAAATTAGTAAACTTATTTCCATTGTAAAGTTAACTGAGATCATAAGGAAGTGTCAAAGACGCTGGAGTACCTTTAGGACAGATGCAAATCAATATACAGTACTCCACCTCCCCTGCACACTCAGAGTGGGTGTGCAGTAATTGGGAACCTGGATGTTAATCGATTTGCGGATCGTGTTCCGGGATAATGGTTAGCCAGTGCAGTTGGCGAATTGTCCGGTCTTCTCGGACTATTCCTTGACACTGGGTCATGCAACTCGTTAACTCAGGGTGTGGTTGTTGTGTTGGCGACAGCTTCTACACCTTAAATAAATTCACGCCTTGGTGGCCCTTAGGTCGTCCATCTTCGTTGTAGGAGGGACAACCATTATACAATGATTGTGCTTCAACTGTTATCAGTATCAGTTCCCAGGTTTTCTTTTTACGATCATCAATCATTATTCCTAGAAAACTTATTGCCCCGAGTGAGGATCGAACTCACGACCTTGAGATTATGAGACTCACGCGCTGCCTACTGCGCCATCGAGGCTTATATTTATTATAGTTATACTGTAGTTTGAGGCTTATATTTATTATAGTTATACTGTAGTTTGAATTGTTTACCAAGCAAATAGAATTAGAAATAAGTACAGTAATTTACTTCTTGATAATAGCTTTTATAATAAATATGGAACCTTTGAGCAGGTGTTGTGATGTTTTAGGTGCCTCACTTGTCAAAGTTATGAAGTGTTAGGTGCTTCAGTTGACATAATTATTTCCAGTTCCGGAATAATCAGAGATACAACTTAAAACACCCAGCTCTATTAGTCCCCCCCCCACCCCCACCATGCTTTCCTCAGTCCATGACCTCCATAAAATATCTGGTGTGAAGTTGTGGTATAACTTAACCCTCTCCACACCCACATCCGAGCAGGGACTACGCTCCCTTTCTTTAAATCATCTCTAAAAAAATATATATTGTCTAAGTATCAATATTTTTGTAATACCTACTTTATATTCCCATCCTTTTATACTACCAAAACCAGTATATCAGAAATTGTCATGTAGATAGATAAACATTAGTCACATTACCATTGCAATATTTGCCGACAAGACATGATACTGACAGCTTCTGCCCTCTTGTTCTACCTTAATACAACCCAGAGATATCAACTCCACTGTAAAATATGTATATACTCTTATATAAAACTAAAAAAAAAATCAATAATCGTGGTAACATACTGATATGTAGGTAGGTAGTAGGCAGCTACCAAACAAGGAGGTACTACCGCCCGGGAAGATATTGGAAGCATAATGTGTTGTCTATGGTAGACCCTGCTGCTATATGGCATAACGAAAATTGTGACCAAGTCCCAGGTTGCTGATCAGACTTTCTGCCTCATTTACACACAATTGCAGGGTCTCAATTGTTTCTCTTATTATTGACAACACAACATACAAATATTGTTTCTCACTATTGATTTTTTTCATTTTTGCATTTCTTTATGGTTCTTTTTATTACCATTATTATTATTAGTAGTGTTATTATTATTATTATTATTATTATTATTATTATTATTATTATTATTATTATTATTACCTCCCAGGCCGTGATGTGGGTCAGTGACCTGTGCCCGGGTGGGCTAATCCCCATAAAAAAAACTACCACCGTGTTACGTGTACTATTCCAGATGATACTGTGGGGTTCCAGATGTTTGGTTCACACTCAGGATGGGATGGAGAAAGGAAACTCACAATGTGCTCTCTATATACATGTTGTATTGGATGTACAATGCAGCTTGGTGCTGGGAAGGCAGCATGGTTACAAGCGTGATGTAGAGAGAGCTGGTTGGTGAGGACGCTCAGAGAAGGACAGCTTGTGGGTCGCCATGCTCGCCAGCGGGAGAGAGCACCGCCAGGCAGGCGGAGGAGCGAGGGCCGCCAGGCAGGCGGAGGTGTTGCTGGCTGGTTGGTGTAGGTAGAAAGAGCGACAGATCACCACGAGGTCAGGTCTTAAATAGCGGGGGTAGGCGTGGCTTAGCAGTTGACCCCCGCTCCGTGGTGTATGGCGGCGCTGGTTGACCTAGACCACGAGGCATACACTGGGGAATTGGTGGGGTCGGCTAGGCAGCGACAAACAGCGTTTGTAGGGGAGAATTCCACTACAATACTCCCCCTTCCCTCCAGGCTGTGTAGGAGACTTGTTGTCTGCAGGGTTGCATAGCACATGTGAGGCAGAACGGGCGGTGCGTGCCTCATGTGAGACAACGGCGATGGCGTGGATGAGCCGGTCGCTGGGGACAACTGTCTAGATACACAATATCTGTTGGAGTAGAGAGGGAGAATAAGGGTGTGTGGAGGCGATGAATGTTGTGCTTCCCTCACGGCAGGTACAGAGTCGTCAGATGCGCCTGCTGGGGTGTGTGGGCCTGGGTCAGGAGCAGGGGCTGCGTCAGCAGAAGCGGATGAGGGCTCGTGACAGCAGCTGGGTCCACGACAGCAGCAGGGTGCAGGACATTAGCAAGGAGTACCTGAGGGAGAAAAGAGGGGTGTGTGGGTCCGCACTCAGGAACAGAGGCCGCATCAGGGGCGGCAGGGGTTACTGCTGGGCCGGGGTCGGCGTCTGAGGCAGGACGGGTGTGCTGGGGTCGGTAGGACGTGGTGCTTGGGGCAGGAAGAGGAGCTGGTGTCTGCTTAGAGTAGCAGAGCTGCTCTAGGTTGTCTAACCTGCGGTGTAGAAACAGTAGTTGTAGAGCCGATGAGAGCTGCTTCTGGGTGGATAAGCCAGTCTTCCATGTTGCTTGAAGACTGGGAGCGTGATCAGTTTCTCCTCCATCCTGTGTGAGTGCGAATCTCCGGGGTCACCATTTGTGGGGTATGAGATGTTTGGTTCACACTCAGGATGGAATGGAGAAAGGAAACTCACAATGTGCTCTCTATATACATGTTGTATTGGATGTACAATGCAGCTTGGTGCTGGGAAGGCAGCATGGTTACAAGCGTGATGTAGAGAGAGCTGGTTGGTGAGGACGCTCAGAGAAGGACAGCTTGTGGGTCGCCATGCTCGCCAGCGGGAGAGAGCACCGCCAGGCAGGCGGAGGAGCGAGGGCCGCCAGGCAGGCGGAGGTGTTGCTGGCTGGTTGGTGTAGGTAGAAGAGAGCGACAGATCACCACGAGGTCAGGTCTTAAATAGCGGGGGTAGGCGTGGCTTAGCAGTTGACCCCCGCTCCGTGGTGTATGGCGGCGCTGGTTGACCTAGACCACGAGGCATACACTGGGGAATTGGTGGGGTCGGCTAGGCAGCGACAAACAGCGTTTGTAGGGGAGAATTCCACTACAATACTAATGTTACATAATACTTCTTTGAGATAAATGTACAGTATATATCAGGTGCCTTCAAGAGAGCTCAGGCTCTCAACTGGCTCAGTTATTATTATCCATTCTGTATCTGTATTTTTCTGGCTAAATAAATTTTAAATATCAATACCTTGGAGATGTTATGGGTTTTATTACTCAATAGATGTCTCTATGTACGGCTCTCCTGAAGCTAGAAAATAAACTAAACTAACGAAGACTCGACAATAATATTCGTGTATGCTGTATGTAATTATTAATTTTATTGTATAAATATAAATATTGAAAGCAAAATTCAACACAATTGGGAACTGAATTGTATGTTTGTTTTTTCACTATAGAAATATAAAACTTGATTGCAAAACTGCAAATTATATACACAGGAAAGAAATGTTGGATCACCTGAAGAATCATCGCCCCAACTTATTTGACCTGAAGATTAACTACGTTAATGCTAACTTAACCTAACCTAAACCTATTCTATCCTAACCTACATCTAACCTAACATATCCTAACCTAACTTCATCCTCCCAAAATAGTTTTAGGGTGGTTTAATCGTTAGGTGAAATAAGCTGGGGCGATGATTCTTTAGGTGATCCGAAATGTCTTCTATTATACATGAATAATGATCTAAAATTAAATTTTACCTTCAACGTTTTATGTTTTCGCATTTCAGGAGTAAACTAATCGGTAACTGGTAACGTGTGTTGTGTTGAGTGGCGCTGCTCGGGTACTGAACTGCACCTCAACAAAGTTTTCATAACACTCAGGGAAACATGATAGTGGCTGACAGTGCTTAATATTATATTATTAGGTGAAACAAAGCCACCACAACTGACAGAAATGTTCGCCGCCACGTTGAGAGGAGCAGCTCGACCCTGCAGACGTTTTCTGGTAAATAAAGTGTAATTATATCCTTAAGGGTGGAAATACATTGCAGGTGGACTGTGCACCTTCATTTGTAGTTGATATTGCATCATTTAATTATCTTAGTTCTCACAAAGTTTCATGGCAGATACACCAGCCTGCCATTATAATAGTCTTCTAGGTACGTAAACTGTATGTTTACTGAAGGTTGGGTATGTTCACTTAGGCTAACCTAAAATAATATACTCTCCGTAGTAGATATTTTACCGTGACTGGCAAAGTTCCCACTAACGCTATTTTACCGTGACTGGCAAATGCCTACTAACGCTATTTTACCATGAGTGCGTGCATTCTGATTGGCTAAGTACTTTCTGTTAAAAAATGATTAGGGGTGGGGGTCCGTCCCCGGCTAGGAAGTTAGGTAAAGTTAGGTGGGTTTCTTTGGTTGGTTAGGTCCTGTTCTATTAGTTTCTAGTAAACGTCACCTCCTTTTTAATGATAATATCCTTAGAAAAAAGTAACAAAATCGAACAACTCCTGGTTAGGTATGCTTATAGCTACACAACGATTGACTCTTGGCAAAATAAATGCCAAATGCCGTCAAAGTCATGGTCACATCGTTCTCACACTGTTTGCCAGTAATGGGTGATTAGCTAATTATAGTGCACTCACTGTAAAATAGCATTAATAGGAACTTCGCCGGTCATGGCAAAATATCCTGTCTATACTTTCATCCTAGGATAGGTAGGCTTGTTTGGTTCTTCTTACCTTCCATAATTCACAAATTGCAACATTTGCTGGAAGCGCTCTTCTAATCTGTAGATATACTGTACAGTATATGTAAAGGATGCTGGCACATTGCTGGAAAGCATTCAAGTGTATTGCCAAACTAATAGCCATTGGGTAAATTGCAGTAGAGGTGGAGGAGACTGGTGATTTACGAGGAAACTGCTACCACCAGAGGGAGTTGTTCGATTTCGTTCATGTTTCACAGATTATCTGATGATTGGGAATCAAAATGATCTAACTTCAGTAGCAATTCGAAACTCAGGGCATCCCTAAGATGGTATCAGCATTCTTCACTGGCTGGTAAACTCTACAGTGAACTTATTTGACAATTTTACTAAAATTAAATGAAGTTGAAGCTTTCAACATTACTCACAAAGGATCTTCAACGTTTCATCTGTAAGTAGACTTATCTAACTTAATGTGAAACATATGCATTCACATTCAATTTCAAATCTCCCAACATCATATGAGATATTAAGAGATATTAGTCTCTGAGGTTCACGAGAGAAAATGGACGTCTCAGATGGGGGACTCAATAATGAAGTTATAGCTACATGTCTTATGGGCTATTGAACGTAATATGAATCGTCTGATTTTACATTAACTATTATGTACGACCATGGTCAGTTCAACTGCAGTTTTACTACTACAGTAGTTTCTTTGAATGTTTATACTGTACCTGTATACTGTACTGTATTTGTGACACACAAAAGGTGGCTAATGAACACTTCTCATACAGAATTATTGGAACACCTGATTCACAAGTGTAATTTCCTTATGCAACTGGCAGGCAATTTTCAATTGCAAAAGCAGTAGTTATCAAGGATTAATAGAAGTTGAATTTACATTGGGAAGTTCAGAGTAAGCTGTGGCCTCCACACCTTTAGTGCTTCTTTAAATTGACAAAAACCATCGCTGCTTTGTGTTATCTTTTATATTTGAAATTCTTCCTGGTAGAGCAGTTTATAAAAAAAGCTTCCAGGAAAATATACTGAAATTAATGTTTTCTCAGGAAATTAGTTACTCACTGTGAAACTTTTTTATTACAGCAGTCTCGAGGTCAACCATTAATTGATGCTGCCAGATGGAGATCACATTTGCCCTTGAACACTGTGGTTTTGTTTGTACCACAACAAGAGGTATGTACTGTATATATTTTTTAGTTTAATCCATTTTATTATTCATAAATCTTCAGCTTAGTGTTGTGTATTAGTGTACAGTAGTAATACCTGTAATGTTTATGGTGGATTTAAAACGTATTGATGGTTTGGAGAAAATTCTTGTTTTCTCCCTTCATATTTTCCATCATCTTGAGGTATCATTTATCTTCCACCACCACTTTGGCTATCTACCAGAAATATTTACTTCTGTATAGTCCCCCCAAAAAGTATAGTTAGATTTTAAATTGCTACAATTTGAAACGTTAAGACGAAATGCATTGATATGATCCCGAGTGCATCATCATGGTACACCTGCTTGCCATATCAGCAACAGCTAGAAATGGGGGGAGGAAGTCATCTTTGTATGGCATACTAGAGTACATGCAGGGTATATGTTTCATTTGAAAATGTATACGGTATACAGTACTGTACTCATCTCATACAGAAAACTCATATCAAATAACAATGACTCCAAATGGATAAATAATAATTTAAAGAATATTATTGGACAAAGAAAGGCTATAGGTAGGGGGGGGGGAGGGATTTTTATTTGTGTTAAAAAAATGTATACTATTCCCTTTATGTGTTTGTCCTTACGACAATTATTTCTTTTACCTCCCTCCCGCCCACAACCAGTTTTAGTCTGATCCATGATATTATACACTGTACTGTACTGGAAGTAACCCTCTTACATTCAGTCACATACCAGTAAGTCTGTTTCATTATTCAACATCATCACAACAAATTTTGCTCTTATTTTCACAGACACAGCTGGTTTTCCTCCCTCTACTTCTCCCCAGCTCCTAATCCTTTAACCTTCAGCTTCATTTTGCCCAAAATTAGTACAATACTGTACTGAACATTATACAGTATGGGTATTATTTTAGGTATTCCCTACGGTTTAGAAGACAGTGCAGTCTGTGGAAGACATACCAACATCTGGGTCACTGTCATATAATAATGAATTAATTCTCTTCTTTATTACAGGCTTGGATTGTTGAGCGAATGGGCAAGTTCCACAGAGCGTTAGAACCAGGTATCAACCTATTGATCCCTGTGTTAGATAAAGTCAGATATGTACAAAGTTTGAAGGAAATAGCGATTGATGTACCAAAGCAAGCCGCTATTACCTCAGGTATGTGTGTTTATATGTGATAAAAATGTTACTTAATACAGTATACCCTGTATAAAAACTCTAGCATTTGTTGTGGTATCCTCTTACAGGTAGTATCATCATAGTTGTAGTGGATGATAGCTTATTGTAGTGAATGGTACAGTATTGTCCAGGTGAAAAGGTACAGAACTATGTATGACTTTGATCTAAACATAATTGATAGCTGTATAGATAACATATACTGTACAGTAGTAATGTAGTATATACCTGTACGTATTAACAAGCTTCTGAAGATCTCTCTAGTTCACAAACTTTTGGTATGGACTGTACAGTAGTACAGTACAGGTATATGTGAAGTTTGCAAACTTGTATACTGTACAGTGATATCTCCGTTAGCCAGAACAATTGGTGCAGAGCACTTCCGGGAATGAGAGATTTCCGGGTAACGAAACGACTCTCAAAGCTGGAAAAAAATCCCTCATCCCCAGAATTTTCCGGGTAATGGAAAAATGTTCTCGGAAGTTCCAGAAATTGCCCATTACATCATCAGTCGAAACCCAGAATAAAAATCCCTCATCCTCGGAATTTTCCACCCCTCGTGTAACGGAAAAATGTTCTCGGCATTTCCAGAAAATGAGCCTGATTTTAATCTCTCAAACCCGGGAAAAAAATCCTCCATCCCCGGATTTTTCTCAGAATTTTCCGGGTTCTGGGAAAAATTTCTTGGAAATTTCCGGGAAATGTGCCCCTCGGAAAATCGTTCCCAAAGCTGGAATTTTCCGGACGATTTTCCGAGAAATTTTCAATTCCGGTTATCAGAGAGTTTCGAGTTTGAGGGATTCCGGCTAATGGAGATATTACTATACTTGTGTTTGGATCCACAGGTCATAAAATAAATTATCCAGGTTAAACATAAGTACAAAGCTAGATTTAAAAATACAATACTGTAAATGTGGAAAATCTTTCATATGCAAACCATCCTCAGTATTGGTGAATTTTGGGTGTTAAAAAGTAAATCGTTCATTTGTAAATATGGTGTTACATTGGCTGACATTTGCAAATGACAACTTTACGGTATTCCTAATTCACTTGACAAGTGTGAGCAAAGATTGTTGTTAAATAATAAGATGTGATTTTATTTTCATTTCTGTAACTACACTGCCATGTGTATGAAAATAAAAAGCACTAAAGGTTAACAAATCTATGATGTTGGTTGCTATTTGAGAGTTAACTGCCATGTAAATTCTTATGTTAATTTAAGTAATAGGATAGTGTTCATTAGAATTATTATATGACCTTCACAGACTGTTAATAAACTTATTTAAATCTTTCTAGATAACGTAACACTGAGTATTGACGGTGTCCTGTACCTTCGAATCCTCGACCCTTACCGAGCAAGTTACGGAGTGGAAGACCCAGAGTTTGCTATCACACAACTTGCGCAAACAACTATGAGGTAAATTTTCATTATAAGTCGCAGTACATATCACAAGTATAAGATTTAAGAAGTAATAGCAGTACCTTACAGGAATTAGACTGTATTATGCAGTACCTGTACTTGTTTGCATTGGTTTGAGTTAAGCAGATACTTCGGGGGGGGTGGGATTTTTACTTTTGTACAGAGAAATGTATATGTGTGTGTGTGTGTGTGTAAACACACACACATACACACACATATATACAATACAGGTACAGTATAGGCAAAGGAAATTACTGTCTCTAGAACGAATGGCTCCCTGTCCTGGCCACGAAAATGCCGACAACTTTAAAACTACCCACAAACATTCTTGGGTACATCCAGGGTGTCATCCACGAATAATAGAGGACCACAAAATAAAAATCCGTGAATTATCCGGGCTTTCTGTAAAAGTAGTTGCTCCTTCTTAAATTCATTTAACTTTATGTAAAACATTACATTTTAAATTCAAAATCCTTTCACAAAATTATCTTTCTGTTGTATTGTGTAGCCTTGTATTAACAATTTTTTGGTATAATGTGAATATAATTGATCACGGTTTGTTCTTTTTCCAGAAATTACTTTTGAATCTTGACTTTGCATTCTCATTTATTTCATAATTAACATCTGTGGTTGCCCATTTACTGATGGAAATGTTTAGTTTTGTCAGATTTTACATTGTTTGCATTGTTTGTTGTCTTTAGCTCAACCTTATAATGCACTGTATTATCTAATCTTGTGTTGTTCATACATTTGCTTTCAAGCAATTATTTATGATATTCAGGTCTGAACTTGGTAAGATCTCCTTGGATTATGTGTTCCGAGAGAGAGAGAACCTCAATATGAACATTGTGGAAGTTATTAACAAGGCATCAGAGGCCTGGGGGATCACTTGCCTTCGTTATGAAATCCGTGAGTATAACTTAACCTGCCACGGCTAATGTTTGATATTGACTGAGTTGATATTTTAAATATTTTTAGGGCCATTGGCAAATATTTACATTGCTATTTTGTGTGTGTCAGTGATTATTTTTTCCATCATAAAATTTTGAAAAAGTGTAAGATTGTACACAACATATTGACCATTTCTGAAAATTAATATCAGTGAATTCTTTAACCTATGGTAAACCTCCATAAATAAAAGTGTGGTGAATACTGTACTAGACTTGAGGACAATTACTACAATAGTAGTGAAATTTTTATTAAGAAATAATATGTTTCTTTTAATGGCCATTGTTTATTTTTTTATGTATTTATTATTACTTTTGAACGAATTGAATTATGGAAGATGTACTGTATAGGGCAGGAGAGTCAAATTTTTATCTGAACATGCATCAGTATATAAAGTAACCCACAGTTCCAGAGTTCTTGACCACCTTGTTTTATTTAATTATGTTTCTATGATTAGATGCATTTTTCAAATGAAAATTACAGTATGATGGATTGACCTGTACACAATTAATTGATGACATAGGAATTTTCTTACAAATGTCACACATGATATTTGTCATTACAGGTAGGTGTCCCTCGTTTAGCATTAATTCACTTATCGCTAATTCTCTGTTGAGATAAAAAAATACACCCTTTCTCACTTAATGTTAGTTCAAAATTCGGTTTGGCAACAGTTTGTCTCATTGGGAAGATGGAAGATGGGGATAAGGTGGTATGTGAGATGACATGTTGCCAGTGTTACATGTAATGAAACTATAAAAGTTGTGGAAAAATCCTTACAATACTGTACTATTATGTGGCTTAGAAATAAAGAAAATATAATATAAAAGTATAAAATAAGAAAATGTAAGAGTATGGGTGTGTATGTGTGGGAAGTGAACGTATGTGTAGGGGCGGTGGCCTGTAACTGTGTCACCAGCCCGACCACACTCCCTCCCCTCATGCTGGAATTCTTGCAAGATAGCGATTAATTTGAGTGTAAATATCCCATACCGGTAGTTTGCACCAGAGATAAAATTATTAGTCTTTTAGCTTAGTACATTTGAGTACAAAGTGAGTACTGTACAGTAATGTGTTCAAAAGTATGGCTTTTTAGTAATAAACTTAATACATTTGAGTATAGGTTGTGATAATTGTAATGATTTTTCCACAACTTCTGTAAATTCAGTTGTCTCTGAAGATGTCTTGAATAAACACAAAAGCTAAGGTGCTCCAGTGTTTCCCTTTTCCTGTGTGGTTTTATCAAGTACAGTATGTTAGTAGTAACAGTTTCCTAAATACTCCCTACTAAAATGGGGCCTGTATCTTATATGGTGTTTTTTTTTTTAATATTATTATTTTTAATGTATTTAGTACATTCGCTGTTGGCTGAAGTAGGTTTTACTGTATCATGTGTGTGTTGTTTCCGTAGGTGTGGGCCTATTTACGGAACTATTTAGCGAACTAATTCACGAAATCGGGCGAAAATTATGGAAAAATGCTTTCTGCTAAATCGAGAGTTTGTTATATCGGATTCTGTTAAATCGAGAGTACCTGTATACTGTACAGTAGGGTCGTGATATATAGCGACTTTATATAACGATTTTTTTATATCGCGGCTACCGAATTATCGACATTTTCCTATATACAGGAATATAGCGATAATTTTTTTTTTTTTTCGCGAGGGAAATTGGCAGGAAATATTTTAAATTTATTACGACTACCAAAATTATTGACATTTTCCAATATATAGCGTTAAATTTATTTACAGTAGACACGACTTACATGGGGTTATGTTGCTGGAACCTCACATAAAGCCAAAAACCGTATAAAATCAGAAACAATCCTAAAAATCACCTAAATCGTCCCAAAAATACGATTTGAAAAATTGTACAGTATAGTAAGCCTGCGCTAAACGCCGTCACGCTTAACTTTGTTTCGGTATTACGTCGCTGAACTTTAGAGACCAAAAATTCATTTAATGTCCCGGTAATCCGATACTATGCTGTTTTACGTCGTCACAGACTACATTTTACGGTGCTTCACCCTCTCTTGTCTGGCCTCACTATGCTCTCTCGGCTTGGCGCAGAGTCAGTGACTCACCACCCTCCTCCTCTCCTGCCCTCCTCCGCTCCCACCCTCCTCCTCCCCTCCCGCCATCCGCCTCCTTTGCTTCACTACCCACCACACACTCGCCCTACCACCTCCGCCTGTCGGTGAGTACCAATACAAACTTATTAGTTGTATATTTATGCATTATTTTCTATAGAAATGACAATGATTTTTTGTATATGTAATGTATTTCATGGGGCAAAGGGAGGCTCAGGAACGTAACTCCCGTATTTTATCTATTTCTTATGGGGAAAATTGATCCGCTTTATGTTGTTTTGTATAACATCGCGTTTTTGGGAACGTAACCTCGACATTAAGCGAGGACTTGCTATACTTAAATGTACTCTAAAAGACTAAAAATTTTATCTCGTGCAAAATATATTATGTCTATACAGGGTGTTCAAATTATTTGCTGTCTTGCAAGGATTCCAGCACTGCAATTTATATTCTGCTAACTTTAGACTGTGCCATTTTATGTCAAGTTTAGTCACTTTTATTGGCCTCCAGAACATAACCCTATTTTCCCCATTGATTGCATGTAATTATATGTCGCAATTTAGTATATAGCGAACATCCTTGGACCCTGTCTCGCGATATATCCCGACCCTTCTGTATTATTGTATCTTTATAATTGCTCATGCTGTAGTTAATAAATAAACATTCTTTAGTAATTTTGTACAATTTAGATCACAAATTAGGTTATTAAAGAGTAGAAACTTATGATTTAATTGTAAAGAATCATTATTGCAATTGGTTGCTTCTCAGCGCTTGCAGGAATGTAAACTCAGGGTCTCTCAAGCTTCCACATTATTTTGTTATGTTCAATGTTTGTTTACATTGATAATATCATAACTGATTTATGTTATTGCCATTCAGGTGACATCAAATTGCCACAGCGTATACAAGATGCTATGCAGATGCAAGTAGAAGCTGAGAGGAAGAAACGTGCAGTTATTCTGGAATCTGAGGGAGTGAGGGAAGCAGAGGTACTGTATACTTATAAGACCTGACCAGACATTATACATACTGTAACTGTACAATACAGTATATTCAAGAAACTTCATGCCATCATAGTGACCTTTAAACTACTGTTTTTGACTTCCAAATTAATGAGAAAATTTTAAAACCCATATTGAAGGAAAATGATAGAATGAAATATAGAAGGACAGTTAATTAGGATGAACACTAAACATAGGTCAATTTCAAAACATTTCTGTACCAGGAAAGTGTGATAAAAACTTGCCTGTTGTCAAATTTGATTGATGTTTTTTCTAGTGGTGATAATTCAGGTTTTATTTTGGGAGGTTTTCTTCTTTACCATTTCTTTGTATACCAGAGATGGAGTATTTGTATTCAAAGACATCAATATTCAGATATCAAGTATTTGCATTCCTATTTGTATCCTCGGGCAAAGTATTCATATTCGTAGGTTAACCTAACAGATAATTATTGTTTTATTGATAGAAACAACCTTATATATGGCTGTTGAATGAATTTATTTTGGACAAACGGAAAGAGTTTTTTTGGGTGTACAATCGTCTTAATAAATCTGTGACACGAGTCACCCGAGAACCTATATGTTATGCAATAAAATTAAATATTTAAACAGACTGTTAGTAAATAACATGCAACTCTCAACAGTCATTACTGTGGTGAGTAGGCTACTGTTGACGTGTTCGTATCATGTGAGATGTATGTCTGTATAATGCCAAATTATAGCTCAAAATTATTGTTTGAACAGTAATTTCAGACTCCTATTTGAAATTAAATTTCAATTTTATGTATAGCATAGTTGTTGTTATAGGCAATTGGAAAGAAAAAAATTAGTTTGTGCCAAACATGTACTATCTACTGTATGTACACTTAATAACTTTTCAATTGCTAAATGGTGGCAACACTGCCTGCCTGCAGCCTAGAAGTTAAAAGTGTAGAGTACATTTAGTATAATAACCAATGGTGGTAAGTTGTTTCTATTATAATTACTAGGAAAGTATTAATATACGGTATACTGTAAATATGTTTACAGTGGACAGATTTGATACTGTATATGTATTGAATGCCAATCATAAAATCAACCACTACAGTATATACCATATTTATAGCAATAAAAAGTTGTGTTTTTAACCAATAGTATTCATTAATACATTCATGAATACTTTCATAAAGTATTCTTATTTGCAGTGACACTTTTTTGTGTGTGTGTGTTCTTAGAAATTAGAAGTACAGGGATACTGTATTTGTATTTGCATTCGAATACTGAACTCTTGTATTCATGCAATCCCTGTTGTGTACCCAATATCACATCTCAGATTCTGTAATATTATAGCTGTATCATGCTTGCCTCTTACCATTGCAAGCCAGATTCAACTCCCAACTTGGTTTAGGTATGAGAAAAGTGTTGTCCAGTGTGATCCCCATCAAATAATGCAGCTTCCAGTGTATCATAAGAAATCACATTTTATGATGACTTAAAAATTTGCAGAAAATGAAAGTCAAAGCTTGATCTTCGTCATGCTGTATAAACAGAGACAGTTTGAAACATGTGAATTTAGTCATCTTAGGTTACAGGTATATTGGATTGGATTAAACTACTTTTTATTTAAAAAAAAAGTTTTTCCACAAGGATAAAGTCTCCTGTCTGTAAACTTGTCAAGGATCTTTGGGAAAGTTGGGCTCTGGAAGGAAATGTTATACAGTAATGGTATTGATCTTGCAAGTAACTCATTTCTTCCACTCTCAGACAATGGGGTTTAATATTTAAATTCTTCTCTCTTTAAGAGCAACTGTCCCCACTATAAGGGATTATATCTGCACAGTATTCTTATTTATTATGTTGATTTAGATATACCGTAATATGATCTACAGTTTTTGTTATCAGAATCATACAAGGTTATCATAATTTTGTCCAATTCTCCTATATTAGTTTGTGATAGTATCTGTTTCTTTATTTTCAGATTAATGTAGCAGAGGGTAAGAGACAATCCCGTATCCTGGCATCTGAAGCTGACAGGATTGAACAGGTGAACAGTGCTGAAGGTCAGGCTGAAGGGCTGTCAATTCTCTGTAATGCTCTCATCCATAAACAAGGTAAGTAGCAGAAGTAGATTAAAATAATTTAACTGGTTAACTGGCATCCAGAATAACTTGTACAGCATCCAGTATATAATACTAGTTTTATTCAGTATTATCGTCAAACAAGTTTACATTGATTCAGCATATACGAGAAAATAGACAATGCAGTTACACAGTGCAGGTAAACAAAATGTTTGTTTAGATAGTGCAGATATTCAAACAGTGGTAAACAGTAAGGCAATTCGACCAAGAATAGCCTACAAAATCATCTGATACTTGTTTCCAGTAGGGTTCAGTAGTGTATACAAGACTAGATGTTAATACGTATGTACTGTACTTTTTCAGAGTATTTACCTTAATATCTACTGGACACATTATGGTAATCTTTTGATGCCTAGCAAGTTGCTGTATTATATGAGAGACTAATTTGTGTGTTCATAAGATGGGTATTTGAAAATCACAAGGCAAATGGATTGTTGTGAAGACTTGAGATAGTGTGAAAATATTATTTTCTTGTATTGTAGTCAAAATATGCTAAATATAGAAAGATATGTAAGTTTTTATGGTTTTTGTTGCATCTGTTTCATATTATTGAGTTGGGAATGGAGAGTGCATCTTAGATAAATAAATAGGATGGATTGTGTACTACAGTTTCTACAAACAGAAACTTAGGAATAAAAAATTTACTAGTTCTAAAATTATTTATTCAGAAAAAATAGTTTTTGAATATGAATGACTGATTTATTGATGTAATATGTAAAGAAAAGGGTGGAATGAAAGAGTGAAATGACTGTAAGGGTCAAATAACAAAGTAGTGATAGAGGGATGTAAGTCAAATAAGAACACTTATAAAGGGGTTTCGTGAAATATCGATCACTGTACAGTATTTTAAAATGTTTTGAAGAAATTACACTACAGGAATCTATTTTGTAATCAACAGAGACAGTATGAAAGACAAGTGTAAAGATTGTCCCAAGTTAAAATACCTTTTAGGGTATTATTTATGTTACACATACAGTATAGCACATACATTTCAGTAGTTTTGTTATTTCTTTTCGTAATGATTAAAGGTATGAATCTTTACAGAATTGACCTCTTTACTGTACACATATTCTAATTTTGTGTCTTATAATGTATTATGTATATTTTCATTGAAAGTCTAATTTGGTCATTATATATTTTTCAGGACTGAATGCAGCATCTTTATCCTTAGCACACTCATACATTGAGGCATTCCAGAATTTGGCTCAAAAGAATAACACTCTTATATTACCATCCAATGTGGCAGATGTCTCAGGAATTGTTGGATCTGCAGTTAGTGTTTATAAATCTTTGGCAAAGACTTTACATGTTAATGATGAACGCAAAGGAGAACCAGAGGTTCCAATACCAGAAAAGGAGGATGAAAAGGAGTCGCAAAAAATATATGATTAAAAATTTTTGGGAAGTGTTTGATGAACAAGTGTTGCAGCTTAAGTACATGTACTGTACTTATAAATTTTTCTTCTTTTCTGAAACGTTATCTTTGTGCCTGTACTGTACTTGAAGTATAATATAGTGGTGTATACAGACATTAATTGTAGAATGATGTTTTAAACAGTTATAATTCTCTGATCAGCAACAGTCCAACAATAAAATCTACAAATCTTTGCTACAACTTTGTGAATTATACCATACTGTTTTAATAATTTTCCAGTGAATTTTTACTTTGTGCTATGAATAAAACACATGGTTTACTCTGTAATTGAATTGAATAAATATAAGGAAACCCTAAAGTAGGTGGATTCAAACCTACTCTAACCTTAACCCTTGGGCTTTGAGCTATGGTCACTATACCCCCCTCCTCCCCCCCCTTCACATGGGTATATTTGGGAACATTTAAAAAATAAATAAAATTCTAATCTTACAAACTAGCCACTCTTTATAAAACAGGAAATAAATACATATCCTTACCACAGGATGGCAACACTGGCTATGAAGAGTAGAGAATGTTCATGAAGTAGCGCGTGTAGGTATGTGACGCACTAGTAACAAGGTAAACAACTCGAATTTGTAGGCAGTACTGTATGAGGTATGAGGTACATGACACTTGTTTTACTATATTATTACTGTTAACAATCATTATTTCTGCTCCAGTAATTGATCATGATACTAGATTTGTACGTGGATAAAAGAAAAACATGAAGTGATTCAAGTCCAAGGACGAGATTTCTACATCACAAAAGCTGAGAAGTTACTGAGAGGCTCTCGTGTATGAGTGAGTGAAAAATAAATACTGTACTTGACTGGCAACATAATCTAGCCAGGCTTGCCTTTTTTATTCAGTTGGCCTGCGTAAGATCAAACCGTCATGTGACATAACATAAAGCCCTACAGATGCACGTCATATGATGTGACCCGCAGCCTAAGGGTTAATGGTGGGGGATGTTACGTAGACATTTAATATGATTGCAGTTATTATATCTCTCTCCACTTACTCAAGTACACATATAGTAATACCTCTGCAGGATAAGTAATTTACTTTTCTTTCACACCATTTAACTTCTGCTCAACATGCATCTGTTTCAAAGCAAAGTCTTGCGTTGGGTATGCCTGATGGTTAATTCTTTGTATGATTAAAACACAGTTCTTTTATACCAGAATTCTCTATTTCTATGTCTACACAAGCCAATAAGTTTTATCCAGAGGACTGAGTTATATATTTTTATTTTTGTCTTAAAGCAGCCATTTTGCTTCCATCAACTGCACTTTGTTATAACTGAAATTTGAATATATCTGTTCTCTGGAGATTGAAGGTGATATATTAGAAATTTTAAAGTAGTGTGTATAGTATTTGAAAATGCAGTTAGAGCAGCTTAGCTTCCACTTTGTCTAGAAGTTTATGTTGTTGCTGTAGTGTAATCTATGTATCCCATCTCCTGAATGATTATTCTCTCATACTATGTGCAGAGAACTGCACAACAACAGACTTCTTGACTTAAGTGGGGGGTTTTGTCTTGTGATATTGTTCACTGGATTAATTTATTAACCATCTCTATTATACTATTGAGGCATCTTGCACCAGTTATGCCCCAGTTGGTTAGGATTATACAGAATATCCATTAATTATCTGACCCATTTTAAAACTTAATTACCTCAATAAAACTACAGATAGAGCACAGTGCACATATGGAAGTTACTAGGACAAAAACAAAAACATGAGTTGTTTGTCAAGTACAGCACAGCACTGTATAATAAAACTGGCATATTCTATCTAATTTTTTTTTTAATTTTAAAATGGATCAGATAATGATTTAGAGCACCCTGTATTATTTGGGTTCAGAAATATTGGGTTCAGGTTTCCTTACTTGAGATCTACATATCTTTTTGGAAATCTTCACAGTCATCTTGGAAGCGTATCTCTGTTTTTCATTTATACTTCGGGGCGGATTCTACACTACAAATTCATGAAGATTTTTGTAGTTTCAGTGCAGTACACTGGTTAAAACAATCGACCATTTTTTCTTGGTGTTTAATAGTTTTACCAGGATCTTTATAATTTTCCATCAGGCAAATCATAAATATAACTATAGACCCTTTGTTTTGTAGCCTAATCGATTCCTACATACAATATTTACGTAGTAAATTAAGGAATAATAAAAAATTAACTCATATGTTGACTTCAAATACAGTATGTACAGTACTGTACTAGTTAAGTTGAAAAAAAAATACATATAATATATTGATCAACTTTATTAATGAAACTATAGGCACAGTGAGAATGAAGTGTCTTCCCAGGGTTTTGATGAATACATCGCAGAATGGTTAAGCCATTCGACATTTGCATGTATGGCGCTCATAAATTATTGGCAGGCCTGTGGAACCTTGGAAGGGGGACGCCATTCACTGTGTTGGGTTGTCAGATTTCATTACGCCTCGGCCAAAGCTGGGAAGCTACTTCATTCTCTCGCTGTACTTGAATACACTAAATTAACTCATACTTGGCTCATATTCTGTGATTTGCTGTTAAGCAGGACTTTCATATTACTGGCTACCAGAACACAGTTACAACAAAAGTGATTTATGGAAATTTTGCCCAAAAAAGCCAGTATGACCAATAAAGAATAGAATACATCCTCAAATGTTATCTTTAACAAATTCTTAGAACTTTCTAGTGTATTAGAACATGGCACTTAGAGAGGAAATTGTTTTCAGTGACTATTAACTTTTGGTTCCCTAGTGCAGGCTAGCAGTAATTACAATATTAGCTATCTGAGCTGAACTTAAACAAAGTCTGCCATTACTAAGGAATAATGAAGTCCGGGATGCATTCAAAGATTGAGAGAAAACCGAGGACTCAGGCCTCCTGAAGCGATGAGAAAACGGACTCCTCGACGGAGAACTCAAATAAAGAAAGTATAGCTACGTGTTTTGTGGGCTATTGAGCGTAATATGAATTGTCTAATTTTACGTTAACTGGTGTGGTCATTACAACCGCAAGGAGTGTGTGGTGATTAATGGCACGAAATCATCATCTGTACCTGTCACTCCAGATGGGGAAGCACTTCACTCTACTTTTTTACTTTTACTTTTATCCTCTTCACCACTGATCGGCTCGCTAGCCGCCCGGGCGATCGGTCACGTCTCTGTCACTCACTGTTGGCAAGTACTGGGCATGCACCGGCTCCTGAATGTACCTGAACCCGCTCCAGTGTTGGTCAAGTCTGGTCTTGAAAGAGCTCACACTCGGTGCCGTCACAACACTCACTCCGAAAAAATTACCCCTCGGTTTTCTGGACTTGCGGCTTCTTCAACCTTGAGCTGTGTCCTCTTGTGGGGCGAGCGTTTGCCAGCTCCAGGTAAGGACACTCGACTGAGTAGTGCCCCTTGAGAGGCTTATAAACCTCAACTAGCCCCCCCCCCCCTTGCTCGTCTGTAGTATAAGCTAGGCAAGGATTCTCTTGATGCAGAAATTCGAAAGTAAACAAACATTTTAAATGAAAACGTCTTAATTAATATAATCTGGTTGCTTTAAGAATATATTTTTAGCAGTATTTGTGATTTGAAGTTTCATATTAAAATCTATGTTTATTGTGAAATTATAAATAAACATAATATTCACTACATTTGAACTCGTGTATTGCTTTTGTCCTTATAATTGTTCAATGAAAATACCAAATTCTGATATGGAACTTCAAATAACATACACGAGTAAGAAATATATCCTCTTAACATTAATATACTGTACACTATGTTCATGAAGGCTATTTCAATTCAGTTGTTTTGTTTTCGCGTTTCAGGCAGACTGAGGTGAAGACAGCAGGTGTAGTTGACGTGTCAGGTAAACTTTTGGATCTTCACTTCAACATGATGCTTAAGGCTGTTATTCTCATTGGTGGACCACAAAAAGGTGAGTTTTGAATACATTTTAAGTGAGTGAATTAAACAATGATGAGTGTCATAAATGATTTAGGTGCAAATGGAAGAACAACTTAAACAACGATTCTGAAGGCGTCAGCAAGTTGTGATGAGAAGTAATAAGTATACTTTTATTTTTTACATTTATCCTCTTCACCACTGATCGGCTTCTTAGCTGTTTGGGCGATCAGTAACGTCTCTGTTACGTACTGTTGGCAAGTAATGAGCACGCACCGGCTCCTGAATGTACTTGAACCTGCTCCAGTGTTGGTCAAGTCTGGTCTTGAATGAGCTCACACCTCACAACACTATCCGGCAGATTGTTCCAAGAGTTCACAATTCTCACTCCGAAAAAATTACCCCTCGGTTTTCTGGACTTGCGGCTTCTTCAACCTTGAGCTGTGTCCTCTTGTGGGGCGAGCGTTTGCCAGCTCCAGGTAAGGGCTCTCGATTGAGTAGTGCCCTTTGAGATGTTTTTACACCTCAGTTAGGCCCCCCTTGCCCGTCTGTAGTATAAGCTAGGCAATTTCAGGCGCTCTAATCCCTCAGGGTAGCTGAGGTGCCAAAGTGCTGGCACTACTCTGGTGGCCCTCCTTTGAACATTTTCAACCAACTGACAGTCCCTAGTATATCTCGGGGACCAGACGGGGTGACAGTACCCCAGATGGGGATGCACCTCACTCTTAAGTTCGTTACGAGGAACGGACCGTCTAGATATCTGAATGCCCTTCTTATAGGATCTAATTACTATTTAGAATAATTATACCTTCGAAAATATTGGGTAAACATGTCGTTTTGAGTGTCATATGTAAACACCTGTTCTTACATTTTGCATAGTTAATAATGATATGACTAAGGTTTGCTGAGTTATAAGTACAGTACTGTAGTAGGAAATAGTGTAGTGGATATTTGATGTTAATGGAACCATTCAGAACTTGTACACTCGATAAAACACTATGCAATTCATGTGCAAACTAAAATGGGTAAATATTCGTTGGTTATTATTGACAACTGACCCACCGGCGATTTTGCATAATAAATGATTATGAAAACACCGCAATTTCACTGTTTATAGAGGACACTGTCGTAGTTTGTGCAATTTTTTTTATAATCTAACCTAACCTAAAATGTCGTAATTTCACTTTGTGTTTTATAGAGGACACTCGAAGTTTGTGGATTTTTTTTATGTTTTTTTTTACTTAGCCTTAACCTAACCTAGCCTTAACATAAATCTAGCATAACTTAACACCTGCCGCATTACCGCCAGGAATACAAAGTTGTATGCACCTTAGGTGCCTAAATATCTACCAAATGAAGCATTTGCACAAGAAATGCTTATCATATCAGTACTCTGATGAAAATATAATAAGAAAATAAATACCAAAACAAATAGCTTGTCAGCGGGTCAGTCGTCAATATTAACCTAATTGTTTAATGGCTGTGGCTCCTTTTGTTTTAAGAATAGGAAATGCCAACAATAAAATGTTGTAGTCATGCTTCCTGGTCCTTGTTTACCAGTCACAACTCGGGCCATTATTATTATATAATGATTGATGATGTTAAGCAGAATAATACGCACTAAAGTACTTATTTTTTTTACTGTACTTCCATAAAGCTGTCTCATTAATATTACATGTTTCTTTATCTTTTTCAGACATAAAATAATCCCTTTGTCTTTAGAGCATTTAATTTTTTAATAACATTTGTAAAGCAGTTTTTTTATTACTGTATTGTTGTCTCATTATAATAGAAGTGAAATTTATATTTATCAAAGATATAATATTTTTTAGAAACCTTATGTGAAATATAATAAAAAAAGCTTTGTTACTTCCCTCAGATATCATTCCATGGTTCTATACTGGTGAGTTCTTTATGAATTAGTGATGTTGAATCCTAATAGGAATTCCTTGCTTGTAGGGTATTTTGAATGTTGTTTGTGGCAGTATCACTGAATACATGTAGTTGTTGAGCCAAGTGTTGATTATCCAGGTTTCTCCACTCCTTGAAATGCCATAGATGTTATGTTATATTTATGACCTGTGAGCCTTGGAGCGATCTACAAGGTCATCACTCCAGGTGCCCCTTGGTAGAACCCACCAGTGCCAGGGTTCTCTCATGCTTTTCCACCAGGATACATTATCTATGTGGACAATGTTTATCCAGTATGCAGTCGTCTTATCGTCTTACCCAATCACCTCATGGTGAGAGGTACAGTAATGTTAAACTAGTTAAATTGAGATGCAATATCAATATGGAGAGTGGGTGTATATGGATCCCGTCTTGCTGTGAGTGATGGTATTGGTAAAATTGTCAAAGGAATTTAATTATGGCATTACAGTAGAGTACTGTACTGTACTGGATTTAAATCAAAATGCTACAATTCAGAGATGCCTTAAGGATTTTGAATCATCTTTTTAGTTTAGAGAGGGTAGCAATAAGTGGTTTAAGGGGATATCGTCTTAGCAGCAAATGGTTTAGAGGGCACTTTTCCTCCCAACATGTTGGGCAAACATGGTCCGGACCTCTAAACAGAGACATTTGCATCACACTGGGATGTTTTGTTGGCGCGTCTGCCAAAACACAACGAAAACACCAACAAAGAGTCGAGACGGGGTTCGCCATGGGTCCTGTTACTATAGTTGAAGCCTTGAAGGATTGTGCTATAGTTCTTCAATTGCTGAAGCAAGTGAAGCGTCTGCAAAATTTAAAGAAAAGACATTGGGTGTGTCGTGAAGTTGTTTGCAAGTAGTGGGAACTAGCTGGTCAAAAAAGACCCTGAATAATTGTTTAATAATACTAAAGCAGTTTTAAAGTGATGTATAATAGAAACATGTCACCATTTTATGTTTTATATTTTAAATTATTATTGTTTCGGGATTTATTTAAATTTTTACTTGAATATTCAACATTTAATATGAAGCTCATTTGAGCACTAACCCAGCCAGCAAAGCTCTCCACCAAACCGTCATCCATTTCTTGCAACAGGCGAAGTCCTGCTGCTTCCTTGGCCGTCAGGCCAGCGGGCAACATGTAGGGAGGAAAGTGCCCACCTTTAGCAGCAAGTGGTTTAAGGGGATGTCATCTTAGCAGCAAGTGGTTTAAGGGGATGTCATCTTAGCAGCTAGTGGTTTAAGGGGATGTCATCTTAGCAGCTAGTGGTTAAGGGGATGTCATCTTAGCAGCAAGTGGTTAAGGGGATGTCATCTGAGCAGCAAGTGGTTTAAGAGGATGTCATCTTAGCAGCAAGTGGTTTAAGGGGATGTCATCTTAGCAGCTAGTGGTTAAGGGGATGTCATCTTAGCAGCAAGTGGTTAAGGGGATGTCATCTTAGCAGCAAGTGGGTTAAAGGGATGTCATCTTAGCAGCTAGTGGTTTAAGGGGATGTCATCTTAGCAGCAAGTGGGTTAAAGGGATGTCATCTTAGCAGCTAGTGGTTAAGGGGATGTCATCTTAGCAGCAAGTGGGTTAAAGGGATGATGCAGCTAGAAAAACTGTGAAAAAAATTATTTCCATCTACAGTATAGCATTTTTCTTAGAAGAATTTTTAATTTAGATAAGCAAAGGTAGATTAATGTGTCACACATTGAACTATATGAAAGGTGTGAAAGCCTCTGGCATGATTTGATGTATGTAGTATTGTATGATATTCATTAATGTGGATAATTCTTGTCTTATTCTAAATTGACAGATGTTAAAGATGAGCCAAGAACCTATTTTTTTCTTCTGGTAACTGTATTTTAGGTAGGGCGTATGGTAATTTTTATACCTGCGCTGTGGGTATGTGGTCAGTACTATACTGTTAAGTCAGTTATGCACTGTGCCGGTCTTGGCATACATCTACCAAACTGAGCAGCCATGCTTCTCCCTTGTACAGTATTTCTAATTGTGTCCTTATCTTGGGTTTGATCTCTTAGGGTCAGTGGTACCCTTTATGTACAGGGTATGTGATAATTTATGTTTATGGTTTTTAGGTACGTATGCAGATATAAGTACAGAACAGGTCAGGTACAGTATTTCATGGAACTCATATTTTGGTTTATTGGCCTCAGGTTCATTCTTCTTATTGATATTTTTAAGTACAACTTGAATGTACATATGTATTTTACAGGCACTCGATTCCGACCTTTATCACTGGATGTTCCCAAGCCTCTGTTTCCGGTGGCTGGCCTGCCCATGGTCCAGCACCACATAGAAGCATGCGCTGCTGTGCCTGATATACGGGAAGTTTTACTTCTTGGTTACTTTCCTGCACAGCAACTGCAGCAGTTTGTGGCAGACATGATTGCTGCCTACAAAATTAGAATCAGGTATCCTTTAATTGTATGTAAAGTACTAATTGTTTAAGTCTGGTTTATTAAATTTAAGAAAGCATGGAGGTACAGTTTGCCCAAATGTATGAGAACTGTACATTATTTCTATCTGTTTAGTGTACAATACAGTACTTCTGCCCAGCTTATGATAGTTCTTTGTGGCAATATATGATTCATTGACTTGTCATTAAATTTTACGGACAAGTAAAATTCTAGTACAGACTGTACAATATACACGCTTTTCAATGGGAAAGCATGTTTTGTTGCTTAACATGTTGTTCTACGTAGAGCGGGGTATGCCAGTGCTTGCCTGGTTGTGTTCCAGGAAGAAAGGGCATATGTAACATGAATTTAAGAGACCTCTGATCATGAACATGCTTGGAGCTTGAGTGCTTGATTTGGTTTAGTTAAATTTTCATCATGAATCAACTGTGTCTCTGAATATTGTCTTTAAAATATTTGCTTTAGTGAGGGATGATTGTTCAGCATACTGTTCTGATGTATTTAGTTTATTGATAATACAGTAGTTAAATTTTCCAGGTATCTTCAAGAGTACCAAGCCTTAGGTACAGCAGGGGGCATCTATCACTTCAGAGATCAGATTAGTTCAGGAAATCCTGATGCTTTCTTTGTACTTAATGGGGATGTGTGTGGAGATTTTCCTCTTCAGGAAATGCTAGATTTCCATACAAGTCTCTCAACACCTTCACTCATCACCATTATGGGCACAGAAGCTACACGACAGCAGTCCACTATGTATGGCTGTATTGGTATGTGTTGTCATTTGCAGTTCATTGTCTTTACTGCCCTAAAGTGTAAGTTTTAGTATAATGCAAGGTAGATATGTTACTAGTAGAATCAAGTGCTGTACAAGTACAGTATATATGGTGGCTAGCAGTGTTGATATGAATGCAAGCAGTATTTAATAATTCAGTGCTCCTCATGTGGCTCAATGCCTCTGTGCTTCCATTGTAAAAGATAAATTTGGATTATTTTTATAGATACATATAATTGGTTAGCCTTTCTAAATCTCTATTTTTACCTCAAAAGACTTTGTAATACATACTGTACTGTACTATATTGAAATGACAACTCTCTTAAGCAAGTAAATTCATATGCCATTAAATTATTAGTGAAAATGAATCTGTTGATGGTTAATGTGCATCTAATCTTGATTTGTTTGAGTAATTTTTATCTTACCTTATGTAATTCTTATTCCTAATGATAGATATACTGGTATCATGGTTGTAGTTCTTTTAATTTTCTTTGTGTTTTCTCACTGTTCACATTCTTTAGTGAGAGTAGCAATCTAGCTTCATAATTGTGGTTGTCATTGGTTTCATTGTCATTTTAACATTCTTGGGGTTTTCATACACAAATTTGCATATGATCTAAATTATCGCTTTAGGGTTTTCATACGCAAATTTGCATATGAACTCGTAAATTACAATAAGTTTATGTTTGCGTATGAACGCTAGATAGGTAAGATGCACATTTGGCAACGTCGGTGTGATCTGGCACCTATGTAGACTACCTCTAAGGTTATGCGAGTGACCACACCAGTCGCCCTATGTGATTCAACAGCACAGGACGTAACCTTGACCTACATTTTCCACCAATTGCTCGTGGCTTGTGCTGATTTCTTGTTCATCACAGTGATTTCATTTATTGAGAATAGTGTTGTGATAGTTTTGAACCATGCCTCGTGTTGCTGGCGAAGGTGGAGGGGTGGAAAAACGAAAAAAATACAAGGAGATTACACCTCATGATGGTAGTGTGGTGCCTCCTGAGGCCTCTCCATGTGTCCCTGGCCCTTCTAGTGCAAGTGATAGTTTGTCTAGCCTGTCAACAAGCAGTCCTAGTGCGAAAGGAACTGCCCGGAATGTCATTATGGCTAAAAGTAAAAATAAAAAGTGTTGCACATTTGGTAAGCGTGGCTTACCTCGTGACTGTTCATCTCCCTCACAAGTGACACTACCCGTACTCCCACTAAACCTAGATTTAATTGCCTCGTTCAGGATAAGTACGGCACTGTGGGCACAGAGGAGGAGGGGAAAAGGGTGGTGGGGAGGGGGGAGGAACATTGCCAAGTGCTCCAGCATCTAACAACGTGTAAGTACAGAAAGTACAGTAATTTATTTTCATGAAAAATTTTATGTAATATTTTTATTCATTATTTTTAACCAGTAATCTACAATTATCTCGTGTTAATTTCGTAGCTTGACTGGCTGCCATGCACTACAATTTGTGTTATACTCGTGCTTACATACAGCTTTAATTATTTTACTGTATTGTGATTGCCTATTTAAAACTATTTGTAGATAATGTATTTACAATGCTAATGCAACAAACCCGACCTTTACAAAAGTAAGCTTGCTACGACTCAATATGTACAATTAATTTTTGCACTCGGAGGAAAAAGGCCATTTTTTTTTCTAAAAAACTGGTTTTTGTCATATAGTCCAGAATGCAATGCCTAGCTTATACCTAGGTATGTTAATGCCTAGCAATAACTCGCCAGGCCAACATACAGGCAATTAAAAAATTCTAATAATTACTTGTATATAAGCCCACATTTATATCAACCTTTTATAATAAATATTTACAATTTTCAAACATCCTCTTTGAAGTGATAATGCCTTGAAATCATTTGCATTTTGACAGTCCAGATATTTAACATTATTTTAGATAATAACAGGTCTGCTTACCAATTGTAAACACATTTGTGTTTGAATTTTCTATGAACCAATCAGCTATTAGTATAGAAGAGGGGCGTGGCTTACGGGCCAGGTTAGCATGGAAATGGTATAGCTAAATAATGTTTCCATAAATTTTGTTTTCTTAATATTTTGGCTAAATATGTACACTTTATAATGGAATAAAGTTCATATTGCAATCACATGAAATAACGAAGGTATAAAGTAATGTACAGTCGTGTCGCATCTTAAACGCATTCAACTTTACGTGCTTGGCTAAAAAAAAAGAAGATGCATGGAGGGTAGGAGCATATGGTTGGGAGAGATACTTTCATCCACGCCTCGCTCGGCCTCAGTTGCCACATGTACTGAGCAGGGGAGGGGGTTTGTGTCGTATGCCTCTGCCGACTGACCTTTAGCAACAGTTGCTAAGGATCGGTCGGTAGAGGCAGCACCTCCCAGCTGAGCTGCGATGCAGTGTGTGGAAGAGAAGAGGGTAGGAAAGTGTGGGGAGGGAAGGGAGAGGTGAGGGTAGGAATGTGGGAGAGGAGAGAGTGTATGAGTTTGTAAGAGGGGAGTGTGGGAGAGGGAAGTCAAGGATATGGGATAGAGTGAGAGTGGGAGGGTTAAAACGTGGGAAAGAGCATGAAAAAACAAGAGAGTGGATTGGAAAGCAAGAGAGAAAGTGGGAAAGCATAGGAGGAAGTGAGAGAGGGAGCCCCGAGGGAGATACACCAAACACACACACACACACCCATGCCATGTTTGAATGCCCGAGCCAGGCAATTTCTGCTTGCTTGCTTGCAATCACCCTGAGCGATTGTGTATGGGTGTGTGTGTGTGCGTAACAATGGCAACATATGTTACCATCTCTCTTAGACCACAGCTGACTGCCATGTGTGTTGTTTTGAGTTACTACCATACATGTACGGTATATGCAGATGGCGTTTTCATTGAGCATAAAAAAAAAATTTCTGTTCTACTCGTGCATACGTATAGAAATAATAATTTTATCATGATTACTCATGTAAACCTGTTGGGAGATAATTTATTTACAATGCTATTGCAACAAACCCCACCTTTTATCTCAAATAGCAAGCTTGCTGTGACTCATCACATACAATTATCTCTTGTGTGGTGTAATCTGGTGAGGTGAGTATCCAGCCAGACTCCTAGCGTCTTGCTGGAGTGTACCTCCCTAAACCCAAGAGTATCAATAGTGTGGACTCCAGACACTTTGCTTCTACTAAATATATACTGTATAGATGATCAAATGGTTTGAACAATAAGTATTGATATTGTTGTAGAGATGTAAATATCTTATATTTCAACACCATCACTTGGTGTTCTGAAGTAGGTTAATACATTGTCTTAGTATTTGGGTTTAGTAATTTAAATATAAGGTATACAGGGATGTTGTCTTAATGCTGATAATTGAGATGAATATCTTAAGCGTAATAATAAATCATTATCAGTTATTACAAGGGGTTACATGTATTATTATTATTTTTTGAACCATTTTCCAATGCTATATGGTTTTGAGGAAGCTTCGTGCAAGAATAAAAATTTGATATACAGTATAAAGATGTTTAAAGAATGTTTTTGTGAAGGTCAGTAAGAATTGGTTCATTTTTGTAATTTTGGTCTTAGAGTGCATTTGTTCTTATCATTGTACCCAGTAAATGTTTATTTTCTCGAATTTCAGTTGAAGACAAAGAAACCCATCAAATTCTCCATTATGTTGAGAAGCCTTCCACCTTTGTATCCAACCTGATCAACTGTGGTGTTTATATTTGTTCTCCTGATATCTTCAAGCGAGTTGGAGAAATTTTCAACTCCAGGCAAGACTTTTATAGGTAAGAAAACAGATCTTGTCAAAGACAGGTAGAGATGAGGTAAAACATGAAAAGGGGAACTAGAATGTTGCTAAAGGTGTAACTAGTTTTAAATGTCAATCCCACAACACATCTAAGTTTGTGCTACGAGTTTTAACAAAGAGTTCGAGATAAAGGTCATTAGATAAGAAAACTGCTAATATTCACAGTTCAACACCTTGCAATAATTTGAAAAGCAAGAACCTCTATAGTATAGTCATTGACGTTGCAGTTGTAGGCGAACTTCTGGGTGATCACATGGTAGCGGTACGGAGGACAAACAAAGCTCTGTTTACTTGTTACCCCCGATAATAAATTTCAAATCAACATTGCTGCAATTATTATTTTACTCATTAAAAAACATAGAAAAAATGCATTAAAATATAACAACTGTCAATATATGAACTACAGTACGTATATATTTCTATTGAGATGTTTGTCCTCTGTTCCGACGTTAATGCCGCGTGTTGCCACATTGACTCGAATCTATTTTTAGTAACATCGGCGAATGAAGAACAGTTCTGTGCAGTAGTTATCAACTGTACGGAATGGAAAAAAGTTAGTAACCATACTGTACTTATAATAGTTGCAGCAAATGGGTTAATAATATGCATTAAACTCTTATTGGCAGGATTACTTTGTACTTCCTGTTTATAATTAACTTTTTTAAATGACTCATTATTAATTTTGCCCTTATTTTGTGTACATTAACCCTACTATTTTCACTCAACTGATAATGACGGTAACTTCTATGACCTCTTTTTAGCTGTGATGATTCTGAGGGCACAGAAACCATTCAGTTGGAGCAAGATATCCTCATGCCAATTGCCGGAACTGGCCAAGCCTATGTGTATAACAATGACAGGTTAGTAGCAGCTGTATTATGATTAAGTTGAATAGGATAATGTTGGCATTTATACTGTACAGTAGTCATATTGCAGTGTCACAGCTTTTGTAGGTAGTCCTGGTCTGTCAACAGTTTTTTTCTCAACTCACTAGCCAATCTGATCATGAAATTTTTGTCTTTGCTCCTTAACCTCTAGGCTTCAGTTCACTTCATATGACTTGTAATTTCAAATTTGCAGAATTTTAATTTGCGGATGACACCCTGGATGTACCCAAGAATGTCTAAGGGTAGTTTTAAAGTTGATGGCACTTTTGCGGCCGGAATAGGGAGCCATTCGTTTTAGAGACAGTAATTTCCTTTACCTGTATTGTACAGTATATGTGTGTGTGTCTACACAATGATTAAAAGCATTTACCATCCCAGACAACAGGTAGTAGGCAGCTATCAAACAGGGAGGTACTACCGCCTTGAAAGGTATTGGAAGCATAATGTGTTGTCTAATGGTAGACCCTGCTGCCATATTGCATCACAAAAATTGTGACCAAGTCCCAGGTTGCTGATCTGACTTTCTGCCTCATTTACACTCAATTGCAGGGTCTCAATTTTTTCTCTTAATATTGACAGCACAACATGCATATTGTATATCATTTCTCACTCTTGATATATTTTTAATTTTTGTAGTATTATTATTTTTTTTTTATTATTATTGTTGTTGTTGTTATTATTATTATTATTATTATTATTATTATAATAATAATAATAATAATAATAATAATAATAATAATAATAATAATAATAATATTCTCCCCGCCCCTGATGTGTGTCAGTGACCTGTGCCCGGGTGGGCTAATCCCCCAAAAAAAAGTGGAATAGAGTTGCACCACAACTATTGCATTTCAGTGGTGAATCTTTTCTTGTAAATATTAAACATTAAGGAGACAATGGTTAATACTATGCTGTACAGTACAGTACTTCAATGCAGATCAGTAGGATACAGTATAATAGTTATAAATGTAAAATTTAAGCTGATTAGAGTTCATGCTTAATAACCTGTATGTTATTCAACTTCACTCAGAAGATTTTGTATCCCTGTAGGTGGTGGTCCCAGATAAAAACAGCTGGTTCTGCTATATATGCCAATCGCCATTACCTTCAGCTTTATCATAAAACTAAGAAGGAACGTCTAGCAACAAATGGGCCTGATAAACCAACCATCATTGATGATGTTTATATCCATCCCACAGCAACTGTTGATCCATCAGCCTTGGTAAGATTTAGTTTCTGTTAACATTTTAGATTACACGCTAGGTGGAGCATATCTGATTCTTTTAACTTTTCTTTTGGTTTTTATTTAATGATTTGTTTAATTTCATGGTCTTTTAAGTGGTTGCTCCCATTTTCAGTTGGGTCCTAATGTGAGTGTTGGCAAGAATGCAGTAATAGGTGCTGGAGTTCGCATACGAGAATCTATTATCCTGGGCAACACCACCATTCAGGAACACAGTTGTGTCCTCTACACGTGTGTACAGTATCTAGTTTGTCTGCGTATTTCGCTTTTCATTAGTGAGGTATAATATGATGGTAATTGATACACAGAAATGACCTTTTCTCTTTAATATTGTGCTCATAAAGAGTTTAATTTCTAGAGTCGTTGGCTGGAATTCAAATGTTGGGGCTTGGACGCGTTTAGAAGGCACACCGTGTGACCCAAACCCAAACAAACCTTTTGCAAAGATGGACAATGTTCCTCTCTTCAATCTTGAAGGCAAATTAAATCCTTCCATTACTATCCTTGGTGAGTAATTTGTTCAGGTGAGGCTTTGTATATGTAATCTACAGTATTTTATATATATATATATATATATATATATATATATATATATATATATATATATATATATATATATATATATATATATATATATATATATATATATATATATATATATATATATATATATATATATATATATATATATATATATATATATATATATATATATATATATATATATATATATATATATTTTGGTGGGGACCTGACCTGACCTGACTTAATGTCAGGTGGAGGTAGGGTGAGGGATTAGTGGTCTCATATTACTGACCTTCTGATGGAATGTCAAGTCACCCTTTCTTAGGTGGGGATTAGTGGGTCTCATGACCTGAAAATGTCTTGAATAAACACAAAACCTAAGTGAAACAGGCCTTACGTCGGAATATGAAGGCTGCGGCTAGCCAGCCCAGTTTGAAAGTATATTGCTGTAGGGTACTGTAAATTTTTTTTTGCAAATAAGTGGGACATGCTTTGCAAATATTGAATAGGGGTGCAAAAATGTTAAATTTAAATATACTGTGGCATTCTGAGTCAGGTCCCACACACTCCTTCAGATTTTTTCGCTTTATTATTTTCCCCCGTCTGTCTTTCCTATTTCTACCATCACTCATGAGTACTTGATGAAGCACCTAACACTTACCATTTGTCTCGGTGCTAGCGAGTAGCAACTAATTCACTTATTTAATAGTCACACCAACTTACAGATATCATGAGCATTTGTTTATATTTCTGTTCAATCTTTTAACACTGGAGATGAGGGGATCATTGGTAATTGAGCTGTTTGGGGAAGATTCTACAAGCGCTACTCAGCTGTGAATGCAGAGGGAGGCATCATGATACAGATTAACTTAGTAAAGTCTTCAGCAGTGGAGTCTTTAGAGTTTAAAACCACCTCAGTTACCTTACCACTCAGTGGATAGTCAAATCCAACCCCATCATTCAGTTAGTGATTTTGTTTATGCACATATTGTAATGTACCTAGGGATGGAATGAATGGAACAGGTACTATTTAGGATTTCAGAGTTTTCTCAGTTTTGTCCTTTCTAATATCAGTTGTTCACGTTTTATTTGTATATTTTGGTATATTATACATTACTTTTATTCGAGTTCAGTGTGTTTAGGTTTTCATTATAAATTAAATTTTTAAGCATTTTGTTTTCTTAAATGCATTTTTTTTAGGATGACAAAGATATTGTTCAGCTTACCTGCACAAAGGATTTAAAAGGTTAATGGCTGACTGGCAGTGTTATAGCCATCAGCAGTTAACTCCTTGAGTACGGGGTCCTCCCTGTGCAGAGAAAATCGTTTGGTGTTAACTAAATAAAATATTAAAAGTGGCATACCTATAGTGAAGGGGTTAATTAGTTTTGAATTTTATATCCAACTTTGGTTACAAAGCAAAGCAACATGTTAGTTATGGTTAATATCATCCAGTGACATTATTTAAGGGGGCAACTCCTATTTAAAATTGGTCAATAGGATCTGTTTTTTGAGAATTTTAGGGTTTGTCCAACTTTGCTTATACATTGGAAAATGCTATTTACTAAGTTCCATGGTAATAATTATCTAATACCTGTAGTACTCAATATATCTCGGAAAACAGGGTCACATTGACCTTATTTGGAAAAAATCTGTAATGGTCATAAATTTTATGTTCAACTTTGCTTCTATTGTTATTGTAGTTCTATTTTAATACAACTTGATACAGTCAGCAAACTTTATGTGCTTGATCATGAAATAACACCTTGCCACCTCCCAGAGAACTAAATAACTGTGACTTAGAACTCGATTAATGTAATTGAAGGTCAATTTTACATTATAGTAGTATTGCAATTTGTTAGTCAGCAAACTTGATGTGAATGGTCAGTTGATGACATACAATCACATCCCCCCTTCCCCTCTCAAAGAAAGTGCATGGTGAAATAAATGCATCTCAGGCAAGCTTTGTTGTCTTCTGAAATCTCTTGTATACACTGCAATCTTTTTGGTGCTAGACAAGCTGTGTCAGTTCATTAATACTTGTCTCTAACATCCCTTAGGATACACTGTGTTGGGTTACACCTCCTCTCAGGGGTTCTTCTTTGTTAGTTATAAAAAGTTGCTTGTGACAACAATTAAACCTTCCGTAACTGCAAGAACAATAGAAGACAGAATGAAGTTGTGAATGTAGAAACTTCTCGTGCAAATGAATAATGAGAATAAGAGAAGAAAATAGGATCTTCATGATGAAATCTGGATGTTTGTAGAGTGAAGAAACTCGTTTGTTAAACAAAGGGGTCGAGGAAAGAAATGAACAAGAGAATAAAGGATAGTGAGGATGGAGGTAGGAAAGTTGTAAAATAAAGGAATGGTGGGAAGTACAAAGGGGTCAAGGAGAAGGTAACCCCTTGTGTATGAGGGGTTGCTCTGTGCTGAGTAAAATTGTCTGGCATTAGCCAAATAAAAAAAAACTTTTTTTTTTTTTTTAGAACTCTAAATAATTCCCATCCACTAAAAACTATATCAGTTAGGAACCTAATATTTTGCATAAATGTAGCCTAATGTTACAGAAAGACATGACATGATCCACACAATTGATTTCCTTAAATGAAGTACCGAAAGTGTCCATCATGTTGCAAGTACAAATTTATTCTTCACAGCATGCTCTCCAACACATAAGTATTTTGGGGGGAATGTAACAGATGCCCTGTATAAATTTTGTAGGTATAAAGTGTCTTGACTGCCTTGCTTGCACTGGTATATGAACAGTGAGCTTTTTGTGCTAAACGTCTTAGAGATTTTTTCGGAATTGCTTCCATTCTTTCCCTCATTTCATCCACTTTCTCCGGTGTAATACACTTGGCTGGTGCATGTGTTTTTTAGCTTTCGTGCAGCCTGTTACCTCTGAACTGCCTCACCAATTTACCTATCACTGATTTTGAAGGTTTTGTACGACCACTAAAGTGACTTTTAAATGTAATTTGACATTCCCTAAAGGATGCATTCTTGATGTAATGTTCGACAAGAAATACACTTTCTTTCATAGTAGTATTAATAATAATAATTAACGGTTTATTGAAAAAGTTCTACAGCCCGAAGGCTGAAAATATACATTGGACATAAATGCCTTATTATGTACATTGGTGGTTTAACAAAAGTCTTCATTAGAGAATGGTAAAGGAACATACAGTGAACATACAGATTAATGTAGGTGTTGAACAGCAAACACTTAGTGTAGTAAATCCCTCCCAGATGGTGTTAGGAGGGACCTCATGTGGTGTAGTAATTCCCTCACAGATGGTGTTATGAGGGACCTTACGTGGTGTAGTAATTCCCTCATAGATGGTGTTATGAGGGGCATCACGTGGTGTAGTAATTCCCCCACAGATGGTGTTATGAGGGGCCTGACGTGGTGTAGTAATTCCCTCACAGATGGTGTTATGAGGGGCCTGACGTGGTGTAGTAATTCCCTCACAGATGGTGTTATAGGGGGCATCACGTGGTGTAGTAATTCCCTCACAGATGGTGTTATGAGGGGCCTGACGTGGTGTAGTAATTCCCTCACAGATGGTGTTATATGAGTGAGGTGTGGACCCAGGCCTTCCTATCGTATACGGATTACGCTGGTTGTTGTTGGGTCTCACGGGCAGTTATCACTGGGTATCTGGGACCTCGCTGTGTGAAGGTTAACTTTGGTACGACTCAGCTGTTACTGTTGAGTTCTCATTGGCTGTTCTCACTGTTCACTGCTGTTCACCTCTGTTCAACACTGGTGGGGATGAGGGTTCAAGGGAGGGAGTTGGTATGGGTCTACATAACAGGAGCGCCGGGTACGTCTTGACCCTTCATGACTGATTGAAAAGGGTTTAACACCACTGATGAGTCACATGATACCTGATAACTCTCAGGATCGTGTTACGTATTCCTGTAACATTAGGCAACATTTATTCAAAATATTAGGTTCTTAACTGATATAGTTTTTAGTGTATGGGAATTATTTAGGGTTTTCAAATAAAAAAGCCACCCTGTATTAAAAGTGGCATCCCTTAGTGAAGGATTAGTGGAGACAGCTTACTAACCCCTTGTTCACAGGGGGCCCACTCTGTGCTGAATAAAATTTTCTAGCATTAGCCAAATAAGATATTAAAAGTGGCATACCAAATTGAAGGGGTTAAATATTTCAAAGGAGAAAGTAAAAATGTATTGATGCCTGTGCATATGGGTTCAGAGGTGTGGATGGAATGGTGAATTAATTAGTTAAGAGTGGATTGTAAGTTAAAAAATGGATTTGTTTTAGAAAACTGAATGAAAAAGAAGTGCATTTGACTGCAAAGATTCAAAATGAATGTTTTACATTTGTTAGGTTGTACAATAGGATTTGAATAATCAAATGAAACAAATTTCAAGGAAATTTAATTGAGGAGGAACAGAATTGATTTGTGGGAGAAAGTGTTTATGTAATCTTTTTTCCCTCTATGCTAGATTGTTGAAAAAATTTTAGAAAATGGAAAAATGTTTGCTAGACATAAAGAAAGTTTTGATGTATTACAACATAGATCTGCAACTTTTGAAGTTTTACTCTGCTGATTGCAATTGTTTTCACTATAAAAGAAATGAATGTTGGTAGCTCTTCTACAGCTATAGATTTTGAGCTGATTAATTTTTTAGATCAATCTATGATTAGTGTGACTTATTAAGACATCCAAGAAGGTGATAAAAGGAAGACATGAGATGGCTTCAATTTTACATTAGTATTTTTTTATTTAGCCCAGAGCCTTCTGTATTGGGCACCTACTTTCATAAAAGAATGTAAGGTATTATTACATTACCATTTATGCCTCCCATTTAGTTAGTATTCATAAAGTGTGTAATATGCATTGATCAATCATAGGCAACTTAATACTGCTTCCTGTTACCAGTTTTTCTGTGAATATAAAGGCTATTAAGTTTCTGTTTTGGGCCTGAAGTGTTACTGTGTTTACACATGTTGCCAGTTTATGCTTATGTAAGCATTTCTACTGGGCAAAGACTGTGCGATAGCCTCTAATTTTTTTTTTTTTAAATGTTGAGGCTTCATAGAAGAAAGTATACAGTACAGTACTGAGTTAGTAGGATAATGTTGAATGAATGATGGATACTAAAGTAGTGAAGATTATATGCTATAATGCAGCTGAATTTATAAGGTGTATGAGTTTATAGCCGAGTTGTTGGGATATACAAACGTGTCATTTTAAGTGACAATGGAAGCTACACAGTGGGAACATGGTGTGTGCATGCATGCAGTTCTGTGTGAGATTCAAGTATTGTATGAAGGATTCATAACTACACTTTTCTGATATGCCAGTGAGACACATAAAGAGAGTTTCTCTTGAGAAAGTCAATAAAGTGAATTTATAAATCATTCAAATAATATGTAAGTTATGCTTCATTTTGTGACACTTCACATGAGTTAATTACAAGTAAATTTATTTTCTTGTGAAACTTGGTGCATTTGTTCCATCCCACCGAGTTGAAAATTTAATAGGGTTGATAATAAAACTGACATGTATTTATTTGTACTTAAATGAGAACTTCAGATCTCTGTACATCTCTAATTTTTCCCCTTTACCTATTGTCCCCAAAGTTCATTAAATAGCAGGTTGTACATTTAGTATTTGGTAAAAATTGCATGTTTTAAGCCACATGGATTGTATTGAAATTAAGTGCTTAGTATTATACAGTACTGTATATCCATTTTATAAGATTGAAAACATTAAGCATCATTTTATCTTTCATTTGCTTCAGGTAATGATGTCAAAGTCCCCTCTGAGGTGGTGGTGATAAACTCCATAGTTCTTCCATACAAAGAACTCTCAGCTAGCACCAAAAATGAGATAATTCTTTGAGTAGTGTTAGTGACTGCATTAACTTGTTATAGTTGAGAGCATGCTGTGTAAGGGGTCCTTGAGGAGTGATATACCATACTAATTGACTTTTCCCTAACAATGTGTGCTGTAAGTGCTGAGTGTTCCATGCAAGAATCTCTTATGAAACACTTTAATTATTATAGTGCACTTTTCTGCTTTCCAGTACTTCATTTCTGTTGCCAGTGTCTTATCAGTCATTCCTGTAGTTTCCCTCAATCATTTCTTAACTGATTCACAATATAATCCTATATTCTATCTACATTGTTTCTCTTATGTTTAAATCATTTCAAGACTTCCACTTGAACTTACTGTCTTCAGCTTCTCTAAATCCTAATCACAGTTTGGTCATACCTTCTTTAGTGCTGCCTTATCCTCTCTTGTGTACTCCTTGTCACCTCTGCCAAATATAAGCTCTTTTTCATCTTTTCCTTGCCTATAGTGTTCCCAGATATGGCCTTTAATCAGTTTCTTACCTCATTCAATTCCCTGACATTGAGTTATGTGCTTTATTAATTTTTATTTTATTTTATTTTTATTTATTTTTTTTTTACATTTGGAATTGGCTATTTCAACAAAATATTCCCCACAGGCTCCACATCCATGTCTCACAGGATGAGGTTGTTTAGATAAACTACCAGGTCACATGCATGGCATACACAACATGTTACACTCTTTTGCATGGTTAAGATCTGTTTTTATATGGCTTTTTCGTTTTAACTGCCTCCGAGCTTTGGTGGAATCTGGGTTTTCATGCATAGGTACCAAGTCATTAGTCTAAACAATAAACGTGCAAAGGTAATTATCCTGATTTTTCACTATATGCCTTAGCATAGTGTATATCTCATCATATGTTTTGTCAATACATTTGCATTGTACCTTAACATTATAAACTGAACCTAACCAGAAAAACTTGGTTGGAAAAGTTTAGTCTGGTTGGTTTGTGTTGTCTGCTTTGAAGCATATATAAACTAATATGGAGGCCATTCAGTCTACAGTAGCTCATATATTTCTCTGAGTTTCCTTGGAGGTCATAGTAGTAAATAAGAGTGAGGAAATTATTTTTCTTAATTGCCTAGTAAGAGGATTTTTTAAGAAATAATTTTATTAAGCAGGTGTCACTGTACTAAACACATACCTAGATTATGTAGGTACTGTACTTGTAAGACTTTTTTTTCATTTTAGTAGGCACCAGTGGAGCATGATATTGCAAAAGTGACAAGCATCAGTATTTTACTTGCCACAGTGGTTATTGTTGCTATTTCAGGAATAGTGAATGAGAAGAATCACATGTATATACAAATCATAAATGCAGTTTTAACATTACAGTGGTGTATGTGCACACACAAGCTGTACATGGATGCATGCACTCATGCATATTTAGGTGGCTTTAGCGATTAAACATTTTAAAATTTAGTTTAAGGTTAATAGTTCAAGTATTCCAAATTTAAAAATAGTGTGCTAATATAAATGAGCTTCATTAAATTTCATTAGATGTGCTTCATTGTTATTGTGCTGCATGTTATTTTTTAAAAGTTTAACATTGAAATTTTTGTAGTTAGATCAGGCTTTAATAATAAGTGACATTTTGTTCAACTAAATAGTAACTTTCTTTTCCTCTTCAGGATGCAATGTAAATGTTCCTTCTGAAGTGATAGTCTTGAACTCCATCGTATTACCGTACAAAGACCTTCCACGGAGCTACAAGAACGAGATCATTCTCTAGGTTGTGAAAGATTGATTACCTCCTCACGCGTGCTTCTAACAATGTAAAGTTTCTTTGATATGTAAGTGTTCACTGTTTTCCTTCTCACTACAGTTCTAATAACATTGTTTAAAGATTAACCGAGATAAATCTCATGGTGATTTTTTTTTATATAGCTTGTAATAATATACAGTACGTATTTATTGAATTGATGTAAATCTTTATTTTCATAAAATTTGAAATTGTTATCCCTATTTCATTTACCATTCATTACCTTTAAATTCTTTAAAACTTGAGATCTGTTTTTGGCATGTTTGTATTGAACTTGATGGTTAATTTATACAATACAGAATACGTATTAATATAATTTACAATAAAAGTGTGTTAGAAGAGATACTAGTGATATAATATTCCAAAATATGAGTTATGATGCCTTGTTCATATTTTACACCTACAAACTTTCTTAATATGTAAAGTATCTTGCCCCCCCCCCCCTTTTTTTTTAATGTACTGGAGGGAATATTAACACCCAGAATATATATAAAATTGTATCACTGTTTTATGGCCATTTTCCATGCTTGTGGACCAGTTTTGATTAGCTGATGGCAATTCTTCAAGCTGCATGGTCTCTGGCAGCCTCTGTTAATTTTTCCCTGAAAACAATATATTCCATCATATGTGCATTAATCATTTCAGTCAACATCATACCAATATTGTCTGATGCTTTTAAGATATCTGCAACCATTCCAGAGCTGCCAGCCACCCATAAAGTAAGAAACTGCCCATTCCATTCAAACTCTTCATTTAGCAGTCATTTCCCATGCTCTACTCAACAATGATATCCTTTTTTCTTCCCACTATTTGCCTCTATAACTCTCCTGCATTACCCCTCACCTTGTTGCTGGCCATTTTTACTTTTCTCAACTCTGCACACTATGTATCCTTTACATTGTTTCTTCAATTCCCCCCACTCACCACTTTGGAACAAACACATTCTTCCTTTTAAGCAACTTTTCACATGCAAGCAATCTGTGCTGCAAGGCACTTTACATCCTTAACATGCTTCATGTCCGATTTCCCAAGAAGGTAGTCAATCTGGGTTTTTGTGCCACCTCCCGACTCCTTCAAGATCAGCCGACTCTAAACATGTTGCATACAAGCCATACAGTATATGAAGCAATTGTCATTATCACACTGACTTCATATTCATCATCCTGTACATTATATGAGAAGTGTCATATCCATCTGGTATCATAATTACTGGTAGTAGAGGTTAGAGAAGCACTTCTTTGCAGTAGGTTCAAATGCTCTTAGCAAAGGTGAACAAGAATTAAATGTTAAGAAAATCATTATTTGTTGAGTACTTGTAGTTTAGCAGATACAGTAGTCTGGTATTCAACATTTATTATGGACAAGTAAATTGTTCAAAATATCTAGATTATGAATTCAATATTCACACGTATAAAAATAAGCTAACTATCACTTACAATTACTGTTTAAATCATTTATTCAGTGTCCATACATTCTGAAATATTCTTATCTCCACGAATGACAATGCTCAACAAGCCAAGTCCAGTTATGCAAATATCATTAATGAATCAAAAGGTACCAAAAATATATTTAAAGTGTTAAGAAATCCCCTTTCTCCATTTGACCCAAAATCCAAGCATGCACTTCCTAAAATCATCAATCTGTTATTTCACCCATAAAAACTAAGAACACTGTGTTTACAAATTCATCTATCTTCAAGCCTTGGTATAAAACCTTTTGTTAAGTAAACATATATGACCACATCAATGATATTTTTTTTTTTTTTTAGAAAATAAAGATTATATCAAAGGAAGCAAACAATAAGTAGCATCCTTTATTTTCTTTAGTATGCTCATTACAGTTATATCAATAATACTGATAACTGAGGAGTCCTGAAACTGGTTAAGGAAAATTCTTTTCCACTTAAAGATGACACCATTACCTCACCTTATAATTTCTGCTTTTAAGTTTTCAATCTATGGCAACGATTTTATGCATTCTTCACAGGCAGTTTTGTAATGACAGCTTTGACTTCATAGTAATTACGCAAGGCATACTCGGAGTTTTCTCTCCCTTGGCCAGACATTTTGTAGCCTCCAAAAGGTGTCTGAGCATTCAATACATCGTAACAGTTGATCCTGAAATGACAGTACCATTTATAAAAGTTATGGAAGAATTAAGAAATAAATGATCAGCTGTTATAAAAATGAATGAGAAATATAGATGTCGGGAAATAACATACAGCAATAAACCGTTAAAGATGAAAGCATAGGTGGGGAGGGGGGGGGGGTCTGGACCCCCTTTTTCATCAAAATTACAATACCTTTTCTTTAATGCAGTATAGTATTCACAGGCATATTTGTATAGTAAAAGGTAATTACTATTGACCTCAGAAAATCTCCTAATATCAAGTGCACATGGCTTCAAAATATCCTTGATATTGGCCACTCCATGGGCTTTGAATTCTTTCAAGGCAGCTATTTTTCTTTTGATATCATCTCCTGTAACTGCGATCTCTCTCACTTCATTTTTCATTCTCTTGGGTACCGGCATATTAAGTTCAGTATAGTAAGGTCCCTCGGGAAAGCCATGCCAACCTTGCTAACCTGAGATCTATTGTAGTCGCCACCACTTCATTTTAACAAAAGTTTTTTACCCCAGAGTGAAACACACACCAGTTCCTTTAGTTATGTATATGGGAGCTAAGTGAAGGATGGAAAAACTATGAATTTTATTAAAGGGGGTGGTGACCTGTATGATACCTCTAAATTAAACATGCCTTTGTCACCTTCCATAGCCTGCTTTGGCCTGGGGGCCCTTGACACTTTTAGCAATGGGTTATACTAACCCGGTGAATAATATAATAATACTATAGCAGCTCCATATATTATTAAACTAGGATCAATTCACTGCTTCAGATTTCTAACTCCTTTTACACACAATGTTTTGCTGATAGAAATAGTTTAGTAGTTTCATTATACATAATGGATTTTACTTAATCTTAAATAAAATTGTCAGCTAATTCAACAAAGGCAATACATTACAATAAAAAAGATATCAACATACATTCTTATACATTACTTACCATACAGTGCCTGCCCGGAGACCTTGAGCAAACATGTTAGCCTTGTCCAAATCTTTAGTGAATACTGCTGCTGCTAGACCGTATACAGTTGCATTAGCACGTTTGATCACGTCATTTATATCACTGAACCTCATGATCTGTTGTACAGGTCCAAATATCTGGAAGAGAAGTTTTAAGTCAATCTTAAAACTGTCTATATACAGTAAAACCTCTCATGTTCACTAACTGACACTTTAAATATCAACCGGAGATGTGTTTAAAAAAAAAAAATCACATTTTCCAACAAAATTAAAAAATATTTTGTATGCTTACATAAAGTTGCATCCATAAAAGGGTTGCCGTATATGTCGGCGTACAAGGCCACAGGGTGTATAAGACGACCCCAAAAATTTTAATTGAAAACGTAGGTTTTGAGCTATACTCGCTGCATAAGACTACCGCAAATCTGACACTTACCACTGGGAGCTTACTGCCCCAGTAGTCCTTTACCAACCATCCCACTGACCAGTGGAGTGATACTGCTAAACACACTGCTAAGCAACACATCCTTGGTTATTTAAAATAAGGCCAATTCACTTCAAGTAATGGCATCAAACGTTACCAGCTGGTGTAGTGTAAACACTAGTGATGTCACTTATGCATTGTGTTATTTTACTGGAACTAATGTCAGTATCGAGTAAAATTTTACCATTTACTTGAAATGGATTTACTGATTTATTTATTTAATTACAATATACTGTAATATATTGGAAATGTAAGCATAAAATACACTGCAGGTATTTTCTTTAATTTATAAACTTGCTTCGCGAGACGATCGGTAGGTCGGGCTGCTTGTTTACTTCGGTGCCAGTTGCAAATGGCGGGCGGAGCGTGATGATACCCGTGTTTATTATGTTGTTATTTTAAGGTATGTTAGGTTTATAATACATTTTTATTATTTTAATATATCGGTAATCTTATTTTTAATCCAGAATCGCAAACGTAAGTTTCAGTATTAAATAATAAGTGGTAGGACTGTGGGATTAAGGCCAGTGTTTTCCGATGTTCTCCATCACCACTGGTGACACATTAAACCACAGGATGTAGAGGTTCGGATTTTATACCCGGCGTTTAAGACAACCCCCAATTTTGGGCCGATTTTAAGGTTCAAATTCCATATACGGTATGTAATTGTAAAATTATGCATATGGTTACAAGGGGGCCCCCAGGTTCGCGGATTTTTACTTCGTGGTTCTCGGTTATTTGCAGATGATACCCTGGATGTACCCAAGAATGTCTGTGGATAGTTTTAAAGTTGCTGGCATTTTTGCAGCTAGGACAGGTAGCCATTCATTCTAGAGACAGTAATTTCCTTTACCTGTATTGTATATGTGTGTGTGTAGACACACGTGCACAAAAAACATACAAATAAATAATAACGGGAAAATACTCGCAAATAATCAGAAAGAAATTTATTAAAAATGTGACAGTCTACCCTGAAATCTGCCCTCTATTACAGTACTTTATTAATAGAGCAAGGACTAGAGGGTAGACTCACATTTTTAATAAATTTGTTTCTGATTATTTGTGAGGATTTTCCCATTATTATTTATTTGTATGATTTTCTTCACAACAATTCATACACTTACTTCCTCCCTAGCAATGCGCATACTGTCTTTCACATCAGCAAAAACAGTTGGTTCAATGAAGTATCCTTTCTCGCCTACACGTTTGCCTCCAAAGCACATCTTGGCTCCTTCTTTTTTCCCAGACTCAATAAGAGATAAAATCTTGTTCATTTGCTCCTCATCCACCTGTTCAAGTGAAAAGATCAAAATAATAATTTATTAAGCATATTCCTCAGCAACTGGTCAAATTATGGAATTTAAAGTTGATCAATCTTACCAAATTACAGTAAGTTCTACTAAAGGGTATACTGGTAATTGAGGGGAAAATGTAAAATACAGTTGAAATATAGATAATCAAATGTGAAAGGAGTGACAAGATCATTAAGAATGGAGGCAAGTGGCAGTTCCAAAGTTATGAAGAGTAAGCACGAATGTGCAGCAGCAGGAATGAACATCAACTGATTGGACGAATGATTACAGTATTCTGTTAACCCTTTAAGAGCAGTGTTACATTTAGCTGAGCAAAACCCCTACCACTCAATGGATTAATCAGAATAAATATATTGTATATAAAATAATATTATATAATATATTATATTATATTATACAGTATTGTATAATATAATATTATATTACTGTATATAATATAATATTACATGTATATAATATATATAATATTATATATTATATTATTTTATATTATATATACCCCCTGTATATTGAAAGAAAAAGTATTTTTTTTAAAATATTGAAATACAAACTAACCTGTGGTCCTTGTTCAGTCTTTAAGTCAAATGGATCACCAACTTGACGAATTTTGGCACGTTCAACACTGCGCTCCACAAATTCATCATAGATGGCATCCTCAACAAAGATCCTTGTTCCAGCACAACAGCACTGACCCTATTCAAGAAAAAAGCATATTACATATGTTTAAAAGAAAGACTTTTTCAGTGGTTGAGAAATTACCAATTTAAGTATGAAATCCCATTTAATGGCCATGAAAGCCTGCCATTACTGCCCAGTTACTTCAGGAGCCTTTCGAAGTATCCACCACATGCTAAACTTCCAATGATCTATGACAACCCAAGCCATGGCAGTGGACTTTAATCCACAGTCCTCGCCATATTTCGCTAACTGATGAGAGGGAAAGAATCCCAGTTACTCACTTCAACTAACTTCGATTGAACAAGATTTCTTGCTTCAATCCTATACAGTATTTAATTTTAGCTCTGTTGAAATTTTAGTGCATATATGACATTATATTTTAACAGTATGCAATTATAACATCCAAGAAAGATAATTCCTTCAACTCCTCAATAAGTCTTAAAATTGGTTGGCACATTAGCAATCCATTCCAGCCAAGTTTCAACATTTAATAACAGCTTTATATTAATAGAATGGGACTAGACTAAAGTATGTATAACACAGTTCCAGTAAGTATCAAGAAATCTTATGGTAAACTAATTATCTACCCCTTGTGGTCAAATATATCATTGTTCCATCAACTACACTAACAATTATAGAGACCAGCAATGATCACTTACTTTTTAGATGTAAATTTTATATTATTTCCTGAAATATCTAAACAAATCATGATACATAATCACTCAGTGTAGGCTCAGTGGTTGACAGATCATAAGAATGTTCACTAGCTGTCAAACCATTAATTAATTCAACCAATTTTACCACAAAAATTGAATCTGTAACATAGTAATAACAATTAATAGAATACTGAGCTATGATTACTGTCGCACTTATGGTAGCCTTCCACTTTCTAAAACTAGCCATATTTTCAGTTAATTTTTTATACCATTCTTCACCTTAACTATTTCTTCTTACCTGCACCTTTCAGTCTTTAACTTAATCATTCCTTACTTTCCCAAATACAGCCAGTGCAAAAGTGCCCCTGTGGTGCTACCTTAAAGTGTTGGAGGAAAATAATGTGACCATACTGAATGTGGGAAATGATTTATCTGTTGTGACATGATGAAAATTTATTAACTGAATGCAGCCATAACTTGTGCAACAAAAGCCAACAATTAAAATCATGATTCCAACCAAACAAAAGTATTCAAAATGTTTCAAATATTGTTGAGTATACACGATTTAAATTTTTTTATTATTTTGGACTTCCTTTTCAAGTGTATAAAGGAGTTGGGCTAAACAGTTAATCAGTTTGTTATAGTTTACAGTTTTGAAAGCTTAAGATTACAGTATATGTACAGTGAATGTAAGCAAGTTTTGGGTGTATTTGAAGGACATGAAACATTCAAATACCTTTTTTGAGTTTTGAATTGGTTTCATGATTGGAAAAGCCCTGAAACCCCTATGAAAAGTAAGTTTAGCTTAATATGTATAAAAAGACTGCACACACACCTGATTGAAAAAAAGTCCAAAGTGAGCCTGTTCCACAGCATAATCCAAGTCAGCATCCTTGAAAATAATGTTCGGACTCTTTCCTCCTAATTCCAATGTAACACGCTTTAGGTTGCTAGCGCCTGCTGCTTGCTGGATCAGGTGACCAATCTAGGGGATTGCAGAAAAAAAAAATTACAGTTAACCCTCACTTTACGCGGTCCCGCATTCCGCGTTTCCACGTTAACGCGGTGCCTTGCCAGAACCTCACGTGCTCACATTACGCGGTACGTGAACCCCATTACGCGGAGAGTGTCCGGCGCGACGCTATTTTTAGATTCGCCCCACCCGCCACCCGCCCGCCTGCCTGCCTGCCTCTCCCTCCTCCTCCCTCCGCTTGGGCAAGCGGCGCGGTAAGGTTGCGCAGTGTATGTCTTTGTTGCGTTATCACTGACGTCATATGACGTATCAGACCTGTGATTGGCCATGCATCCCTACCCCCCTCTGCTGCTAGCTGTAATTGGCTTAAAGTATTATGACGTGTCCACCCGGGGGAGGGAGGAAAGACGACGCTTGACCTAGCCGCGGCAGTTTCATCCCTCAAGGCCACTCCGTGTAAACGCGCATCCATTGTTCCGTAAAATGGCTTCCATACCCGGCTGGTGCAAGCTATGGAGCCGTACATCAAGGTGTATCACGACAACATCAACGCCAGCCGTCAGCAAAGCATAACAGATTTCTTCGCCCGCAACCCACCACAGCCAGCCCAAGCCAGTGATAGTGACAGTGAAGGTGACTTTGAGGGATTTGTCAGGGAAGCCCTGACAACTGTAAGTGACAGTGATGGTGATTCACCTGAGGGCCAGTAATCTACCCTCTGCCTCGGAACCAGCCTCCATCCCCATATGCCGACCCATCTCTTCTACTACCGAAAGTGTTACACCTAATTTTTAGTTTTCTAACCTTACCTTTATCTTTCCTAACCTAACCTCTTCTATATTACTTGTTTTTTCATACCATCATAAAGTTAAGATAAAATTTTTACTACAACATAGTTGTGTGTCGTCAAAAAGTGGAGTTTGGGGATTGGCCCGGACTCCATTTCAATTAATCCCATATGTTATGTTATTCACTTTACGCGGGACCCTACGGGTTACATTAACCGCGTAAAGTGAGGGTTAACTGTATATATATATATATATATATATATATATATATATATATATATATATATATATATATATATATATATATATATATATATATATATATATATATATATATATATATATATATATATATATATATATATATATATATATATATATATATATATATATATATATATATATATATATATATATATATATCACTGATAAAGCAGAAAAAGTGAAGCTAGAGACAGCTGTTGGTACCCAATTAACAGCACCAAATAAAAACTAACCACACCAGATTTAAAACAAACCATCAAGTTTAAAAAAGAAAAGAAAAAAGCTATACTGTAACTTAAATTACTTAGGCAAGCAACACGCTGAACTCTCCATAGCACATATTTCAATAAATAAACTTAACAAAACTGAAATACATCTATGGAGTCGAAGAAAAATTATCAACCACAAACCATGTAATTCATATACTACTGAACAATAATTATATATACTGTATACAGTAGACTCGCAGCATACGTGGGGGTTACGTTCCTGGGACCCCGCATAAAGTCAGAAACACTCCTAAAAAATCCCCTAAATCGCCCTAAAATCACTACTGTGTATGTACGTACATATACACTAGAACTCGTATATCACTACTTTAATGTAACATCAACATCTGTATCAAGTGCCTAACAGCATTAATAGAACACAGACATTATGGAGACAGGCATGTGTTATTGTTTTGAGATTATTCATCCCCTTCCCACGTCACCGTTGGGGGATCGTCAAACTCAGATAACGATGCAGGGGAGGATGTGGGCAGCTCAAGGTCACTGCGAGAAGTTGAGGGTGTTGGCTGATCTGCTGACGATGTTGATGCTGAGGTTTTCTTAAAGAACATGGTGACGGGAAGCTGTCGTTGTTATTTCTTAAGCTGCTAGAGCATATTCTTTGTTCCGAGCCATAAGGCTTGTAAGACCTCGTGAGAAGTTGGAAATTGTAACCTAACCCCCACGGGGTAATCAGCATATAGTTGAAACCGCATAAGAAAAATCTGTTTAAGTTGCTAGTCTACTGTATATATACAGTATATATAAAATAATAATATTACCCTGGGGCTAATTCTGATCCAGTAATCCCCAACAAAACATCTACATTGTACTGTACTACCATAACAAACCTGTACTAAAAATTATATAAACCCAATGAGTCCATGAAAAAATTATAAAGGTAAACCCATTGTTGTTTATATCTTCCTAATTTTATATACAGCTTATAACTCCTGAACTTCCTTAAGATAGACATACCCCCTGTACTGTACAGCCGTTTTCTTGGTCGTTCAGGACCTAGGTAAACTTGTTTGCTAGCTCCCTGCACATGAATGGGTTTCTTAAAATGTGTTTCTGAGGCCTCTCACTCCAGTTGTGTGCAGCAATGCTCTGAACAACTGGTGTGATAGGCCTCAGAAATGCATTTAAGAAACCCATTCATGTGTGGAGAGCTAGCAAACAACATGTTCACCTAGCTCCCGAACTAGGACAATGGCTGATACTCTTGATAATCAAAGGAAGAATCTATCACCATATTCTTTACATCAAAAGTGAAATGAGCCCATTGAATCAATGGACAGTTATGTATTGAGTAAAAACTAACTTTCTAAACTATCAAAATTAATTGTACGTACCAACTTGATAATCAAACTCGGCCTTGATCTTAAGAGGATACGTAAGTAAAACAAATATGATTTCAGTTAGACCAAACAATCAAAATATAAACCACAGTACAGTAAACAAAATAAACAGACAGCAAATGTGAAACAATAATAATGCCCCATTACTGTTGTAAGGCAGGGTATAAATATGGATTAGTACTTACTTCTGTGGATCCTGTGAATGCTACCTTATCAACATCCATGTGTGAAGCAATGGCAGCACCTGCACTTGGACCATACCCTGGTATTACATTAACTACACCTGCAGGAAAGCCAGCTTCTGCTACCAGTTTTGCCACGTACAGGCCAGTCAGCGGGGTCTGCTCGGCCAATTTCATAACAATGGTATTGCCTGGAAAGCACAGCATACATTACAACACACTGGCATCTAAAATTAAACCAATTTAGTAAAATTACATTATTTAAAACATACAGTACAAAAATTATTAAACCCACTCGTATTGGTTGACTCGACATAACTTTACAAGCACTACTGAACTGGATTCTGCATGCACTACCTACTTGGACATCTCTATCAGTAATAGTCAAGTAGCCTGGGTTATTTTGCAATGTTTTATTTTCATTTCTTAACTTGACAGCTACTTGAATCACTACCGTTTTCCTACCATTAGCTATCCAAATGTTCACTATACAAAATTTGCTTATATGAAAATTCGATTTTTACTACTGTATTTGAAAGTACTGTAATACTGTACTGATTCGCTTATATGAAAAATATTAAGACCCTTGCTCAGTGCACCCTCCTCCCCTAGTCAAGAGCCCTCACATAAGGTAATGTACCAACTGTATACTGTATTGTACAGTAATTTATTTAGTTTACCAATTTGTGAGGCACTATAATACCTGCATGGTGTTTTTTTAGTTTCTGAACAGAATTAATTTTTTTTAGGTTTAAGTAATTACCGGTATGTCTTTATTTTTGCCGTTTGTGGACCGATTAAATTTTTTGGGGTATAATATTGTAGTTTTCTTATCGTTGGGGAAATGAACCCTATCTTTCCCAATTATTATTTTATTCATTATCCAGAATTCAATACTGTATCTGAATGGTTTTCAAGGAATCTAACCCATTTGGATAGTGAGTGATGCCTGTAGCTTTACAATTCTAATTCTTCACCATTTATATTTTGGGGGGGATTTTTTAAGCTTTTCTGCTATTTTGGATTTACAGTACCAATACTTAAGAAGTTAAACACATTAAATTCCAATTCCGAGAGAAAAGGGTTTGCCGTAATCTTGATCATTCTGATTTTGTTTAAAATTGCGATACTGTACCTGTACTGTACAGTATAGCTTTTACTTGTCCAAATGATGCTCAGATAATGTTAATTAAGTTTGCAAATGCTGTTTACCTTATTTACCTAATGGCCTCCTCCACTTGAGGTGGCCATGCCAAGGGAAGGAGGCCACTCCACCTATGATTTTTCAAGAGCACTTTTAGTGTTTTGGGGTTAATCTGGAAATATTTAAGTAGTTAAACAAATTAACTTCCAATTCGGAGAGAAAAACAGTTCGCCGGTCAAAAGATCACTAAAGGGCAAGCAGTACCGGTACTGTTTCAGCCGTAATCTTGATAATTTAGATATTTTTCAAAATCTCTAGGCACTCCTAAACATGCTGATTAAGAATAGGTGGTCAAAAATTTGATATTTGGGTAATTACTTGTTCTAATGACAGTACTGTATTAACAATCACTGACAATCTCTAACCTATCCTAAATATTAAAACAAAAACTTAATGAACATATCTTGATTAAGATATTGTTTCTTGAAAATTAAAACTTTTATCTAAACTCTGTGTAGTAGGTAGTGACTGTCTGGATGCCACACACTAACACAAAAGCTCCAACATTTACATGTGGGATAGATTTAGTTTCATCCATGGAAAAATAATACAGTATTATGAAAAACATTCCTTTCCAATGTATCATCTAAAGAAAAATTTCCTCAAGTTCCTGGCTAACATGCATTAACCATTATCCAGTATTACCGCTGATTCTGTGGTTTGATTGGAGGCAGCATGTTTGTGATGTATACTGTATTGTGCAATTTCCTTTTTATTAAAGCAATTTTCCTTGTTTTTGTACAGTTCTCTTTATTTTTCCATGAAATACCAAGACACTGTACATTTCTTGGTTGTGTTTAGTAAGGAAATGAACCTTTTTAAGCTTTGTTTGGTGAATCTTTTGATCCCCCTGTCCCTATCCCCTATTTTGTATTACATTTTTTAAAAGGTTTTCTGTCCTTATTATGCAAAATAACAAGAGGCTACTGTACTACCTATATGAAGACCTTTATCTGTAATATTGATACAGGTACTCATTTCTTCCAAGATTAAAATACTGTATAATGTACAGTACCTGTAGCAAGAGCAGGTCCAAATTTCCAAGCTTGCATAAGAAGAGGAAAGTTCCATGGGATGATTTGACCACAAACACCAATTGGTTCATGTCGAGTGTATGCAAAGTGTGGACCATCAGTGGGAATGGTCTGACCGTGAATTTTGTCAGCCCAGCCAGCAAAGTAGCGGAGATTCTTTACAACAAGTGCTACATCAACCATGAAAGAATTTGAGTATGGTTTTCCATTATCGAGTGTCTCCAGACTCTAGAGAAAGAAATGCAAAATATTTCAGATGGGTAAATTTCTGAATTTAATAATGTCAAAATGCTTCTACAATACATTTTATATGGACAAGATTACCCTGGTACTCAGTTAGGTACTTTGCACCACATTATATGGACAAGATTACACTGGTACTCACTGCTAGGTACACTGCATCACGCTCGATGAGGTCAGCCAACCGATTTAAAAGCTGACCTCGGTCATATGCATCCATCTGGCGCCAATCCGAGTTTAATTCAAAGGCCTGTCGAGCTGCTTTTACTGCCTTTTCAACATCAGCCTGTGGTAAAATGTCAAATAACAGACTATTCATAGTACTGCCACTGTATTAAATGTATCTAACAAAACAATGAGAGCAAAGGTTAAATATAAACAAATAAAACGGAATTTACAGTATTAGACAAATTAGAATACAGTACAAGTACCGAACTGTAGTTAAGAAAATGGTACTACTGTATATAGTACTGCCACGGTAATGTGTACCAGCAGCAGTGAAAAAGGTCTTATTGGCAAATCAACATGGAGTAAAAAAATTCTTTATTCACTTTCACATTAAAACTGGGAATACAAAATTAAAACACAGTAACAATGTTATACAGGATTTCAGACACCCTTTATTACTATTTTGTTGTGTGTACTGAGTGCTGTAATGTGTAAATGTGGATGGGCTAAGGCTGATAAGTGTAAACTAGACTCTAGTAATTCTTGATCATCCATGACAAATTTTCTTACCTTATCTCCCTCCTCCACCATAGTGATGACCTCCCCAGTGGCAGGGTTAATAGTAGGGAACTGTTTCCCACTCTCAGATTTATGGAACTCATTGTTGATGAAGACCTGGTGGTAACAAAAACAAAGAGTTAAAAATGAAAGAGAATGAAGGAAGAATTTACATACTGTATCTCCATGATTTATGTCATTTCAAAACTTAATAAAGAAGGCAACCCCCACTATCTAGTACAGTATAAAGTTCGCCACATAAACATATTGGGGGTCCCCTCAGTATAAAGGAATTATTTTTTGTCAGCGTGTACTTAAAGTAGCTACTGTAACACAAAAAGTAACGCAGAAGCTGCACCTCTTTCCTTTTAAAAATTTATCATTTCATGAGCCATTTGTGTGGTTCATCTGTTCTTTGTTACAAACTTATTGTCCAGTTTTAGTACAGGAGGAAACCTGCAATGTTTGATAGGGTCACACTGGATAACACCTTTCCCATGTCTGTCCCAGGACACAAATGGGAGAGATACAGCACGTGCATTACCATCAAGAGTGCCAGATGTTAAGGTGGTGGGAGCACTTTATGCATTTTTATACTGTATTGAGTGAATTTAGGTGCTTAACCCTTGTAAACAGTCAGATTTTTTAGCATAGTATACTAGTATAGTATGGGCTAATTTTTTTTTTTTTTTACACATTTTTTGCCAGCTCCTTTCTTGAGCACAGGGTAGCCAAAATAAAAAATAGCATCCCAATTGATAATCACGTATCTAAACAAAAGTCTGCAGGTGATATCAGATTAAGTACAGTGCATAAATTAAACGCATACAGGACAATGGTAGATCCAGGTGGGGTTTGGGGGGGTACAGTTGCACCCCCTTTTTCAACTAATTCGGACAATTCCTTCTGGTGGTCACCCTCTTTTACACCTTTACCTCAACTACAATCAAAAACCAAAGTCACCACAGCCACACCCCAATTAGAGGGACAGTTCATGATGAGTCTAAGTAAGTCGGTCACTATGGAGGCAACAAAAATCCACAAACCCCTCAGCTGAAGAAGCTTGATAGCAACTTGGCATGCCCAGGGGATGGAATGGAGCTACTGAGGTCTTTCCCAACATTGTGACTTGTTTCTAAAGCTTAACACCCCACTTGCTGCATCTGCTGCTTGTGAGCATATGTTTAGTCATGCTGGGCTTATTATTTATTTAATTAATTTATTACACCCCAGGGGACGAAAAGCCTAGTCACAAGACATGTGGTTAGGCACTAATACTGTACATTGGTACTCATGTCCCGCAGAACACGCTATGAATTGATATGGAGACAATATTGATATGATTTAAGGTCAATAGGAGTTAGCACCCACCAAAGTGTGGGTGGTGTACAAGAAATAAATCTAAATTATTACAGATAAGTAGGTGGTGACATATAGTGGTTAGTGGTACAGTCAAGGCAATACTGTTGAAGGGTGTTAGTGTTGGGACAGTTACAGAATTTACAGCAAGAGAAGTGCAGGTCATCCCCCACCTCAGATACTTGCCAGATAGGTCTACACCCTAACCTGGTGTGAGCAGAGACAACATTTTATCTGCGGACCACAAATCCACGTCGACAATACTTTTTTGGATAAGGAGGAGTGATCCTGTGAAGGATTGTAAAGAAGAGCAGAGCGGCTGAATGTACTCTCTTTCGGTAGGTCATGCTGGGCTTATATTTAAGCCTAAAAGATCCTGATTGGACAGCCATAATTTCGAGAAGCAGTTATTGATTAATCTCCATATAGGGGGCGCCGGTGATAGAAGCGGTACCGCTCTTGCCTTGCAAGTGAGATGTCACGGGTTCGATTCCCGAGCCGGTGGAAAAGTTGTTTGGACTTACTTCCTAGCCCCAATTAGTCCCTCTTCACCTAGCAGTAAAGTAGGTACCTGTTGTAAATCGAAAGTTGCGAATTCGTATTCAGGGAAAGTTGTTGGAGCTTCCAATAACTTGATGACAAAAACGATCGACTCTTCAGGCTTCTACGCCCTTCACCCCTCAGGCTTCTATGCCCTTAACTCATGAGACATAAAGGCAAGCATGAACTTAGCATGCTTCCCTGTTGGGCGCTATTAGGGGGGTGCCCAATAAAAAAAAAAATCCATATAAAGATTTGAAAATAAACATGTGTTATGCTAGGAGTCTTATTTATATCTTTAGTGAACTTTTTTTTTATTTACTGTGGATTTATTTCAATATTTGAGACAATTAATAATTTTGTTGTTACTTTTTTATTTTCAGGACTTGAGTACTTTATGAATGAGACATTTTTACTTCTACTTGTTTACATTGATCTTTGGATACTTTTACAGTACTTCTACTGGAGTCACATTTTGCCAATGTAACAATACTTTTACTAGAGTAACAAAGTCCAGTACTTTTACAACTCTGTACAGTATGTACTCACTTTTTGGCAGATTCCACAAGGTTTATAGACATCAAACATTGTATATTTCCTCCCATAGTAACACTGGACAATAAAGTTTATTAAGGCACAAAATAAGAGATAAACTGACCAAATGGCTAGTAAGCTGATAATTGGTAAAATAATAATTGAAATTTAAAAACAAATTAATGACCTTAAGATAAGCTGTAAGTGTTATCTGCGAGAGTAGAGTACTGTATTGTACACATGGGAGGAGTTAAGTAGATATGAGAACACCTTTACACAACAGATTACAAAACATTTGTTCTCATAAAAAGACCTAATCACATACAGTACAATACCTGTTCACAAGCATCAGCTGTACCTTTTCAGGTACCTATTTACCAGTGTGAAATCACCATCTGGTTAACCAAGTTAATTATCTCATCTATTAGGAATAATGCATACTTTTAGACAAATGTAATTTATATTAAAAAAAGTGATTTGTCTTAGATGTTTTTTTTTTACAGAATACTGTATATGTCCAAAATTGGATTAAAAATTTCTCACTAAAGGAAAAAAATGTGGCAGGCTAAGGCTAGGTTAGGCAGTCAGCTCCAATCACACGGGAAAAGGGAAACAACGGAGCACCTTAGCTTTCGTCTTTATTCAAGATATTGTGGAGGAGGAGGTGTTGCTGGCTGGTTGGTGTAGGTAGAAAGAGGCAGGTCACCACGAGGTCAGGTCTTAAATAGCGGGGGTTGGCGTGGCTTAGTAGTTGACCCCTGCTCCGTGGGCGGCGCTGGTTGACCTAGACCACGAGGCACACCCTGTGGAATTCGTGGGGTCGGCTACTCGGCGACAAACAGCGTTTGTAGGGGAGAAATCCACTACAACATCTTCAGAGGCCTCTGAAGATGTCTTGAATAAAGACGAAAGCTAAGGGGCTCCGTTGTTTCCCTTTTCCCGTGTGATTTTATCAAGATTTATCTTATCCACGTTTTCATTGTGGATCTACATGAAATATATATATATATATATATATATATATATATATATATATATATATATATATATATATATATATATATATACAGTATAACAGGCCCCTCCCCATGTCGTACTGCGCTTAGCGACAAGCATGTCGGGTGACCTTCACCTTGAGACGCGAACTTGCCACATATCTACAACGTGTTATCAGACCACCTCCTCAGTTAGTAACCATCCAACTTTTAGTTCCCACAACTACACAGCGAGTTCTGTCTATCACAATTTTTACTGTCGTTGAACTCGTGTACTTACTAACTTTGTTACGGGCTTAAAAAACTTGGATCATATGAAGATCTTCCCCCCCAAAGTATCCAACTGAAGATCCTCCCCCCCAGGCTAGATCATATGAAGATCCTCCCCCCCCAGGCTAGATCATATGAAGATCCTCCCCCCCAAGTAGGTTTGGGGGGGAGGTTAGGTTAGGTTTGGTTAGGTTAGGTTTGGTTTGGTTAGGTTAGGTTAGGTTAGGTTTGGTTAGGTGGGGGTGGATCTTCAGATGAGCGCGACTGGGCTTGATCATATGAAGATCCTCCCCCCCCCCAGGCTAGATCATATGAAGATCCTCCCCCCCCCCCAAGTAGGTTTGGGGGGGGAGGATCTTCATATGATCCAAAAACTTAATTCTTGCGGCGCAGTAATAACATTATAACAAACCTAATCTACTTAATAAAGGCCTCTTAACACACTCCCCACCCCCAAAAATACGTACATTATGAACATCCACATTAATAATGAACTGGATACTTGCACTATTCATGCTTTTCCGTAATTAACTTACTTATCCTATTTGCCACTGTCGGTCTGTATGCAGCCTGGGAAGATATAGAACATCTCAAAAGGGCAATACTCAGTTGAGTATACATACCTGGAGCTGGCGGACGCCTGCCCCACAATGGGTCACAGCTCAAGGTTGAAGAAGCCGCAAGTCCTGAAAACTGAAGGCAATATTTTTCGGCGAAATTTGTGAAATTATTTGGCCCTTCAGCTCAAGGCTTTAAAACTGGTCTCAAACTATCATTCTTCCTTATATCCAACATCTATCAAATAATTTTGGAGGGAGATGGAAAGTACAAGGTCAACCACTTGGTTCGTATTAACTGTACTTGATGGAAGTCACAGAGTACGTTCGAGTAGTGGGAGGTGAGGAACCGTCGTTGGGATAAGTATCGATAAGGAGGGCAGCGACAAGGGTGGTGCTACACACGCCCTTCATCCCACTTTTTTTAAAGATGATTGTTAAAAATTATTACAGTAAATAAAAAGACTGGAGGGCACACATAAATATCTGTTAGTCTTTGGACCCCATTCCGCGCGATTACGGCCTCCAAAGATAAAGAATATGGGAACAAGACCCGAAATAGTCGTTTCAATTGAAAATTTCGTACCTACCTACTGTATTTATATGTACTTGAAAACAAACCGATTCTGATTATAATTCACGAAACCTCGTTGCTTTCTAGTATGATTTACTGTGCGACGGAAACTAGGGCAAAAGAATATCACGGATGATTTATTTTATGAAATATAAGAAAACATAATTTTTCGTTAACCACCCTTTTGCAGGCGAAAAATATTTTTCGCTAATTTTCTTTTTGATGATTATGTCATTTATCTTTTGGGCAAATCAATTTTTTTTGTATAGCTATTTTTGACGTTTTGATCTTCCATATTCCTATATTCAGATAGAGAGCAAATAATAGTAATTTCACATCCATTTAGCAGCAGATTAGGGAAGGGCCGCGGGTGGAAAGACTTGCCATGACAACGTCACTTACCCCAGTGTAAGGTATGTCTGGTGATGTTATTGGTTCAGGGATGGCAGGAGCAGAATAGGCTGCTGCTGATGGCAAATTTGCTCTTGCTGCTGCTTTCAGAAAGGAAGAATGGCGTAGCACATTACGTAGCATGATGACAACACTCAGAACACAAGAGAACTGACTGTCCTTCAAGGCTTCAGACTCCTCACTAACAGACAGTAACAATATGCGCTATACAGCTATGTTGTAGTGTCGTCCGCAGTGTAGTTGAAAAAGACGACTGACAACTAAAGATAAGCTGCGACTCTGGCAGTGTTGCCATCGATGTAATTTAAATCCCGCTAGACAGGCCTCGAAAACCCTTAAAGCTAACTATTTCTTGAATATGACATGACGTAAATATAATCAAGAATTGCACCAATTTGTTTTGAAAATCACGCTTTGTCCATTTCTTTTTACTAGAGCCATGGCAAGAAAATTTTTAGAATAAAAGAGCATTCTGAATATACTGGTACAGAGAATACTTCTTTCTTAAAAAACAGCAACTCTGAAAATTCATCATCATTATCTTGGGCTTCAAAACCAATCATAACGGTGTCAAAGGAAATTTTTAACTTAGCATTAAGTAATTCCTGCAGTTGAAAGTACATTTTTTAAAAATCAGTATGATAATAATTGGCTTTAATAATGCTAAGAATCTGCCAGGCTTCTTTAAAAAAAATAGCTCGAAATAAAAGCTAGTCGCTAGATTTCAAATTTGCCCGCTAGATCACATGTAAAAGAGGTAGATCTGGTAGGAAAATAGCTAAAATGGCAACATTGCTCGCTGTAAATGCCACACACCACCAAGCTTTTCTGCTGTTGTCTACATTACTCAGCATTTATGTAAGATATCTGTGCAGTATAGATATGTCATCAACAATAGTAAGTAGCGATAAGTCGCTCACACCGTGATTTCATGGTAAATTACATATATTCAACAGAAATAAATATTGACGACATAGCATGTTCATCCAGTGTCATGGCATTTCAAGGGCATCTCCCAGCTGATAGGTATCCAGGGGGCGGACCAGCTTAATTTTTACTTTTATCCTCTTCACCACTGATTGGCTCGTTAGCCGCTTGGGCGATCGGTCACGTCTCTGTTACGCACTGTAGGCAAGTATTGGGCATGCACCGGCTCCTGAATGTACCTGAACCCGCTCCAGTGTTGGTCAAGTCTGGTCTTGAAAGAGCTCACACTCGGTGCCGTCACAACACTTTCTGGTAGACTGGTCCCTGAGTTCACAACTCTCACTCCGAAAAGGTTTGACCTCACAGTTTTCTGAACCTGCGGCTTCTTCAATTTTGAGCTGTGACCCCGTGTGGGGCGAGCGTCCGCCAGCTCCAAGTAAGGACACTCGACTGAGTAGTGCCCCCTGAGATGCTTATACACCTCAATTAAGTCGCCCCTTGCCAGCCTGTAGTATAAGCTAGGCAAGTTCAGGCGCTCCAATCTCTCAGGGTAGTTGAGGTGCCGAAGTGCAGGTACCAGTCTGGTGGCCCTCCTTCGAACATTTTCAACCAACTGACAATCCCTAGCATATCTCGGGGACCAGACGGGGTGACAGTACTCCAGATGGGGAAGCACTTCACTCTTGAAGATCGTTACGAGGGACGGACCGTCTAGGTATCTGAACGACCTTCTTATAAGACCCAATAACTTATTTGCCTGATTTACCTTCTTCTTGCAATGGCCCGAGAACTTCAGCTCATTGTCAACATACACACCTAGGTCCTTCTCACATTCACTCTCAAATAGTGCAGTTTCTTCATCCCGTTGGGACATATGATACGCCTCCTTACCATTGGTACGCCCCAGGTGCATCCTCTTACACTTCGTGACAATGAATCTCAGCAGCCATTTCTTCGGCCATTCCTGGAGTTCACAGAGATCCTTCCGCAGCTCTTCACAGTCCGCGTGGTTCTTGATTTCCCCAAATAACTTGACGACATCGGCAAACACTTGTATGGAGGAGTGTACAACGTCAGACATCGACATGTCATTTATGAAACAAACAAACAACAGAGGGCCCAATACACTGCCCTGTGGTAACCCGCTTGTGACAGGCACGGATGTTGATTTCGTGCCATTATTCACCACACACTGCTTGCGATCATGTAGAAAGTCTTCTATCCACGCTAGGACATTTCCCCGAATTCCGTACCCTTCCAGTTTGATTTTCAGCTTTTCGTGGGGTACACTGTAGAAAGACTTTGCAAAATCTATGTATATATTGTCGATATTACCATCCCGTTCCAGAATATGGGTCCAAATATCCAATAGCTTGAGCAATTGTGTTAAGCTGGAGCGCCCCGGCATAAAACCGTGTTGGCAATCCTTTACAAGGTAGTTTCGAAGTAGTACAGGAAGAGAATGTTTTTGAAGAATCCAAGTGATGTAAAATTAAATTAAATGGAGGGGACATACTTATTGTCGGGTGTATCTACAGATCCCCGAACTGTAGCTTACTAAACCAAAGGAACTTAGAGCCTTAATAGACAACGGAGCGATGCTCAACCTTAGCCACCTCCTATCATGGGGAACTTTAACTATGACGACATGCAAGTAACTTAAAATGCAACTAGCGTTTTGCCAAATAAGGGCAAGACTCAAGCTTTTATTGCTTAACTGAATGGAAATTATAGTAATTCATTTACAATCATAACCAGACTACACCTAAATTGGGTTCGATATGGAGGTAGTTTAGTTAGGTTAGTAACGATGCTATGCATTGATAGTATGTATTATGAATATGTACATCAGTGATGTTAAACTCAAGACCTTTCGAGGGCCAATTCTTATTTTAGTTACCCCCTTCAGGGCCAACACAAGTGCTATATCACATACAGTATTTGCAGGATTGAAGTTTACAGCTTCACACACATTGCCTTACCTGGCTTACCAGGAATACCTCATTTGGGTTTGTCTGATCTTAAGTATGTAAAATTCATTTTACTAAATAAACATGATTATATATTTTTTTTTCATAATTTCATGGGATGGATGATAAATTTTACCGTCATCCCGCGGGCCACATTTGGCCCGCGGGTCATGAGTTTGACACCTCTGATCTACATGGTTGTTTTTATATACTGTACAGTACATACTAGTTTGAATTTTCGAAGAAAAAATACACAGTAATAATAGCTATTTTGCAATTACTGTATCGGTATTTAGCCTGTATATGCTCATTGCTACTATTCAGTACAAGATTTATAGTGAATAAGGGACACAGAAAATGTTGGTACAGTCTGTATTTTGTTTCATCACCGTAAATTTAAGTTTCTTATATAACAGATATACATTTTTACATAATTTATTTGGGGCTTTAAAACTGTGGACATTTTCTTACGTAATGTAATGTTTCAAAGACGTGTTTATTGGGCTAATGAAATATATATATATATATATATATATATATATATATATATATATATATATATATATATATATATATATATATATATATATATATATATATAAAATGTGGGTGTGTGCTTTGCGAGTATCCAGTCACTAAAGACTTGTCAGCGTCAATGGAACATGAACACTGATATTTCATCAGACTCATTTATGAAACAATAAAGTTCAAATGCTTTGTTTACATTGTGTCACTGAGGGTCTGATGTGTGGATCATAAATCTGCTGTTGTCTCATGGATTACAATTCTGTAGGACAACCAACTGAATATTATTATATCGAATTATAGATTTTCCATTACCTTTGCTGTGTCATAATATGACATAATCAAGATAATTATAAATGGTCTTATCGATCGGAAAATAATAAATTGTTAAGAGGTTTCCAGTCCGTAATTTTGTTGGAGAGCCGGGTAAGCATAATCGTTGTTTGAAATAATTGACCTCCCAGTTCACACGCAAGAGGCCAATTAGGTCATATGTAAAGTATATGTTATAAGCGGAAGCGTCGACATAAAATACAAACCAAATCTAACTGAACCCAGCCTAAGTTGTTGTAAGGTTATCTTTTATCTTCACCACTGATCGGCTCGTTAGTCTCTTGGGCGATCGGTCACGTCTGTTACTTTTCCTTTAGTTAGGTTGGTTCATGTCTGCTGTCATAAATAGTTATTTTGTACACATACTATGAATACCCGGATCCCTAGCAAATATATAGTTAGTCAGGTCCGGCTCCATAGCCACAGCATTATTTTTTACTACTGTAGAAGCATGTTCATGATCTATCACGGTGGCTGGTTGGAGGTTGCGGCTGTGACCACCACTCAGTATTCGACTCCCCTGAGTACACCTTTAAGCATGAGTCTCTTGCCCACAATGGCGTCACCTTCTTTGGGCGGCGTCGCTGCGTCGTCTTGCGGTTCCTCTGCTTCGATCACTTCTTTGGCCATATTCCGCTTGAAGGTGGACTCCACCACGTTACCATTCCGCACACATCGCCCAATGGCTGCAGGGATACAGCATAATAATAATAATAATAATAATAATAATAATAATAATAATAATAACTCAGATTTAACCTTAAAACGCGAATTACATTTCTACCAACTTTAGGGAAACTTCTTAGTTTTATTGCTATAACTTAACGGAAACAAGTCATACAATATGAGTAAAATTTGTCTTATTTAAGACGTCGTTTACTATCATTACATAACCTTAATATATCTAACTTAGGGCAGGTTAATAATGATGTTCTTCATTTACAGTTTGTATTGTTTTATTTACAAATCAATTTTTTTTTAGAAAAAAATAGTATTTATCATTACTACATACTATGTGCTCATGAAAGAAACAATTGCAAGATTGCTGCTGAGGATGTTACCATTAAAGAGGTACTCGTCGCAGATGTTAGAGCCAGTGTCAGCCCCAGAGCCTCGAGGGTGGAAGAGGTAAGGGCATTCCCGTGCATCCTTGAGGCACGTCAGTCCGAAACCACACTTACCGTAAGCACTCCATGGCCCTCCACACTCCTCGTTCAAACCCTAAAATTGTACACCTTCGTCAAATACGTCATAAAATCGGAATGCGAGACAAGCAAATAGTTTGACTACACACTATGGTACTAAATTCCTGAGGCTGAAGGCAAGAAAACTGTCCTCAATTTATTTCGGTGTTTTTTGAGGGTGGGTCAAAGATTCTACGCCAGTTTTCTGTGACATGCAATTTGCATAGCTAAGAAATTAGATTCATCAAAGGGTCTCTGTTACGAACCACGCCACCAATTGTCATGATCTACCTACCCAGCACTACGAACCACGCCATCTATTGTCCTGATCTACCTACCCAGCACTACGAGCAACGCCATCTAGGGACAAAACACGAGTATGACTAGTCTTGGTTACCACTCCGGGGTTTCCCTTCTCCATATCCTGGTTGTTGCGTCACCTCCTACAGGTCTTCTTCATCATTTCCAGTTTGATGAGATTTCAGTTTACTCTGGGAAGTGACCACAGGACCACCTATCCTGGAAACCTACGGGACAGTGACTACCCACCGTTTTCTACAATACTCAGCCTTACTCGTCAGCCATCTCAGCTCCGCACTTAAGTATTTGTAATCTTATATTGCCTCCCCCACGTCCACTTGTTTCAAAATTGTTTATGTTGTATAAATATGTATATACTGTTAATGTTTAGGTTAAGTATGGTTAAGGGTAAATTATAGAAAGCTGAATATTTTGTTAAGGAATTTATGGTACTTTATTATACACAACAAAAACTCGCATCCTTTGTCTACCCTTTTATAGTCCGATCGTCTTTGTTTTTTTGTTGTTGCCTGTTGGGATCTGGGTAGACTTTTAACTATATTCTAAATCCCCAACTCGTAACAAATGGCGACCGTGACAGGACACGACCTTAAGTGCCATATTTCTTAACCCCCTTGTTACTCATTGTTAATTATTCCTCCCAGTCACTTCTGTTCAGAATTACTTTACGGTGGTTTAAAGTTTCCTTCATATGTGTGCGCATATATTGGTATTATCGTACAGTAAGAGTGACAGACGTAGGATATTAGGTTCCAAGTGTCATAAGGCTTACCTGTTATTACACGTGGCAGTCGTGTAGTAAGTCTTATCGAGTGTAGGGAAGAATCCGGATCTGTTTAATGCCGTACCCTCGCTCCAGAGTAGGCTGTTCCATAGTCACTAGTTTAGGGTGAAGTGATTTCTTGGGACGCCCCGCTCTACCAGGACCCCGTAATTATAAAGCCTCAATTATTGTTCTTCTCATTATCTCATTCGGGGTCAATAATCAAGTATCTAAGGGTTGTTAATTCGGATCTTTATATTAATGCCGTAATACGCCCTTCCTGTTTCAAGTATCTAAGTGTAATCCGGATCTTTATAGTAATGCCGTAATACGCCCTTCCTCTTTCAAATATCTAAGGGTTGTTAATCCGGATCTTTATATTAATCCCGTAATACACCCTTCCTGTTTACTCAGGGTTGTTAATCCGGATCTTTATATTAATGCCGTAATACGCCCTTCCTATTCCAAGTCTCTTATCATTATCTAAGGATCTTATCAGAAGAACAATATTCATAAGTGTAATTTCCCTAGGTATAACTTGGTTAGTTTCCGGGACTTTCTGGTTATCCACTGCCGTGATATTTTCTAGGGTAATCCACTTATCTTATCTTTTGACCATAAGTTAATTTATCTAGGTTTTCTTAACAATGGCCACCTCAGGATTTGTTAAACTTGGTAGTCCTGGAGGAGTGGAAGAGCAAGATACCATTTCACATTTTGAAGCATGTGGAGGAGCGTGGAGAGGTTAATTTAGGACGTGCGGCTGAGCTGGCTGATGAGTACGCCTTGCTGGTGGAGTCACTGTGCCGTAGGGAACGTGATACTTTCCGACATGTTAGGTCCTCCTCTGATGATAACCTTGGGGACGTGAGTGGTAGGTCGAAAGGTCCCACACCTACCCCCCCCCATGATGCAACAAAGTTTTATTGTTCTTACTGTAAAAACCCAGGCCATACGATCCAGTCTTGTAAACACCCAAAGTGTCGAACTGCTAAAAGTAGTTCCCTGGATCCCAAATCCAAACCAACAAGACCTCCAACCAGCGAATCCTCCGCTGGGCTCTCCCCACCCAGCCCTATAATCTACAAGTCCGGCATATAAAGGGGGTGGACAACCTGATTGGGGACTCATTATCCCGAGCTCCAGTGGAAATGCAGCAGCTACTCTCCAGACGCACCAGGTGATCACCTCCTTCGCGCCCGCGCTATGGAGGTCTTTGCAGGGGGGGGTGTCGGATTGCTGGATTCAGAGTCCAGAGTGCTAACCATTAACTCTTAATTTTTGTTGTTGTTAACGTTTCATCATTTTAACGGATACATCGCGTTTTTTCTTTTCTGGCCATCGGATATTTGAATTTGATTTTTCATAATACAGGAAGATCATGGTCATTATTCATTGTTCTGTCTGTGGTTCATTACTGAAGAATCAAGGGTTAATATTTTGTGAAATATTTGAACAATGGTTTAGTAATAATCCTGAACCTGAACTAGATCCAAGTAATTACAGTAATACAGCACTGCAAAATAAAGCTGTTTAGACTGAAAGATATCATAGTTATACAGATGGAAGTCACCCAGGAAGTGTGATAGATAGGGAGAAATTAAATATAAGTCTTACCTTAGCGCAGACTTCACAACAGTTACACACGTCCCAGGTGATGCCGCGGTGACACTCCCCGATGGCGGGACAACGGTTGGGGTTACAAGGTCTGCACTGCAGAGCCTCAGGTCTGTCGATCATTTGTGTTCGTAATTTTCATATACATACTGTAATAAATATACAATTTATGTGAAAATTACAAATATATATTTAAAGTGAACAGAAGCGATAACACATGTGACATTACCATCCGCAGTCGACGTTGCCTGATAAACAGAAGACTGGAGTGCAGGGGAGGTGGGCGGTAGAAGGAAGGATGAAAGGACGGGAAGTTAGCTGAATAACTGATGAATGCTGGCTGAATTACAAGGAGGGAAGTAATGTAATTTATAGTTCAGGAAGGACGGAGCTTGTTAAGTCACCCGGGGAAGGTGGAGTTGCTGGTAACTAACCTGACGGCGGTGACAGCGGCGGAGGCGGTGAAGAAGGTGAGAGTGAGAAGGCCCAGCATGGTCCACCTGCAACACAAAAATACTGTCACCCCCCCCCACACAGCACTGGACACACTACAATACATTACTATACAGCATTATGAAACAACAATGCTACTTCAGCTCAAGACATGTACCCGCTTAAACTTCTAGATGCCTATGTTCGCTGAGACAGGTAGCCGTATTGACAGACAGCAGATATAGAAAACAGTTACACCTATCCATTTTAAATAATAACACCTTGTTTTCCGTATCACATGTAAATAACATCAACGAATCCTCTATAGCAGACGTTGGTGTAATGAGAGACCAAATTTCAGACATAATAAATACAGTACTCCACAGATCCTTTCATTATGACTGAATGAAAATTTGATGAGACAAGTATCCCATGTGCAATATTTCAGTTTCCGCGAGAACAATTAATTTTGTATACATTAATATATACAACATTGTATCCTCAGTTGAAATACGGCATCTGGTGGAATGCATGAATATCCGAATGGAATGAATTAGACAATTAAAACACCAGGATGAATCCATTTTAGTATTGATCTTGGATTCTTGGCACCAAAATAAACCCAAATGTGACTATTAACACCAAAGCAGAGCGGACACTGAATTTGCCAAAACGGGTCCTTTTACATTATGCTAAAATATGTATAATCCGGATAATTATAAACCACTTGAAAATCGAAGTTAAAATTTCCTTTAAAAAAGAATCATAAATTGTCGGATAATAGCGGGAAGCTGCGTTGATGTTGACTGTAACTAAGTTATGTCAGTTTTCACTCCAGGTAATAATTGGATATAATCAATTATAATACTGTATATGTGCCTAAAAGTTTTTTAAGCGAGCAGAATGAAGTCGGAAGGCCTATAACCACATAATTTTTTCAATATCCATCCCAAATTTTCATTCTCACGAATAAAAATCACTAAAAATGTTTCCTGATACATTAGTCTAGTTTGTCTCTAATAAGGTACAGTACTTCAGATTGAAATTTCCGCTCGTTCTTTGTGTGGCGTAACTCTTTTAAAAACATTCGTTCTCCAGTACAATACATACATTATGTATCTGTCTTGAAAGACAAAACGCGACGTTTTCATTTTGTTCTTCAGGTATTCATGCAGTACATCTGTATTAAATAATAGAACATGGGGAATGGGTTCCTTCAGTCATTCAAAAACTTTTTTACTCTATTTGATCTCACACTTACGTACAATATTAATTTGGTTTAAGAGTTTCAAGTCTCCTCTACTCGTATCTTTAATATCAGTCTGATCAAATTAGTTATTTTCTTGATGTTTGGTTCACGAATACATAACCCCTATGCGCCTTACGAGAACATAAGAATATTCTTACTAATATTGGCAGAATATTCCCGAGGATGGTGGGCCGCGGGTGGTGACGTCTTATACAATTGGCGACGCGGGTGGAACTGAACCCCTCCAGTCGCCTCCACTCGTTTATATATCCTCAGCCAAAGATTCTATACTCTAGGCTAGAAGGATCGTTCGCTCCGTGCGGCCAACTGGGCACCATATTGTTACTCAGCGGGCTGTCTCCCACAGTTTGTAAACATGCTTATCTAATTGTAAACATGTATGACAAATTTACTGAATAAATAACACCGTAATCATGACGCGCGCAAACTTCAGATGAGTAACAACATGTGCTTGCATGTCACCAAGTTGACCGAACTCTACGGCTCTGGTTCACCCCCGACAGGCGCCGCCAACTGGCTGCTAAGTATAAACAATAGTTGATATGCAAAGTTTAAAGGGAGGGAGACGCACATTTTGGTGAGTGCTTTGTTTTTGATTGTCTTGTGCACATTATTTTACCATCTACAATGGGATACAATTACTGTGCAACTATAACTTGTTACAACAAAAGGAACAGAAACCTGTCTTTCTTCAGATTTCCAAAGGATTCAGAAAGGCGAGTCGTAAACCTACTTTTGTCAATGTTGACTGCTCATTAGTTTTTATGAGCTCTATATTTATTTAATGCATTTAATTTTGATAACTACCCACTCTTCAGAATTGATAGTGTACATCAGAAACTCAATCAGTGGCCACTATGAAATAGGGGTGTAATCTGAATTTTCTTTGGCACCCGTTCAGTGGATAGCATCCCGCTTTGTAATTTTTTATTTATTTATTTATTTTATTTTTTATTTTTTACGGGGATTAGCCCACCCGGGCACAGGTCATCGACCCACAACGGGGCCTAATCAAAGAACCCTCCTGGAATTAAGCATGGCAAGTTTCAGTTATCTTTGGTCAAATTGCCTTACTGTCTACCATTGTTGTATACTGTACCTGTATTGTCTATATCCATGCTGAATTGTACCTGCATAGTTTATATACATGCCTATCCAATTGTAAACCTGCTTCACAATTTTACTGATTATTATTATTAATATTATTCAAGTATTGAATAATAAACCTGATCTCCACACCTTTTCCACTGTAGCAGCCTAATCTTAAGACCTCGATCAGTTATCTCTCCAACAATTCATTTGTAGTTGTGTACTCTTGATGTTTAACTGTATTAAGCAAAAAAAAAAAGAATTACTAATCAATAAACTAATGAGCAAAAAATGTGAAACAGTAGTGTGACTGACAGCTCGGTTTCCAACTTGTAAAAAAACAGTGATGATTTCTATATCGCTACTGTGTTTAAAGTAACCACAATATAGTGCATTGGTTAACTATCTGAGATTTTATCATAAATAGTGTAAAACTGGTGCAAAGCTGTACTGAAGAACCAAAGGGAGTATATGCACTAAGGAAAATATTCAATTTTTCTGCAAAATAATCTAAGTTACTCTTCGACATTATTCCTAGATATCTAAATTTGGATTTCAATAACCTACAGACAAGATATATAAATGGTTTTTATTGAATAATCTGGTGCTGTCACACAATATCATGCAAGACGCAATGGGCTTAATGTGCTTTTACTCTTCAGCCGCTTGGTGACGCTACCGTCGCGGAGGACAAACAATTGAGTGAGCTATCCTTCTAGTCTCAGATTCCTTGGCTTAACTGAGTTTATACTTAGAGCAGTCGCTTGGCAGTGACACCGTCGCGAGGGATTGTTAAAATAATTGTTAATTATAGATGATTATTTATATTACCAAATTTACATCCAGTATCGTTGCATCTCACTCCGTCACATTCTTCCTACGCCACTATTTCCCAGCGATGCAATTGAGTACAATAATAATAGAGCCAGGTAACATATAAACTAAGTACTGTACGCTAAGTAATACTGTCTGAACTTAATAATGGTCTTCAATTTTGAGCGGCTGCCACAAGCAGGACATATGAGAAAGCGTAGGCAGTGTAGGCGTATTGAAGAGTGGCGGGGCGTCGAGGGGTGGGCGGAGGTTCGATCTCTTCATCCTTTGTAGTTGTGTGTGTGTTGCCGCTATGTGTCACTTGCATGCTGCCCCCCCTCCACCAGCTCCCCTTGGTGATCAAGTCGGCCCTATGTGCTCGAGGGCCAAGATGGTTTGTGGGCTTCAGAGAACATGACAATATTGATATCCGAGCCAAACTCGCGTCTAACACAGACACTGTTGAATACAAGGCGGGTTTGTCAAAAAGAACCCTTAAAAGTGTAACCAGAAAGTACTTGTTGGTGAATTTGACGCAAGCAGACAAGTTTGAGTTTTGAATACCTATCCACACAGATGTGAATAACAGTTTGCGGCCAAGCATATTGCTTTACGCTGCAAGACGGTTGTGAATAAGTCATCCTTTATGTACAGAACTAAACAATGTATTGCATTGTATTTTGAACACTCTATAACATTGAATTTCATAATATCTTGACCACTGGGGTATGTTATACACACTTACCCTTTGTGACCTCTACTGCTGCCGCTCACAGGATGAGTATGAGGTGCACAATAAACTAGCCGCGGTACGTGGCAAAAAAATCGTGGGCGTGAGAATGGCCGGTGGAAATGATTGAGCTGGGATGGTTAGTAGGCAAGTGGAAATAATTCTTTGACCAGGCAATGAGAATTAAGCAATACACAACTGAATAGTTTCAAAGTGACCCAATTAAATCGCGTCCGAAAACATACTGACAAAATCTTGGCTGTTTGACTGCTGATTTTCTCGCATATTACCGCAGCTGGTTTGACAATAATCTATAGCGCTCAGTAGAGAGAGACCAGTTGAAGTTTTATATTAAATTCTTTCCTATAAAGCAATATGTACACCATACATTCATTAGGGTAAGATGATGCAAGGGCGGATCCAGGGGGGCCTGGGGGTCCGGACCCCCTCTTTTCATTAGAAAATTTCAATACTTTTTCTTTAATGCAGTATTGTATTCACGCATTTCTGTAATGTAAAAAATAATTGCTATTGACCTCACAATATCTCCTAATATCAAGTGCACATGCCTTCAAAATGGCCTCAAAATGCCCATGATATTAGTCAGACAAAAAAAAAATATAAGAGGAATGGCTTAAAGCCCCCTTCTTGGACCTCCCTCCCTTTTGATATTACTGGATTCTCCCCTGTGATGTCGAACTTTTAAATCGGCCATACTGTAAGTATCACATTTGTATGTTTGAGTATCCAAAACTGTTAAAATGATCTAGTTTAACTCCACCTGAGATGTGCCGCGGTGGTCATGGTGGTGGTGTGGCAACCGTGGGGCAGGAGCAGCAGTGGCCGTCGTGCAGCGGGTGACAGTGGCAAGTGACGTGGGAGGCTCCAGCGATGGTCCTCTTGACGTGTTTGGTAGTAGGCGGGAGATAAGTAGCTTATGACAAAATCTCCTCAAAGGGGAAGTTTGTGGTCAGGTTAGTGACGTCAGTTATCTGTCGATTAAACAATAAACTATCCATGTATTAATAATAACTTAGGGAACCAAAGATCTATTTATATTAAATAGTGATTATTATTATTGTATAGAAATCCATGACATTATCCTACATGCTGGACTCTTGAAGCCGTGGGTGGGGGCTAGTGGCACAAGAACGCAGGCACTTCACTGAATATCATAACCAGTAAAGTGACCCATTTGATCGATAAATATATACCCAAGACCAAACCCAGTGCCTCTAGGAATACGAGGGGATCCCTACACATGAACCATGCGGCGGTCGATAAAGTTAAGAAGAAAACCCAGAAATTCAGGACGTGGGTTGGGTCAAACGATGAGCAGGACAGGAGGATGTATGCAAGAGCCAGAAACCAAGCAAAGATAGAGTGTAGAAGGGCTGAAAAGGAGTTCCAGAGGCTGGTTCCAGGTGAGGTCAAGTCAAACCCAAAGGCGTTTTACCGCTATGCAAAGTCGAAATTAAAAACGCGAGTAGGAGTATCAGACCTGAGGCTTAAAGATGGTAGTTACACAGAGTCTGCCCAGAACAAAGCTGAGGCATTGAAAAGCTTCTTTTCCTCGGTGTTCACAAGAGAGGATGCGATTAACCTACATGCGTTTGAGGACAGACGGTTCGACACAGCACTGACCCACGATGTGTTCACAGAAGAGGTTATAAGAAATAAACTCAAAGCTAAAGGTTCCTAAGAGTCCCGGCCCTGACATGGTGCATCCCAGAGTGCTAAGAGAGTTGTGCAACGAGCTTGCCGAGCCCCTGAAGGTCCTGTTCAGTAAATGCCTGGATGAACAAAAGGTCCCCAGTGAATGGAAAATGACTTGTGTGAGTCTTATCTTCAAGAAGGGCGATCGTCACTCCATGAACAACTATAAACCGGTAATCCTGACAGGCATAGTATGTAAAGTACTGGAGACCATTATAAGGGATGCCATGATGGTGTGGGGTTGTGAATATTTGGTTCACACTCAGGATGGGATGGAGAAAGAAAACTCACAATGTGCTCTCTGTATACAGATTGTATTGGATGTACAGTGCAGCTTGGTGCTGAGAAGGCAGCATGGTTACAAGCGTTGAGTAGAGAGAGCTGGTTGGTGAGGGTGCTCAGAGGAGGACCAGCTTGTGGGTTGCCATGCTCGCCGGCGGGAGCGAGGGCCGCCAGGCAGGAGGAGGAGGAGGTGGTGTTGCTTGCTGGTTGGTGTAGGTAGAAAGAGACAGGTCACCACGAGGTCAGGTCTTATATAGTGGAGGTAGGCGTGGCTTAATAGTTGACCTCCGTCATGTAAGGCGGCGCTGGTTGACCTAGACCACGAGGCATACACTGGGGAATTCGCGGGGTCGGCTACTCGGCGACAAACAGCGTTTGTAGGGGAGGTATCCACTACAATGGAACGTCTACTACGAACCAAACTTGTAAAGGATTGCCAACACAGTTTTATGCCGGGGCGCTCCTGCTTAACACAATTACACAAGGTACTGGATATTTGGACCCATATTCTGGAACAGGTTGGTAATATTGACAATATATACCTAGATTTTGCCATGGCTTTCAACAGTGTACCCCATGAAAGGCTGAAAATTAAACTGGAAGGGTACAGGATTCGGGGAAATGTCCTAGTGTGGATAGAAGACTTTCTACAAGACCACAAGCAGTGTGTGGTGATTAATGGCACGAAATCATCATGTGTACCCGTCACAGACGGGTACCAAAGGGCAGTGAATTGGGCCCGCTGTTGCGTGTTTGCTTCGTAAATGACATGCCTAAAGCTGTACAATACTACATACAAATGTTTGCGGATGACGCCAAGTTATTTCGGGATATCAAGAACCAAGCAGACTGAAGATCTGCAGAAGGATCTGTGTGAGCTCCAAGAATGGTCGAAGAAATGACTACGATTCAATCGGTCACGTCTGTCACGCACTGTTGGTAAGTACTGGGCATGCAACGGCTCCTGAATGTACCTGAACCCGCTCCAGTGTTGGTCAAGTCTGGTCTTGAAAGAGCTCACACTCGGTGCCGTCACAACACACTCTGGCAGGTTGTTCCAAGAGTTCACAACTCTCACTCCGAAAAAGTTTGCCTCACAGCTTTCTGGACTTGCGGCTTCTTTAATCTTGAGTTAATATTAATAAGACAATTATTGGCTATTACAGTTATTCAAATAACTAAATATTTTCTTTTATATATTATATTATATTACATATATTATATTATATTATATTATTATATTATATTATTATATTATAATAAATGCATAATACATTTAAATATGAGGAATGCTACTGTCACCCCCTTTTTTTATATAAACCAGTAAAGAATGCATTGTTCCTTTGCTATTTATTAGTCGCTTTTTTTTAAATACCTAAAAAAAATAAACAAGATCCTTTAGTTGGTCTTTCTACTTATGTCGTTTTGTAAGGTGTGGTGACGTCACTGACAAATAGAACTAGTGTTGGGAAGAGGAATTATAATCTCTTGACGCTTGAGGCAGTGGGTCAAGTGCAGCTTATGTAGGGAAGGATGTGGGATGCTGGTTGTGGTGATGTCCCCTCCTGTCTTCACACACCCTGTACATTTTTACCTTCCATCACCTCTCTTCCCTTTTCCATCCTCTCTCATGTACCTTTCTCCCTTTTCTCACACAATCTATCCCTTTAAAATCTTGCTTCCTATTCCACATTCTTTATCAATTTCGTTTTCTTTCTTCACAAAGTTTTACACCTTCACACCAACCTTTATTTATCTTTTCACTTTATTTTCCTTTTGCACACACACACCCGATTTGTTTTGTTTTTTCACCATCTTATGGTATGTGTTTATTTTTTCCTGTGATTACCAGGAGACAGGACAATTCTTCTAATGTTAACACCTTGAGAAGCTATTTGTCATAATAAGCAGTGAAGTTCTGTTTTTGTTGATCTGCTTGTGTTGTGAAAGTATTGAGCTGCATTGTCTATAATTACCATATACAGTATATGCAGAATTGTATATATGCATTGTCTATATTTATAGTGTACAATATAAGATAAATTGTATACTGTACCTGTATTGTGTAATGTAGTACATATGGAATTGTATGATTTTACTCACTAAATATCTATCTCAGTCAACACTGACTTGTTCAGTATCCTGCAGCCATGATGATTTTATTTCCTACTGGACTCTACTGTATATCTTGGAATGTTCTTGTACAACACTTCAATCTTTTCTTTGACCTTTCCCTTTTTGGAGGCATTTCAGTTCTTTACTCATCTCATTCTGTATAATCGAGATGTCTTCACACATCCCTGATGCCCTAACCTAGTAATATCAAAGCTGGGTGCACTGGAACAATCTTGAGATTGGAAGGCCAAAAAACTGCAGGATCATAGCAATTTGTGGCCAAATTTAAAATATATTGATAAATAACATTTCTTCAAATTTTCCACTGGGATCAAACCATGTTAGAAGGCATGTGTCAAAAATGATAAAACTTATGCCAATGGCATTTGACTCATTGGTGTAGAAGGTACAGTATTGTAACCAACTTGAGAGTGTAGGGGCTTTTGAATTAATTGGGGTAATTAATTTGAAGTTATGAGGGTTGTGTAACTTTGCAGTGTAGAATGCTATCCCCCCCCCAACTTATTTTGACATTAATTCCATTTTACACACTCCATTACCAACATGTGCTGGACAAGATCTGCACTCATCCGTCTTACTGATCCAGTATCATACACTGATAATTATATCCTTCCTCAAGTATCATACTTCTCTCCTCTGTTTCTTCTCTGTAATAATCTCACAAATACTGGGGTGGTTAAGAGTTCCCGGCAAGTGCATGCTGTTGTAATGAGAAAAGGGGAAAGAAATGAGAGTACTGTAAGTGCATTTAGGTTTACCCATTATCTATTTGTCAGTCTCTACTGCATTTGATATTTTGCGAAGACAAAGCACAATGATATATATTGGATTTTTTTTCAATTAACCATACATCTACACATACATACAGTACTGCGGCAGTAGTACAGTGCTGTATTGACCACTGAACAATAAAAGTTAAAACTCTGCAGTAAAATTACTCACCTACTGTATACAGTAAAGGTATCATATTTTTCATCTTTCATTTTTGTAAGGTCAACAAAACTTTGCCCACTAAAATTTTTTATTGAGGTTAAATAATGTAATTCATATTACATACTGTATACTTCAAGAGTAATCAGTTAGGTAACAATAGAGGGTACTGTACCTTACACACAGGAACGTGACTGTTTGATCACTAATACTGTAGCATGATGATATTATACCATAGCTGTAATTACCAAAATGCCTGTACAGTATACAGTATCTGAATTCACGATTGAACATAAATTTATAGTTTATCTACTAGTATCTGTATTGTACTGAATATGCCATTTCCCACACTGAGCTAGCAGGGGCACAGTTCCCTTAACACATGTGGCAGATGTATAGTTCCCTTAACACACATGGCAGATGTACAGTCACCCAAAAAAGTCCTGTCGCCTCTCATCCTGAACCATGAACCCCGAGATTCAGACTCGTGAACCCGAAGCAGTAGACACTGTTACATTATTTTGTACATAAATGCTTCGGATTCAAGAGTCTGAATCTTGGGGTTCATGGTTCAGGACGAGAGCCGACAGGACTTTTTTGGGTGACTGCACAATTCCCTTAACACCTATGGCAGATGTAAAACTCTCTTAACACCTTTGGCAAATGCATAACTCCCTTAACACATAAAGTAGATGTACAGTTACCTTAACACCTGTGGCAGGTGTACAGTTCCCTTAATACCTGTAGCAGATGTACAGTTCCCTTAACACACATGGCAGATGTACAGTTACCTTAACACCTGTGGCAGATGTACAGTTCCCTTAATACCTGTGGCAGATGTACAGTTCCCTTAACACACATGGCAGATGTACAACTCCCTTAACACCTGTGGCAGATGTACAGTTCACTTAACACCTGTGGCAGATGTACAGTTCACTTAACACTTGGATTATAACTATTTCAACACAAAAGTAAAATGTTATCACTGTAAATAATTTATGCAGTTCTGTATACAGTACAGTTACATGGGGCAGCAGAATCTTTCCCAATATATTTCAAATGTTCAGTACAGTATCTTGTCACCCATAAGGTCTAAGAGAGATAAAATAAAAGCAAAACTGAGCTCAAAACACTTACCATACTGACCAATACTGGATGTTGCTAAAGTTGCTGTTAAAGTAATAAAGCAAGACTAATATGAGTGCCTGCATAATATAGATGAACTGTCAATGTGAGACAGGACTGTCCCCTTTGGTAACAAATAAAGCCAGCCATACCAATACATACCTACCTTAAATTTATAGATGAAATAAGTACTGTACTATACACTATTGTAGGTAACGATCTTATATGTAGTCATAATTATATTTATACATCACCTCATATTACCCATTGTGATGCACATACTGTAGTCTTATCAATTATCAACACTAAATTTTACTGTACTGTATTTGAAAAACTATTTCGGTATTAGTTTTTGGGCAGCAAGCAATTATAAGGAAATATCCTCACAAAAAATGTACAATACAATATTCATTTGTACTGAGCTGATAGGGTGTATATGTAGTGACAACTAAATGTCTTATTAAACTACAGTATGTCCTTACTTGATTACAAAATTTCCAATTTTATCTAATAATGTTTAGTGACAAATATTTCATTGATTCTACAAAATTGTTGTTCTCTTAACACATACACACACACACACACACACACTGTACAGTATATGTGAACTTAAGTCTAAACATATCATTAGTATTAACTTAAAGGTGGGTTGCACAATAAAAAAATAAACAGTAAAGTAAATATTGTTTTAATTAACAACTTTGAAAAACCATAAAAAATAAGCATACAAGTATAAACTTTATAAGAAATAACAATGAATAAATTATCAAATATTATTGTATCATCATTATCACCGTTTTACAGGTACTGTATCTTCCACGCTTGCATTGGTTAGCCACAATTTCCTGATGGCAGTTGTTGGGTAAAACCAGAACTGGATCCTTTTACATGTTCAAGAATTTTCTGTCTTTCAAAATTGTTCTAACCGTTCAGCGGCTAAAGCCCAACGCCTTACCGATCACTGAGGGCGTTTCGCCTTTTTCAGAACGTTTAATTACATCAACTTTCACTTCCATCGTAATCGTTTTCCTTTTCTTGGATGCACTACTATCACTTGCATCAGGTTTGCATTTGGGAGCCATGATGAGGGCCCCCCCATAAAAAAAAAAAAAGAGTTAATAAGAAAAAAAACAATAGTTTATACTTGATCACACAGGAGTGTAGCTGGGTGGCGCATCACTCCCCACGTGCAGCTCCGCCTCCCCTATACGCCGTACAAACTAGTTCTCGTATGTAACTGCTACCAACCTCATTTGTATCGGCGGGCATTTGTAAGTCAGGGAACCCCTAAGGTCTAAGTGCTTGTCTGTGTTGGTTGATAATTAGTGGCCAGACATCCAGTGTTTTCACAATATGTTTGATACTTTACTGTAGCTTAAAGTGCTGAATATAAACAACAAAGCAAACAGCATATCAATAATTACTCTGCAGTACAACACTATGTCTCTGTGACAGCACTACACAGCACCCCCACATAAATCACCGGATAATAATGTCGTGTGCATCTCATTATTAACTGAATGTGATGTGTTGAACAATATAACAACCAAAGTACTGCAATATATCTAATACAGGTATAATGATACTTTGTATGAGATGGACATAATCTAGGTGTTAAGTGAACACCCTTTATCCTCTGTTTAATTGTAGGCTATTTTACACCCAAATTAACCGATAATAAGCTACGCCCAAGCTGTTACTTCTACTCCATCTTTCATTTCATGCCAGATTTGTGTAAGATGTCAGTAGAACTATAGATACAGAAACATGAAATTATAATTTATGAACTGTTTGGTGGCGGCCTTGAAATCCAGGGCTGAGTTCAGACTTAATGATGACAATATTTAGATTTAGCTCACACAGACTGGGTGGAGTAATCAGGAATTATGAGTGTTCAGATTGTTGCATCAGCTATGGTAACCTATGTCAGGTAATATAAAAATGTTTCCCTACCCACCCACTCCTATACTGCAAATGGATTACAGTACTTATTCGATGGAACTCTAATGGCGAGGTAAACACAAAATACAAAACCTTGGTTCATGGGACAATGTAGGGGGGATTATGATAATCATTAATTATAATTTTATAAACATTTATTGATACAGACTACTGGATATAAGTTTCTGAACTATAAATACATATTTTTCTACATTCATCAAACTGTGCTCCTATTCTACCGTGACTGCTGTGTATTGTATCACACCGCTGCCAAGATGATAGTGTCGCACTGCATATGAAATAAAATTATCTGGAACAATAGAGAGATCCTACACAGGCCACTGGCCTCCTTCCCTCGGCATTAGGTAAATCAGGTAAATTAATATGCTGTCAGATGTTTGTTTACAAATACAATTTTAACAAACAAATATATTATGACAACAGTTGTTGTCTGACAACTAGTTGACAACAGACATAGCAGAACATTTACCCTTCTTATAATATTACACCTTATATTTATATAAAAATGATTCACAAATATCTTTCACACCATTCTGATACATTTCATCAACATCTGCAATAAGATACAAAGATGGTAAACAGGTAAATGAACCCTGTAATGTGTGTTATGCAGCACTGTTGTGCAGCCATAACCGAGTGACTTGGAATGAACTAAGGGGAATCAGCAAACAAGGTAATCCACAATTCCACAATATGGCTACGGCGCTGCGGTGCCATATCTCATACCTGTGCCCTCACAAACTCCCAGGCCACCGCAGTACAGTACTTAACGGGGTGGTGTGGAGGTAAAATTAACTAATTCCAATAAAATTATTTTATAATATTGGAATTAGTTAATTTTATCGCCACACCACCCCGTTACGTACTGTACTGCGGTGTCCCTCAGGACTCATTTAGTTTAAAACTCGGGTTGATACACGACGACCCTTTTCAAGGAAAGATGATGTTTAATAATATGGGCGTAAGTGTTTTAAAATGTTTTCCAGCAGGGGCCATAGCAATTCTACAGAAGCTGTTAAGAAAATAGCATTGAAACTACAAGAGTTTGTCGATTGCTGATGAGTTGAAATTCTGTACTGGATAGGATGGAGATTCATTACGAAACTGAGCATTATTCACAATTTGCCTTATTTCAATAAAGGTAGAGCCACTATCATTCTGAATTATGAAAGTTTTTAGTGTATTCAATACTGGAATGTAGCTCCAAGGAAGACAGTTGTTAGTTGAAGGGGAATGTTCTATACGCCCAATACAAATGAGAGATAGTCAACTACAGTACTACCATATAATCACTAATCATAGAAAAAAAACATACATATTTATAACTAAAAGGAAATAATATAATGGAAAGATGACCTTTCAAAGGAACAAAAATATCACTACGTAATCAAAATTTGACAAAAAATAATGTGCATTAAGTGAAATTCAATTCATCTTCTTAAAAGGGACACATAGGAAAGATTTGTTTTACATTGTTCTTTATATCATATTCACAAGTAATTTTCCAATTAAATTTTTTTATTAAAGAATGAAATACCCGGCAATCTAAATGCAAATTCTAAGCAGTACTTGATTAAAAAATTAGTGTGGGTTTAAAAAAGGAATTGGAAATGTGTATTAATTATTTGCATAAAGGAGTGAAACATATCTGGAGACAGGAAAGAGTTTGTTGGGGTATTTCTGAACACAGACCAAGTGTGTGACAGAATCAATAGAACAATGATGTGGGAAAAAGTAAAGGGGGATGAAATGGATGTTGTTGAATATTTTCCAACATTTTTATAGAAAGAGTGAAATATCACTGAGAGTGTCAAGAAGCATCTACTGTAGTGTCAAGAAGAGAAGAATTAGTGCCCTGTGAAAGCAATTCATTGCTAAAGAAATGTTTTAAGTATGAAATTACTAATGTAGAAAAATGACAATGGACAATGAATACTCTGGTGCGGTACAGATTTAAATTGAAAATATTTTTCATGAAAACAGCATTATTCTTTTTACCTTTTATGAAACAGTACTAATCAATAATGGTGTAAGTGCTCTCATACAATTCAGAAGTGTGGATCGTAAGAGCTTCCACACAACTTACTCTTGAACAAACATAGTTTACCCACAAACCAATCAAGAATAATATAACACTTTAATATTATGATGTAATAAATAAATGGCAGACTCAAGTTCAAGTATGAATTAACATAATAAACAAAGGCTAATACCCTGTACAGTATACAACTCGTGACCGTCAGCAGCTCTGAATAATTACCAAAACAAAATATAAGATATATCTTTCAGTAATTTCACATAAAATAAAGCTATTTATAAATGACCAGAAACACATTACAAACACAATTTGATTCTTGCTCCAAAGTAAAACTTATTTCAAGAATGGAGGAACAGTGAAAAAAGAATGGTATCATACCTTACTATCATCAGTATTAAATACACTCTAAGATGCGATATAATGTACTTGGATCCCTGTAAGCCACAAAACCACCTTCATTGCTCCACTGTAAACTAGGTTGTACTGCATGGTCATTTGGTTTGTGATACCTGATTTGAAGTTCATTCAGATTGTCACCTCCAATATCCTGAAATATATAATGATACATTACAATCATCAAAAGATACCCAGACAAGCTACTGTAACATATTTATGGTAAATTCCTTATGACCAGGACTAGGTCAAATCTCTTATTCCTCATGCTTCCCTGATACCTCATATACTTTCTCTTCACTTATTCTTTGTTAATCATTCACAAATTTGTCTCATTGATTCTAATGAGAATTATTGCATGTGACAAAATCAGACATAATTAATTGATCAATTATACAATCTTCATCAAATATTCATAATGTATAAGTACAGGATCTTCAGTAGCTAAGGTGAACTTCCTAATCTCAGGTGATATTGTTTATCTAGAAAATTCATGTTGATGTGTAGCCATGAAGATGATAAAATATTCTGTATGTACAGTATATACTATAATAATCTATCTACAGGTATCCCTTGTTTAGTGTTAATTTGGTTTAGTGATAAAAAATTTTTTGACACCCTTTCTCACTTAATATTAGGTCAAAATTCAGTTTAACAATACAATGATTTCACTAGGAAGGAGTAAAAACTGGGGATGGGGAGGCCTGTGAGATGGTATGTTGCCATTCTTACATGTAATGAAACTATATAAAAGTTGTGGAAAAATCCTTACAATACTCCAATGTGACTAAGAAATACATAAAATATAGCTTATATAAAACCATAAAACACAAAAAATTCAAAGCATGCGTGTTAACGAATGTGGGGAGGCATTGGGCTATAATTGAATCGCCAACTCGCCACCCAATCATGCTCCCTTCCCTGATGAAAGGTCAAGGTGTGCACACACACACACACAAATATATTGGACTATGGTAGCCATGATTATTGGAGATCTAGGCTTCGGCTTAGTTTCAGTGTTGGAGCCTGGAGGATGCACTGAGTGTACCACAACATGCCCCTTTTACAGGCCCCCTATTGAGGGGGGGGGGGGGGCAACTTGTGTGGGGCTGGCTCTTCTGTCCTGCCCTAGGGTTCAAAGAGGTGTCTGTGGCTTTGGGGCCACAGATGACCCAGATGTAGACCCATCCGGTGGACCCACACTAGAGTTAACCCATGGAGATGGTTCCTCAGATGGATCCATACAAGTGACCCCTATGCCAGGAGTCCCAACAGCCAACTCTATTTTAGCTGGGGTCTCGTCACCAGATATTTCTGGAAGAGGATCAGTCGGTATCTCTGAGGAGTAAGCATCATCATGAGCTGACATCTGTTGGAGTGTTTGGGACTCAGAATTAGGTTCTGTAGCTAGCAAAGAGGTCTCGCTTTCTTCACAACAGTCGAACGTTTCTACCTTCAATACCTTGTTCAGAGGATCGTCTACCTCCAGAGAGTCTGAGGACCCTCGGTGGCATTTTGATGAAATTCTTATAGTACCAGGATGGCTGGTGGAGGAAAGATGTGGAGTAGCAGATGTACCTGCCTCATCCATATGGACCTCAGCCACCATGAGAGAAGTCTGAGGACTGAGAATTGGTGGCATAGAGTCAGGTGTGGGAGCTGAATTCAATACAGGTGCTGATGATTCTCAGGGCGGTGTCACAGCAACAGTTCGCTGAGCCTTGTGTTGGGACAGAACCTCTGCATGGGTATCCCCATGATTTGAGATATATCTCAGGGTTGTGTTTCTGGCTTCAGCAAAGCTTACGTTGTCTCTTGTGCAGATCTTGAGTACCTCTTTCTCGATTTGGAAACGGTCATATTCACTAGAAAAGGCCGGGTGTACCCCACTATAATGACAACAGCAGACTGGACCCGAACATTTCTGACCCTCATGGGCCTTATCACCACCAACACACAAGTGATTATATTACAAATGTGAATCTCTGAGTTCCATAAGACTTACCCCCTCTTTTGTTAGATGATCAAGTTGCTTAAAGATTACCACACCACCTCCCTGTGCTGTTAGAAGCCCATGAGGAGCACCTGTGTCCCACCGAAAGGTAGATCCCTGTAAAAATAACGCTACACATTAACTCCCATAAAGAACAGTATTTCTATTACAGTACTGGACATAATTTATGGTATGCTTAATTTTTAGTATAGATAGTAGAGTATTTGTGCTTCATTTTCATTATTATATTTATGCTTTATATTTATCAATTCATTTATATTTAAGTTTAGTTATTTTAATTACTGTATGCTTAATTTGCAATATTTCATTACTGCTTATTTTTTTTATCTCAATTGATTTTTTTATTTTATACTGTATCAAATAAAATCCTGCACATGGAGGAATTTATTCCTGACAGATAACATATACACCTGACTCTTGCTTTATGTGCACTTGCTATATGTGTATTCATAATTATGCAACGACTTGCTAGGACCATACTTAACTTAATAACAATTAATATTCAGTAAAATTGACCAAGGAAACCTGACAAAGCCATGAAATGCTTGTTTCCAGTAGAGTCCTTCTACCCACAATTCAATTAATGCCATCCCCCCAAAAAATGGGAATAAGGTGCCCTGTGAGATGGCATGTTGCCATTGTTACATGTAATGAAATCAGAAAAGTGGTGGAAAAATCATTACAATATTCTAATTTGGCTTAGAAATAAATTAAATATAATATAAAATGAAGAGCATGGGTGTCTGTGTGTGTGAAGTGAATGTATGCGTTGACTTGGGAGGTAGTGGGCTGTAACTGCGTATCCGACTCACCAGCTAGCTATGCTCCTTCTTCCCCCTGATGTGACACACAAACGCACGCACGCACACACGTCTCGAAGTCAGCTAGGTGACTAGGTACCCGGCTGAACTGTGTCATGTGGTCCAGATGATGGTGTAAGGAGTTATTTTTTCTTGCATAAAATATGTGCTATTGTATTTTATATGATATGAATCAGTTTGATCGTTTATCAGAGTACTGTAATTCTTTTTTCATTTTTGAAGTATCCATTTTGAATTTTTTTTTAGAATTACACTCAACATTAGCTCACTAAATCATTTAACTCTGAAACACATCATTTATATAGAAGTTTGATGTTAATAAATAAATTGTTTGGCGTTCCTAATTCAATAAGTTTGATACATATCATATCATATATATCGTAAAATACAGTACAGGAAAGCCTAGTGTTGCAATGGATATACTGTACTGTATGTCCACCAATAAAATTGTGTCTTGCCATATTTACCTTTTTTCTTTCAAAGTACTGTACTGTAGTAAAATTAATGGAAATAAAAAACTATATGTTTTAACTGCATCTGTTTACATTGCTGGTGGCATGTTGCCTGCTATGTTAGACACATCACTGTAGCCACATCCACTTAGCCATCTCCCTACCAGGCTGAGCTGTGAGTTATGTTATAGTTATTTTTCAGTTCATAATTTTGGGTAGATACAAATGAATTTTTATTTTACTGTTACATGCACACACAATCTTTACCGGTAATCGAGAATGTGCAAAAAAATAAAAAATAATAAATTAAATAAAAAATAAAGATATAATTACCATAAGGTCAAGAACTTAAAGGGAATAAAAATTTCTTAGTGCACCAAAGTTAGCACTCAAGAGCAGGCAAGGCTGAGCTGTGAGCTACGTTATGGCTATTTTTCAACTCTTAATTTCAGGTAGAAATACTGATATATATATATTTTTTTTTTATTCTGTTATATGCACACACAATCTTGCATACAGAATGTGCAACAAAATTAAAGAAAAAGTTATTATAAGGTCATAACATTAATGGAATAAATATTTCTTAGTGTGCCAGAGTTAGCAGGCAGAGTGGGTGAGGGGGAGGGATCTCAGCTGTTTGCTGTCTCCTATGTATAATAAAAAGATTGCCAAATGGCAACAAAATATTTTTATTTATTTATTAGCATTATTTTCATTTATTCCTCAAATTTCCTGGTACAGGTAGTTCTGCTATAACGCGATAATTGTGTTCTTGTAAAATATCGTGTTATAGAAAATCGCGTCATAGAAATAACAGGGCTTATGGAGAAAATAGGGTTAGGTGCAGATTACTCGAAATCGAAAAAATTTAGTAGTTAGCCTAACACAAAGGATAGCACAGTCTAAATAAATGTTACATTCATATCTAATAATGAAATCATACAGTAAATGTAACACTTTACCTTGAAAAAATATGAATGTAACTTGATGGGGGAGAAGGGTGATTTTGAGGTTGATAACATCAAGCTTCTCTTCAAGTGTTATATCCTTTCTTTTACGATAATCACCGGGAATTCTATCATCAGAACGCTTTTTGGAGATATTCTTCTTTACCATATTGACAGTTAATACCACAAAATTGGAGAAATAGTAAGCAAAAATCGCGTTATAGCAAACAAGCGTTCGCGTTATACAAATATTGTTCCGAATTCATAAATCGCGTTAGAGCAAATTCGCGTTATCAAAACACGCGTTATAGCAGAACTCACTGTACATTATATATTATTTTAGGTACAAAGAATAGCTCCTTCCACACTCAAACCTTTCTCTGGGCAATGTGACACAGTTCAGCCACCTAGCTGACTCAGAAACATGTGTGTGTGTGTGTGTGTGTGTATATATGATGTCACATTGCGGGGAGGGAGGTAGCACGACTGGACTGGTGAGTTGGCTAACACACACATGCTCTTCATTTTCCTTATTTTATAGTTTTATACAGTATTATATTTTCTTTATTTCTAAACCACATTAGAGTACTGTATTGCATGGATTTTTCCATAACTTTTATAGCATTACTGTTGTCTTTTAGTGTGCCTTTGTTATAAATTAGTGCCAGAAATAAGGTTGGGGGAGGTCCAGGAATGGTTTACATAGAACATAGCCCTTGCAAAAAGCAAGAGTCAGGTGTACTGTATAATTATACAGTATTCCATCCATGAGTTAGAGGAAGAAAAAGACAATGTTGCAAGCTGTGATGTGGTGAAGTACTGTGTTTACGAAAATGAAAAACATCATCTACTTTCTGGGATGGAGCTGAAGGATTTATAAACAATGTCTTAGTAGAAGCAACATTGGATTGTTTACTTTGGAAACAAACACTCACTCTTTTTACAAATTCTGCCCCATGATATTTCCAAGATTAAGTAATTTTATTCCATCTCCTACTCTTCAATTTATTACTTAGCAATGAGGTTGGGTTGTCAGTGCTTGAAATGTTTTTGATGGTCATAACTGCATGTTATCAGACATGTGTGTGCAGGTATAAAACTATTTTTTATGTAAGAAACAGTATTTTTGCTCTACAAATAGAAGATGGAAGTTTACTGACAATGTATTATTTGGGATTTCTTACCTTTGATGATACACAAGCTGCTGCATACCCTAAGGCTACCACTAGGAGCTTATAGCCAGCACCTGTGGCATGCAATACAGTGAAGGTTTTGTTAAATTTATCTTGAATCTTTGTATCTTCACTTGACGACATCACCAGTACAGGACGTCCATCTTCGGTGTTGTATGTGTCTAGTGGTACATTATGAATATTGATGCCACCATGACTCACTCCCCAGTAAACTCTTCCCTGCCAACTACAATGAATGATAAGAAATTATTGTAAATAAATCTATCTTTTACAGTAATTTAATATAAGAAAAATAGTATAACATCATCCAGGCAAAAATATATTCTGTAAACACGGCCTTCCTTTTGTACGAGTTAGCATTTCATACTGCGGCCTGGTATTTGCTGCATTTTTTGTGCATGTATTTTTTCAATCTCGTGCTTTACTTGTAATCACTCTACAGCTCTGTTTTAAGACAATGTTCATTCCAGTTCTCACTTTTCACATTTATAAATTTTTTCATTATGTCTGGCAAGACTTAGTTCTGGCAGCAGCAGTTGTGTTACCAGAAACAGAAAATTACAGATATTTGATGCTCATTAAAAATTTGGTGAATTATCAAAGGCTCTAAGGATTGTTATGTATGCTATGGGCACCTGGCACTACACTATTATATAAGAAACAACAGGGAAAATGTTCATTATATAATCTTATTGCATATTTTTCAAATATGTGTTTAGTACTGTACCTACTGTATATATGCTATTACATAGGGAGGTAAAGTCTTCCCTTTAAGGAGACTTGTTTTTTACTTCAAAATACAAGAGCAAAAAGAAAAAAAGAAAAGAAAAATTACCTTTTACTCTCTTCATTAAAAACAGCAAATGGTTGATTGATGACCCCTCCAACAGGTAAGCCAGACATACGATCATATAATCCAATAAGGACTGTAACACACTGAAGCCCCTGGCTATATATATTCCCTTGAGTAGTCCCAGTTTTGCCTTTCACATATTCTCCTGTAGAATCTGAAAACAATTTTGCAGACTTCACTATCAAAGAACATCAACAATAAACAGAGATATTTTGAAAATTTACCACAGCTGACAGTTTTTCATAAATAACTAACTATCAAAAAATGTGATACTGTAATTTAAAGCAATGCGTAAGTCCAAATTCACTTTATTTTATCCCCAGTCAGGTACACTAAAACTTCTCTTCATTGGCCTCCTTGGAAGTACACTACTTACTTATGCAAGCCTTTTACAAAAACTTTACCTTCAATGAAAATCGTTTCTTATAAACATGGTGAGTAATGTATAGATTCTGTAAAATGACCAAAGTGAAAAGTCATCATCATTATGTAAAGTGTAGAGTAACATACTGTATACTTAAGTGAGATTGGTTCATGACAGTAAAAGGTTCACCATATATTTCTAAATAAAATACAGTATGCATAAATACACATTAATGTTATTGAAAATTATGTTAATTAATTAAATATACTAAATATTGAAGAAAAAAATGTAAACTTTATTCTCTTAAATTCTTTACAAACTAATCATGTAAGTAAAAAATAAAATCTTTACACTTGTATTACATTGCCAGTACTACTACACGTACACTGTTACTTTAATTTCACTAGGATTCTTTATGCTCTTTCTTATAATTTTTGGACAGCTAATCTTTTTTTAACATAGGAGGTAAGTGGTTTCCTCCATTTAAAATAAAAAAATAAAACTAATAATAATAATAAAGAATACATTAAAAATCTTGTAACTTACCAACTGGATCAATCCATATACCCAACTTCTCTATAGGCAAATTAGGTATTTTTTCTATCAATTCAGGTTCTGGGCTCCAAGATATGTCAGAATGAACAACATCTGCTAAAATATCTGCTGCCTCCTGATTACCATCTAAAACCTGTAAGATATTTTCATACATTTACATTTGGTCCATCTGACTTAACAGACAAATGTCTACACTTAGTTCATCTAACTGTTAACTTGGATTTTATCCCTATACTGTACTGTACTGTACAACCAACATTGCCACAATGTTGAGACAAAATTAAACCTACAGTATATACTGTAATTCTTTTAACCCTTAAGTGGTGGCTAAGGATTCCCTACTCTGCCCCCATAGGCAGAAAAATGGAATGCAAGTACAGGGTAACATGAAATGTCAACTGATGATGGCTGCTGTCCCTACAGTTAACTTCTACTGATGATGGCTGCCAACCCTCCAGCTAACTTCTACAGATGATGGCTGCTGTCCCTACAGCTAACTTCTACTGATGATGGCTACTGTCCCTACAGCTATCTTCTACAGATGATGACTGCCGTCCGTACAGCCAACTTCTACAGATGATGGCTGCTGTCCCTACAGCCAACTTCTACAGATGATGGCTGCCATCCCTATAGCTAACTTCTACAGATGATGACTACTGTCCCTACAGCTAACTTCTACAGATGATGACTACTGTCCCTACAGCTAACTTCTACAGATGATGACTACCGTCCCTACAGCTAACTTTTACAGATGATGGCTGCCGTTCCTACAGCCAACTTCTACTGATGATGGCTGCCGTCCTTACAGCAACTTTTACTGATGATGGTTGCTGTCCCTACAGTTATTAAACAGATGATTGTAGCCAATTAAGGGTTAAAACATTCAGTGTATAGATACAATGTGTCACTAAATTTGTGCATAAATATAATTATGGCACAGTACTGTACCTCTAGAAGATTTTGAAGGTCTAGTCTGCTTTCAAAGCATATGGATAACTGAATGTAGAGGCAGAAAGAAACAGTCACAATTTAAAAAAAAAAAGGTCTTCTGTCTAAGGTATCTTATCAGGAAATTTCTACCAAATTATATTTATCTTATGGTAAGTATTGTAGTATTCCATCTGTAAACCTGCAACCCTTAAATCCCTCCAACCATCACACTTTCTTCCAACCCACACAACAGGAGCTTCCCATTATACAGATCATTCCCATGTAATATTTAAGCTTACCACTTAACTCAACATTACTTATCCTAAGGTGTTTATGACTTGTTAGTCAGTTTGCTGACTATCAATAATATGGCCCTATCTTTGCTTACAGATGCAAAATCATACGATCACAGTCCATTCCCAGATATGGATTTTATACTGTATATATATATATATATATATATATATATATATATATATATATATATATACAGTATATATATATATATATATATATATATATATACAGTATATATACAGTATATATATATATATATATATATATATATCTTGATAAAATCACACAGGAAAATGGAAACAACGGAGCACCTTAGCTTTCGTCTTTATATTACAGTATTGCGCTTTTCTTTTCTCACCTTCGCAAGAAGGATGGCAGTTTCTTGCTGTGTATCACAGATCCGTACAGTAATTTTTTCTCCAAGAGTATTTGTGAACTCGGCACTTTCCTCTCCTTGAACATGGTCACCAAGGGAGGGAATCTGGAAGATGTGGCATAGTGATAAGTGGAAAAAAATAATAATTTAGAGTTCAGTTACTCTCTGTAAATCTAATTTAAAATTTATTCACCCAATGCACCAGGTATAATATTTATTTCTGGTTACAATTAGAGTACAGGCACTCCCCAAATTAAGTTAATGCGAGTTACGTTCCTCGATCTATTATACTGTATTCTTAAAAAAATAAAAAGCAACGTATGACCATTTGTAATACCTACTTATGAACCAAGCATGGAGCGCTCTACTGTATTCAGCGCATCATGCCAGTTCACTCGCTGAGCCAGCTAACTCATGTGTAAAGAAATCTATATTCCCTTTATGTGTTTGCCTTTATGACAATTATTTCTTTTACTTTTTTTCACAATATGTATGTAAGATGGTGTGTGCATGTAACTGAGCAAAAATAAATGAAGTAAGTTATGTATATCTACCCGAAAAAACGAGTTGAAAAACAACCATAACACCTCACAGGTTGGTCCAGTAGTCTGGTGGTTGCAGTGACAAGTCTAACTTGGCTAGAATGCAGCCAGCAATGTTAACAGATGCAAAAGTGAAAAGAAGGTTATCTGTAAGTGTTCATTTGTATCAGGTATTACATTACATAACATTTTAAAATATGGAGCGAGAAAGGAGTGTTGCCAAGTGCTCCTCAACAGCTGGTCTTTAACTCGCTACCACGCACTCACAAATGTGTGAGGCACATCAATACGTATTTTATTGGGAATTTACAATGTTCCAAGTTATGAACAGATTGACTTCCGATCAGTGTCCAGGAACTTATTCCTGTCGTAAGTCAGGGAGTGCCTGTACTGTACCTGACAAGTATCATGAAAAGTCCGACATACAGAAAGAAAAATAATTTCAGAGGCTGTATGACTGAGTATGGAAACTAAATTTTAATACTACAACTTTTGTAACTGTACAGTACATCCAAAATAATACAAAAACACCAAAGAGCGCCATAAAAAATCAAAGGTGGCATTTAATTTGCATTGCAAAAATTTAAATTTTCCAAGAGTCATTAGGACAAAAAATTACTCATGCTGTACAAGTATATCAAATTTTTAACCACAGATCCTAAATCAGCATGTTCAGGAGTACTGTACAGTACTTATATTGAGATTTTGAACAAAACTGAAATTTTCAAGATTACAGCTGAAACGTCTTTTGGTAGAAAACCCATTTTCTTTCAGAATTGGAAATTACTGTGTTTAAATTTACTCAACCCTTCTGTACTTCATGAATAACACTGAGCTTCACCTCACTCACAATACATCAGTCTAGAACATACCAAAAATCATCCAGTTAAAATTCTTTAATATTGGACACATTATCTATATAAGTACTGTACATATACAGTACTGAACAGTAATCCCACAACAGTACCTTGCACAAAATTATGATATGAAATATGTCAATGAAGGCGCAAATAAGGTAAGGTATTAAAATAATACCTATGTAATAACAAGGGTTGTCACAAGACCCTGTACAGTACACAGTAATAGGGGAAATTAAAAACAAAATAATAATTTGTCAAGTGTTGCATCCAGCCAGTAGTGAGTTGTGGTCAGTGGGGGAGACACTACACTGTGGTAGGACAATTGTCTAGTTGATGATTGGTGAGTGAGTAAGTAAGTTTGTTATAGTACAACAGATGTGAGGTGAGGTGAGGTAAAGAGTCTGTTGATGTTTCTTACAGTTATCAGGTGAATAACTTATGTGCTCTAGTGGGATGTGAGATGTAGTCAAGTAATGTTGCCAAGTGGTGTTGATAAACCACTAGATGAGGTCTGTTAATAGAGGAATGTGGGCAGTGCAGAAGTTTGGTGGAGCTGATGGTGTAGAACAGTGGCATACTGTGGTTGCACTGATGATAAGCATGCAGAACACCCATATAAATCAGTTACCAAATCAAATTTCAAGTAGGATATGGCCTTTCTCTAAATAAGGATTGTCAAGCTTTTATAAACACTTAAGAAACTATACTAAAATTAAAATATCTTACCTCAAATCATTTGCAGTCAAGAAATATTTACTTATACTGTATTGAAATTCAGCTCTCCGAGGATTGTTTTTTCTCTGTAAATGTGCACGAATGGAAACATTTTCTTCTCAGTTTACTTAACACATCATCTTCACTTAATTTTTCACAATCTTGATTATTCATGATTTTAACGGGGGCAGTTTACTATCACTAATTAGTTACTGAACATAACACCACTCTATTGACAAGGCCACCAGGCTATATACTGCCTATTTCCTACTGATTATGTTTGGCTAGTTGTCATTTAATTAAAATTTTAAGTTATGACTTCGCTTAATTTCTTAAATTATATCAGCGGCATCTGACAAAGTATCTACCGTATTATAAATCAATATATAATGGGTGCAAAAATACTTATGGCAAAAGAATATTAAGCTTTCAGTGTGATCTACAGTAAATTAGAAATAAAGTAGTAAAAAAAAATGACTAGGCATCATGCACAATACTGGCCCTCTGTAAAGTTGTGAATGCTCTTATTGTTGAACATCTAAATAATTAGTAAACATTTTTATTTATATGATCCGATTATTATTTTAAGTAAAACAGAAAACTGAATAACTTTCCCAAGTGAAAAAACTACAGTATAACTGAAAGTGAACTGTAGGGTTATTTAGAAATATTAAAAACAATAATGTGGACCAGTTTTGTCCAGCTGATGGAGAGCCACCGCCGGTCTACATAGCCGCTAGACAAGTGAATGCAGTTTTCGAATTGCATGCATTTGTACCCAATACATTTACAGAAATCTTATTAAATAGCCACTCTTATGGAAAAACAACTCTTAGGTAATATAATACTGTATCACTGTATAACAGTATAACATAAGACTTCATGCTTAAGGGAAAAAGTATTAAATTTGACCAAAGTGGCTCAAATTCCTTATGCTCCAACACAATAAAGTTCATTTTAGCATGTTATTGATAGGATGGTTATGTCTATACGTCCATTGAGGGCATGCGGCTTATCCTCCTGCATGCATTGAGGGACACTGAGTCTCCTCGACTTTCCTGAGTGAAAACTGTGAAGACTAAAATTAAATCTGTATTATTGAAGATACTATTTAAAAATATATTTTGCTTTCTACTAGGCATGCAATGCATGCCTTGCATTCATTAAGAATGTGCCACTGGTATAGAATCGTCAGGGGTTCTCAAGTATTTTCCAATGTAAGACCATCTAGTGCCATCACCTATCCAGTGTGACCCCATGAGGATTCTTTGAATAAATACTCTGTAGAGACATGTTTTTATTTGTATTTAACTATTAGAATAAGTCAGGAAAATGCATTACATAAATGAGAAGTCTGAAAGTAAACACTGGCAGAACAGATTACAGCTCTCATGTTTAACCCTCTCATGCACCATGATACAAATCACGTCATATTATTGGGTAACACTAACTGCATTGGTGATGTTATTTGTGTCATAAAACTTTTAAAAATTCCCTCCTCCCTCCCCCCCAAAAAAAAAGTTCTCTAGAGAATCACGTCCAACTTTTGTGCATCATAGATAAGTGCAAGGAAAACAGCAAGATTGGCAAGCAGCTTGTCGCTGCCACCGCCTGTGCCATATACTATACTGATCGTATACAGGTATATGGCCTACACAGTACAGTACTGTATGTTCATGAGTATGTATACTGTATATATAAGGTACTGTACAGTACTTTTAAATTTATGTAAGTAACTGAATATATGTGTAATTCATACAATATTATTTACAGTACAGGTACACAACAAACATTAAAAAATGCAGAAAAGAAAGTTGCTAGGAGCCTGACTCGTGGAAAAATGCCAGCCCACCAACTTAGAACATTTATTACTGTACTATACGATAACCATAAGTGCTACAGGATATATAATAACACCCTTCTCTTCCTAACATTACAAGCTATACAATGCACTAAAATTTAATATAATAAACCACATAAAGTGTGAAAAAATCGAAAAAGATTTGGTGATTTTTTACTGTTTTTAGTTTTTCGCAATTTTCTCGTAAATTATTAGACACATAAAAATCTAAAAGTCACAGTTGGAAAGCTCATTAAATTATATTTCTCTACCTATGATACACTTGGCAGGATTGTGAGAAGATATCCAAGATATGACACTGGGAACAAAAATAATTTTTTTTTTATTCGGAGTGAAAAGATATACCATAGTCTTTTCGTCTTATTTATTAATTTTATGGATTATGTTAAAGCCAAAAGAATAATGAAGCCAGTGATGTATAAATTATGAGTAGTGATGACAGGTCCTGTTAAGACTTTTGTTGAGGTCACAGAAACTAAAAAACTTATTGCGTGTGTGAGAGGTTTTATATGCGATATGTTTATAACATCATTTAATGTTCTATACCTGGGGGTATAATTACATGGTTAAGCAACTTAACATACAATTTAGTTAGTTATAACTCTGTCATACCCGTAGGTGTGCATTATCATTTTATAAATTTTCTATTAACTGGGGGTATAATTATGTGATTAAACATAGCATACAATTTTCTAGGTTACAACTCTGGCATATGCCATCTGTTACAACTGTCATATTTCATATCTGACTTCTGTATGTCATCATTTAACTAATTTTCTATACCTTGGAGTACAGTATATGAGGTTAAGCAACACAGAATACAATTGTCTAAGTTGAAGTTTTAAATACAGTTATGGTAAACATTTTCTATAATGAGAAAGCTGCCAAAATTCACCCTTGTCTCATTGTCAGCCTGTAATTCTGAAAAGAGCCACACTATCTTACATCTGTCTTGACTGAAAACTGAACAAAATCTAAAGACTCCACAAGCAACTCAGGGAATCTATCATCAAAGTTTTCTATCACGTCACATGGGCACTCGACCCAAGTCAGTTGTGAGATGGGTGCTATCTAGTGTTACCACAATAAACATCACAATACTGTACAGTATTCCTCTGGGTAATTACTTTTTCCTCCTGTACTACGACTAATGAAAAACAAACACAAGAAATAATGGAAGGGATTAAAAAAATCAGCAGATTTTTTCACCCATCAAAGTAGTAAACAAGGGAAGATGTGCTAATCCAGATTTACAAATACTGTACTGTACCGTACAAACCAAACTATCTACTTTTGTAAACTGGTGTGTGTGTGTTGTGTTTACTGTTGGCTTATGTACCCTGTACTCTTATGGTGCGTGTACTGTACTTTATTAACGACCAGATTTTTATTTTTTAATAAAAATTTCTTGAGAAAAAAAAATCATTGTTTTCTGTCAAATAAAACTCACTTCCCTTAGGGGCTGACAGTGAAAGATGTCATGAATACAGTATAAAAACAGCCACATGTACACTGCCCATGAAAGGTACACTCATGGAAACTAAATTTATGTAAGGTATGGGAATTACTGTATTCATGCAACGAACCATCTGAGTGAGATAGTGTCTGAGGGCCTCTTGAATCAAGACATCTGCTAAGGTTTTGAAGTCATGGGTAAACCGTTGATTCTTCTCACTCTCGCCCTTTTCTTCAACCAACAAGGAAAATAACTTTGGCTCCCGACGAATTGATCGAGCAATTTCTCCAGCACGTTCAGAGAAATTTAATATTATCTTGATCAATTCAGCCATTGCAGCGTTGAATATTATACCTGCTGAAGAAATTAAGTGATAAAAGTATAAACTTGCAAACTCTTACATCATACTGTACAGTATACAGAATTGAAAAGGGAAAAATCAAGGACAGAACCTGAAAAAATCAATTTTATGATAGATGAAGTCATGTGTGTCATACTGGATCTCATGAAGATTAGGAACCCCAGCTTATTTCACTTGATTAAATACCTTATGCTAACTAAACCAAACCTTTTCCTTTTCTATTTTTAATTTATTTTTATTCTTATTTTTTCGCCTCCCTAGGCCCCGATGTGGGTCGATGACCTGTGTGCGGTTGGGCTATTCCCCGTTAAAAAAATAGGAATAGGCTGTCTAATTATCAGGTGAAATAAGAGAGGTTCCTAATATTTATGAGATCTGCTATGAGTATAATGGCCAATAAATGTAAAGGAGAACATATGCAGAATTGTGACGTCATATATGTCTTCGGAATTGTGGCAGCACTGAGCGACAGAACATTTGTGGATGACTGTATCTATATCAATGGTTACCTAATATTTGTAGGAGTTTAATGAATGTTTGGGTTGTTACACACCTAATATATCAATGATGTACTATGTATAAACCATCTCCAGGGACTTGTTGTAAAGAGTGCACAAGACTTTGTGGGTGAGAAAAGCCAAATAATAGTTGACATACACTAACGTACTGTAGTTAACATATAATACCTGTACTACAGAAATATGAAATACCCCTGTAATGGCAACAGTAATGTTGGATAACACATAAACACTGTGGGAACGACAATAAACCACCATTTTTTTAACATTACTGTAACTGTATTAAAAACAGATGCATAGATTTTATATATACTGTAGTACAAGGGGTCCCCGACTTACGAACGTCAGACTTAAGAATGAACGCCAATACGAACGAGGTTATACTGTACTTTAAATTTACAGTATTTTATTTACCTGATGACTTATTTTTTTACTGTCATTCACTGAATTTTGTCATTCTATTTCTTCTTTTCTCTTAAATTAAGTGATTGTAGATGTGTATTGTATAAGGACTTAGGCTATGGAATACAGGTAGTTGGATTTTAAACACTGTTCTGTAAGTACAGTATGCACATAGCATGTGTTTCGACTTAAGAAAGTCCTCAGGAATGGAACCCGTTCGTAACCTGGGGACCCCCTGTACTTCATCTTTTTTTTTTGCCACTTATCAGCTCGCTAGCCATGTGGGTAGTTGGTCCATCCAGTGTTAGTACAGGACGAAACTGGAGGCCAGAAAACTTGTGATGTTTGGTTGGGTCACACTGGATAACACATGTTTTTCAGGGCCAAACTGGACTCGAATCCTTGACATATTGGTGAAAGATACACGTGTTACCACTGTACCACTTGCAGCCCATGGGATTGAGCAATGTCTGAGAATTTTGTGTTGGAAGATCTTAAATATGATATTAAGGATATACCAGTAACACTATTATAGGTTACAATATAATCTATCAGATTATGGTTCATGATCAAATTAACATTATGCTCTACTAGTGCAGTACATACCCTAACTGCAGATACTGTAGGGTTTGTGCTACATTCTGACAAAACATTTAATTAATTGAACTTTAGTTTACTGTATATATATATATAGTAATGAAATTTGGGCATTAGTAATCCAAATTAGACTTAAGAATTTTTTTTTTATCAACTACCATACCCTGTATGGTACTGTACAGTAGTGTACAATCAGAAGAATATTATATTATTTTCATCAGTGAGCCCTGATATGATGATCATTTCTTGTGCAAATTCTTTGTTTCATAGATAATTAGACACATAAGCGCGCGCTAATTTGTCTTCCCGGTGGTAATGAGGCCGCGCTCTGCTGCTGTGCTTTTCCCCGGGCTCACTGCAGTTTCATTTTCAGCATGACGCGTGAAGGTTGTCGCCGGTCTTATATGGACGTAATTTGCGAATTTAGGGATAAAGACAACGAGGCCCTTCAATTGTTCAAAGACCACAGCATTGTTCCTTTAAAACGAGACTGTCCACACTGCGGGAATCCCTGTGCTTTCAGACTGGAAAGAAATTTATTCATCACTTCCTCAACGCCGTGGCTCGGCGTTTCCCGACATCACAATAAATCACTCCGCTGCCAGGGCTGCATAGCGCCGATGCGCCCGCACCATCTTACGTCCAGAAAACGCCTTAAATTCTTTCTGTTTAATATACCGGGGGGGTCCGGAGGTTAGGTAAGGTTAGGTAAGTTTGTCTGGTTAGGTTGGTTAGGTCTGTTTTTCATACCCACAAATGATAAGTTACGTTTATTTTAAAAATATTTTTTTTAACACATTTGCACAAACTACAACAGTGTCCACTGTAAAAAAACAGTGAAAATCCAGCATTTTTATAATCGTTTTCGATAAATTTCGGCCACGAGTCAGTCCTAAATAATTACCCTCATTTGGTGTTCTTTTTGTAGCATTTTGCCTCACATTTTCCCTCTACTGCCCAATTTGAACAACCAATGTTTTTGTTAAGATTAATGGGTAGGGTGGGGGATCTCAAAAACTATTGATTTCCGGCTGAAATGAATATCAATTTCGTTCAAAACTTATCATATAACATCGGAAAAAACATATTTTTAATATCCAAACAAAGGCCGGTGCAATAGTGAAAATTGACTGAAATATGAAATTCCTTGTTCGACATAAAATGAATCTTTACCTTTATTTTTGTTAGTAGTTTCCATGCACAACAGAACTATGGTTAGGTATGTTTATATCTAACGGTCAAATATAACGTAGTTCACCAGTAATGGAAATTAGGCAGTCTCTTTATACCCGTTGCCTCTGTTCACCTGGCAGTGAAACGTACCTGGTTGTAATACAATAACATCTGCAGAACAACTCAAAGATTAACTGGGCCTATGCCTGAGATATGGGTTAGACCGCCCAAACGGCTAGTAAGCTGATAAGTGGAGAATATGATAAAAAAAAAAAAAAATAGCGTTAGTAGCTTACCAGGTAGCTGGTCACGGCAAAATATCCACTGGCAATTATAAATAGCTCGAAACCCTAACAGTAACCGCTAGTTACGTTGGTATATTCTCATCAAGTTTTTGTTCTGTGACTCACTCACAAGAGCTCTCATATTCTAAATATTGTACACCTTAAATTGTCTTAGGAGTCTGTGACCTTCGGCCTTGGCCGTTGTTTACTTCACTCCCACTAACATCAACATCAGCTGACAGAAATAAATAACTATTAAAAGAAAATAACAAACCATTTCTACCTAATCAATAAATGTATAATAATAATTTTTGACAATATTTCAGAAAACGTTAGTGCTGTATCAGGTAAATAAGGTCCATAATAGTGGTGATAATAAGCAGGTTTAACACTGGCTGCTGATTGGTCAGTTTAACAAGTTTAAATGGTTGGTCGTCGGGTCGAGGCTCTTGGTGAGTGTCTTGTTATTATTGAGTCTTTCCGAGTATTTATCTCAATTGTATATAAGGAACATGTCACTGCTATAGTTATGGATATGTTGTGCACTATAAATCAACGTAGATATAATAATTGAAGTTTACTAAAGGTAAAATATGTGTAATAACGTCACGGGGGCCAGCCTCAGGGACTGATTGGAGAATGTACAAATGAAGTGGGATTTGTCTTGTAAGTTTCGTATGTAAAATATAAGCTAGGAGTAAATTTATATGGTATTATTGCATTTTCAGCCAATATGACTCGAGTTGAGCAATGTTTCGCTTATTCAATTGTGACAAGTAAAAGTACTGGTAGGGTTCAAAAGATAGCTCTCGACTATATCATTTCTAAAGTAAAAAACACTCTATTGCATTTTGGTTGAAAAGGCAACATTACCAAGGTATTCATTGTAGCATAGGTTAGGTTGGTTTTTGAGTTGAGCAATGTGTTTTTCATCTGGTTTTTGATGTGTTTTATTCGATTTTGAATTTGATTTGTGGGTAAATTTCCAATTTCAGCCCCAACTACTGTTCGAACATATTTTTTTTTGTTTTTACCTTGGTATTTGGTCTGATTCATACGAATTTGACCTTTAGTTCCAATGCAAAGGAGTGGTTACTGAGTTGTCACCCCCCCTCATCCCCTCCAACAATCTTGGGGGATCCGTGGGAAATCAGAGTTTTTGGGTGGGGAGGGGGGGGGGACGAAAGCTAATAGGCAGCTAATCTAACCTAACCTGATAAATTTGCTGTTTCAGCCCCAACTATGGCTAAACTGGGAACTTCACAGACGACGTACCATTTGTTTTGGGTTAATATTGAAAATGGGTGATCATCACTCCCATGAATAACTATTGTTACTGAAAACTACAAAACGATTTAATTTGAACTTACTAGAAAGATTTATATTAACCTTTGTTTTATTGTTACAGTACTCACTTTGTTAATTAATTTATTAATTTTTTTCAGTGAACATGAGATCATAAGTATCTTAAGATAGGAAAATGAGTCGTATAGTGGACCGCCTGTCATACATTGAAGCTGGTGATCAGGAGTGAGTTATTATTATTTTTTATTATTGGTAAACATTTTGCAGTATTAGCTCACTTTTGTTTTGAAACAGTCAGTACAGGTGGTTTCTTCTTAGTAGTAGTACAGTACTGTACTGTATTAATAATGTACACTCGAGAAAGTGCATGATAACAGAAATGTGACTGACCACCCATTTGGCTAACAGGCTGATCAATAGAGTAAAGGGTAAAGTATAAGATTTTATGATTGTAATTTTTCAGTTTCTCTGTGAATCTCTCCAATACCTTTGACCCATGCAAGAATCTGAATGAGATTTTCCAGTCAATACCCACTGAGGATGTTGATCTAGAGACCCTGAGGGTGTACTTGAGAGTTCGCCCAAGTCTTCCAGAAGAGACTTCCCAGCAAGAGGTACTACAATGTTTGTATTGTTTTGTTTCTTTACTGATTTATGATCATAAAAAAGGCCAAACCATGTAGGTGTGGAAAATGTCTGTAAAATGGTGGTGGTGCCAAGTTAGAATTTTTTTGTAATATACTGTCTGATAAAGTGGTGTTTAAAACTAGTATTTACACACTAATCTGTCACGTAAGCCACGCCCTTTTTCTATATTAATAGCTGACTCATTCAAAGAAAATTCAAACTAAATGTGTTCACAATTGGTAAGCAGACCTGTTGTTATCTCAATTAATGTTAAATAATTATCTGGACTATCAAAATGCAAATGATTTCAAGGCATTAGCACTTCAGAGTGGATGTTAGAAAATTTTAAATATTAATAATAAAAGGTTGATATGAATACGCGCTTGTACACATGCAGTCCGGGGGGTAAGACGCTCAGGGGAACCAATCAGCTATTTGTAGCTATAGATGACAGGCGTGGCCAGGTTAGCGTGGAAAGGGTATACAGAGTAGTAGTTGTTGGTTTTGTCAGGCGACCAAATTTTGAGTGTTTATTTATTTCACTGATGTAGTTGTTCAGTGGACAGCCAAGAAAAATAACAAGCAAAAAACAATGTTTTGGTAATTTTTGCTTTAAGATTGGTAGCAGTCATGTATGTTGGTGTTTCTGAGGAGGTCAAGTTCTTATTTTGTGTACAGTCCTGGACGGAAGTTCTTTATACAGTCAAGGTGAAGGGTGCAAAATCTGCCCCCTCTCTTACTGAACGATGGGTCTGTTGTCCAGCAATCGCCCCCCCCACTCATCACACACACAAGCACCCAACCAGTTTAAAATGTATAAATACCACATAATATTTCAGCTATTACAACTCAAATTAGCAGAGCTTTCCTTGTGCGTGTACAGCTGATTCGCCAGGCAAAAAGATGACGGTAGCAATGCGTGTGATGGAGGGTGCGGGAGGGGGTTTTGAGAATTGCAATTAAATGCCAGGTAGCGACGTGTCCTAATATTACGTATTTAAGTAATTATTAGATGTTTTAATTGCCTGTATGTTGGCCTGGTGAGTTAATGCTAGGCATTTACATACCTAGGTATAAAGCTAGACGTTGCATTCTGGACTATATCACAAAAACTGGTTTTTAGAAAATAAACTTTTTTTTTTTTTGGTACAGTACTGTAATTAATTTTTTTTTTTTTACTTGAATAATTTTCGTGTCAATTGAGTAGCTGGAAACTAACAATTTATTCTTCTTGGTCTAAGGCAGGGGTGGGAAAACTGTGGCCTCTTGGTCATTTTTAACTAGCCGAGAGACACAGGTTTCTCGCTCTTTTAGAACTTATAAAAGCAAGTTCTGTACACTATAGAGGATGTTCTTAGGCATTAATCTATATTGGCTGTCTGTGTCTATTGATGAAAAATATTTTAGAAGTGCTGTAATGATAATACTGTTTTTCATATTATCATAATTATATTTTGGCAAAATTTATGGTAACTTGCAGTGCTTGATTTTTTTCAGGACACGCACATTGATATATTTGATGACCACAGCCTCATTCTCACTGCCCCTGCTTCCTCTCATACCTTTAAGAACAGCATACATGGCATCACAAAGCTTAACCAGAAGTAAGTAGAGGCTACATGGTTATAAGTACTGTTCTGTATAGTGTGTTTTTTTATTTTACGCTCTTTTTCCCAATACTGTATGTTACACGGTGGCTGGAGCAAGAACAGAAGCAGATGCCTGTCATTCATGTCTGCTTTGTTGTATGATCTTAAATAATGAAGTTACACTTTTATTATTATTATTACAGGTTGAACCTCAATTTAATGGCATCAAAGAGACTTGGATCGTGCCGTTAAATTGAAGTACAGTATAGGGGCGGCATCACTGACAAAACCATTGCATCAATCAAAGATTAAAAACTGCAATACAGTACAGTACTCTAATTTGACTTAGAAATAAAGAAAATGTAATTAAAATATAACATAAGAAAACTGAACTGCATGGGTGTGTATGTGTGGGAAGTGACCGTGTGGAGGCAGTGAACACTGAGCTCTTAATTGCGTCTTGACTCGCCAGTTGTCAGTCGCCACCCACCTGGCTCCTCCCCCAGATGTGATGTCATAGCATACTGACATGTTTTGGAGTCAGTTGGTGACTGCCCAGCTGATCTGTGTTGCATGATGGCTCGATTTAGTTATGTTTACTCATAGACAACCGATCAGTGAATAAACCAGGGCATATGGAGATGCATTATACACTACAATAATGTATATTAAGTTCTGATAAATATGCTACAATCCTGTGGTAAGCACCAACCCTCTTGAGCAGTGACAACAATGGTGCTTGAGAGATAGTAAGTGCTGATAACACTGCAGTATTATTGAGAGTGGGTCAGTGTTACTGCTCTGTAAACAAGAGACAGAATATACTGTAGTGCAATAGCTCATCTGGGATTGAGTGTGGGAATTTTGGGAGAAAATTGATTATTTTTTATAATGCTTTATGAACCCAACACAAAATGAAACTGAATTATGGTGAATTGCATTCTGTTATTATAAAGGGATTGTAGGTTACTGAGCTGGAGGTGGTAGAGTTGTCCTCCCTCCCTCCATGGATCTCACATAGTTGACAAATAGACACTCCACAGTCTAGCTTCTGTAATATTTCAACCTGCACAATGTTCTGGGAAACTTTTCTTTGGGACACTAGCAACTCCAGTTGGATTTTCAGGTTACTTAGAGGCCATAATTGATGAAAAGAAAGTAGAAATTTAAGGTGATTACCCAAGCACAGCACCAGTTGGACTTCAGTGCCAAAATAAACCAACCGCAGTGCCTTGGGAGCGTTGGAGCAGGTAGAGGAACTAGTGGAAATTACAGGCAGTCTTTAAAAAATCCACGATCTCTTAATTTTGCCATTAAATGCGAGTTGCCGGTAAATCCAGTGCTGTTAAATCGAGGTTCAACCTTTATTATTATTATTACTGTATCAAGCTGTTGAGGTGCTGACACAGCTATCTGGGAACATTGCATAATATGTTGTCTAATGGTAGACCCTGCTGCCATATGGCATCACGAATATTGTGACCAAGTCCCAGGTTGCTGATCTGTCTTTCTGCCTCATTTACACACAATTGCAGGATCTTAATTGTTTCTCTTACTATTGACAAGACAACTTACTGTACATATAGCGTTTCTCATTATTGATAATTATTTTTTTCTTTATTATCAATATTACAGTGTTATTATTATTATTATTATTATTATTATTATTATTATTATTATTATTATAATTATTATTTTATTTTACTTTTTATTATAAATTTTATTTACTATGAATTACTATTATTATTATTAAATTTTCGCCCCCCCAGGCCCCGATGTGGGTGGTGACCTGTGTGGGCTGGTCCCCCTTAAAAAAAAAAAAAAAAAAAATCCCTCCATCAATCTTTCAGTGGCCTGGGTAGTGTGAATGGAAGTACACATGGAAGCTAAACCTCAAAACTTCTCTCTCTCCTCTGGTAGAGGAGGTACACATGGAGTCTTTGCCAATGTTCATTGCTGTCTCTCATAGAAGAGAGGAGGTATGCTTAGCTTTTTTGCCAGGGTCCTATAACTAAAAACTTAACAGTGAATAGTGTGAATACAGAAGTTAAGGTTAAGATGTGAGGAGATAGCAGCAACCTGGTTAGGTGACTGGCCCAACCAGCTGTTCTCCAGATTCAGTCTGTATTTATCTCTGCTAATACAACTTATTGGCAGCTGCATTGTGTTTTATTGTAGTATTTGTTATAGTTGTGGGTTTAATATACAGTCGTAGCCCATGGCATGAAAACACTCACACGCAGTAAGGTCCATTCAAAATGAGCGTCAGTTTTGGATCTTTACAGTTTTTGGATTTTCAGATAAAGGATCCCTGACTTGTGCTTGAAACACTTCACTTTGTCCATTCAAGATGACATTAAATTCTCCCAGCACAGTCTCCCTTCTCTCATAATTTTCATCACTGTTGATCTCATGCGCTATGTATACAGGGGGTCCCCGGCTAACGAACGGGTTCCGTTCCTGATGACGTTCTAAAGTCGGATTTGTAAGTAAGTTGGGACACGTGCAATGTGCATACTCTATTAACAGAACAATATTTAAAATCCCACTATATCATAGCCTAAGTCTTTATATTATACTGTACTTCTTTGGCACTTCATTTGAGACAAAAGAAGAAATAGAATGACAAAATACAGTAACTGAAAGTAAGAAAAAAATGTCATCGGGTAAATAAAATACAGTACAGTACTGTAAATTTTAAGTTTAACTCCGTTCGTATTGGCGGGCGTTAGTGAGTCGGGGACCCCCTACTGGTACATTAATTTGTTAATTATACAGCCAGAAATCTTTGTTCATGAGATATGATTGTTTCGTGGGTTAACAGGTCAAAGATGGAGTTGACCAATGTTTTCAATATAATACATTCATATAATTCATCATAAAAAAAATTGCATTGAAGCTAAGGAGAGACCATTAGGCTTAATGACTTGATGGCCACACAGTAAATATATTGCAACAAATGATTCTTGCAGTCTTGTTGTATTGGGTTCCAAATACCCATTGTTTTTTCTTGACGAGGTACAGTACAGTACTGTAAAAAAATTTTGTTGTAAGTTCTTTCCTTTTATGATTGTGGGGAGATAAATACGGTTGTCTATTAAGCTAAGTTTGACAAAAGTGTCTTTCGGATATAATACTGTGGACTTGATTTTTCAGATTTACATTTTCACATATTTATGGACCCTCTACAACCCAAAAAGAAATATTTGATAATTCTACTCTGGGTCTGGTTAAGGACTTCATTAATGGACAGAACTGCCTACTTTTCACATATGGAGCTACTAACTCTGGGAAGACATATACTGTACAAGGTAAGATGCAGAAATAATTAAAAGAAGATGGTTACAGGTTCAGTACAGTTTTCATTCCATATAGCGGAATAAAGAGTGCAGGCCGATTCCGCAAAAGGGAGGTTTCTGCTAAATTGAATAGAGTTATAACTTTGGCCATAAAGTGGATACATTCATGAAATCCACTTTGTTAGAAATATTTTTGTCTGTTATATTTAAATGGTAATAGTCTCCACTCCTTTAGTTAGCCCTCCTTCAATATGTTGGAGGAATTTATGTTATGAGAGTAATAAGATTTGGGAAATGTGGCTGTGTAAACTCTCCAGTTATTAACTAGATGCATAGATCTTTTTATGTACTGTTACCAGAAATGAAAAGCCCTACTTATATACTGTATTGTATATGAACTTAAAATATACTAAAATCAAACATAAAGATGTTCCCATAAGATAAAATATACTGTACAGTATGCAAAAAATTTACTTAGTTTTTGGAAATTTAGTTATTAGAGGTAGATTATTTAATATGAAGTAAATGGGAATGGGTTCAGACCTTCATTTTTTTTATTCTGCATATGCCCAAACTGAACTACAGAACTATAATAAACCATAAAAATTAAACAAGGTGCATCATAGAATATATTAGCAGATATTTTATGTACAAAAAATATCTCCTTCCACTCTAAAACCAACCTTTGGGTGTTACCGAGAGTGGGCGACAGTTTAGCCAGTCAGCCAGAGACGTGTGTATGCCGTGATTTCACATTGAGGGGAGGTTGGCGGCTGAGCTAGCGACACAAGCAGCAAACCGTATAGGGTTTATAATAGAAAGTAATCATTTTGAGCTAAGCTTAAATTTAACTAAATTTAACTTGACAATCAGTGGTGAAGAGGGTAAAGTAAACTTATATCTGAATGTGTTTGTGTAAGAAGCACATTTTTAAACTGAAATAGGCCTAATTAACCAAGTCGCTACATATGCTAATTACAAATGTCTCACTGCCTCCACACATATGTTTACTTCCCACAGATATACACTCACGCTTTTCATTTTTCTGATTTTATAATTTTATATTATATTTTCTTTATTTTTAAGTCACATTAGAGTACAGTATTGAAATGATTTATACACAAGTTTTACAGTTTCATTACATGTAACAGTGGCAACATGTGTAGCCATTTCACACGTTGCCACTGTTACATGTAAAAATACTTGTACAAATATTGAGAGGGTGAGAACAGGTTGTCAGCCACCTGACAACCATTGTAACTGGCATAAATGCCTGATGAGGCCACAAACTCAACGTGAATATTTGCAGCCATCCAAATGGATGCAATTTAATTTATTTTGCAGATATATACAGTACGTACATACAGGATATTTAACAAAATAACCAATAGAAATTTCTAGTTTCTTTAAAATTGAGAGATGTACAGTACTCTTTTCACCGGATTTAGCTTTGACAGGCATGGTGACAATGATATATGTGCACTCATGCTAGGAGAATATGAAAACACCTGGGAGACCTCAACACTTGTGTGGTAAGGTGCATTGGTAATCTGATTGTCACAAAACAATAATGCGATCCCACAAGGGCATTACTGGAAACTCCCTTCATCTAGCTGAAAGCTCCGATAGATGGATAAGCAAATACAGTACCGGCACAAATTCATTTTGGGAAAAGGAATTTTGTTATAAGGAATGAATTCTGTACTTGTAAATGAGGTGAACTGGATGGAGGTCTTTCATTGTTCAACAAGGTTATAGCATAAGATATTATTATTTTTTTTTTTAATGCCCACCACTTTGTCCATTTGTCTGTCCATTCTGCATTTCATGTCTTTTTTTAAGTTTTGAACCAGAGAAAGAATATCTATTAAGAAATTACATAAAGTTAATGTCAATTTCATGATTTGTAGCAAACCATTTCCAGGTCTTTCTCTGGGGCTTAGAGGTCAAAAGTTAGTACCTGTACAGTGGTCCCTCGGTTAACGAAATTTCGGTTAACAAATTACCTCCCATAAGGATCTTCAATTCGGCCAATGAACAAAACTGCAATTAATGAAATCCTTACGAACATCACGTTTTGTTGTGAGCATCAGCTGATCAGCTGATGGGCTAGTCTGCCAATTCAGTAATCTGTTCTATGTTTACATTCTTTTCCAGTGGAGTAAATATCAAGAAAGTTGTGCTCTTCAATATTTTTGCATTTTTTTTATTAAAATTATTAGCCATTTTAAAATTTTGTTAACATATTGATAATATATGCAGTACAGGGAACTAGTTTTTTATGCGCCCATCAGCCGCTTGACTCAGCCACCAGGCGTCAGTTTGGCTTTGTTGACAGTGGAGTGAACATCTATTTTGTTGGTTTCTTGAATATTTTTGTATTTTTACATTGAAATTATTGGTCATTCTGAAATTTAGTTAACATATTGATAATATATAGTGCAGTGCAGTGTTGATTTAAATAAAATAATCTTGAATTACACCTAGTGAACTTAAAATTTTATTGGTGAAATGACGGCATCAAGCATGGGTCCATCCCCACTTCCTTCTCTTCTCCCTTCTCCTCCACCCCACTTCTAATTCCCATCATCATCATCAACCAGGAACCTTCTACATACACACCTCAAAGTAAGTGTACTTTACTGCATTTTTTTTTTTACTTTGTATGTACTTTTCTGTGAGCTGGAACCAATTACCCAATATCCCATTGAAACAATGGATTCGTTTAAAAAAATTTCGGTTTACGAACGACTCTGTGAAACGAATTGTGTTCGTTAACCGAGGGACCACTCTGTACTTTCTTGCATTTAAGGGAACATTATTTATTTACTTTATTTATTTATTTATTTATTTATTTATTTTTTTATTATATTATAAATATTTTTTTCTTGCAGGAACTCCTACAGATGCAGGTATTCTTCCTCGGACACTGGATGTGCTCTTCAATACAGTTGGACAACATCAGTATCTGAAAAATGACTTGAAGCCAAAACACTTCTGTGGTGTGATGCGTCTAGAAGACAAAGATATGCAGATAGAAGAAGAGAGGAAAGAGAATATATTTAAAATTGGAACTGAGCTTAACTCTACCTTTTCTCAGTCAATAATGGTAATTATATTTATTTGTGGACTTGAAGATAACTGTTTTTCATTAAGTGCAAGTTATGGCCCAAATTGGTCCATTCAGTTAAATGGCAGAATTTTTTTTAGATTTTCTTCAGGTTGGGAATGTACAAGATCAGGACAGTCAGATCCCATAACAAATTAGTGATGAATTAGTTAAAATTTTGTATGTTTAACAATTTTAAGTGAATTTAATACTTTCAGAGCCTGTCAAAACTGTCTACAAGTGATGACAGCCTCAACACTTCACATCATGTGTCTGAAGCTAGCAGAGCTTCTCACCACTGGAATGAAGTTAGCAGAGGTAGATATATGTAAACAGTAAAGACCCCGAGTACTGACTAATTAAGGGGTTAAACTATATACTGTACACATAATATTTTTGAAGGGTTAAAATTCATTCACTACCATGGGTAACTTAAGGTGAACAATAACTACCCTGAACACGCCTGCGGTAGGCTAACCTTACCGAGCTGTGAATTGTTATTGTTATTTTTCAACTTGTAATTTTGGGTAGATATTTGTAACTTTATTTTCTTTCTTTTTTCTCGGTTACATGCACACACAAACCTACATACACATTGTGAGAAAAAAAGTAAAAGAAATAATTAACATAGGGCAAACACAAAAGGAATAAACATTTCTTTGCATGTGGGTTAGGAGGCTGAAGTGGAGTGTGGGGAGGGGTGTTGTAAGGGAGTTGGCAGAAGTGGCGTCTCAGGTAGGGTCTGATTTGATATGGCGACTGGTAAAGTTGAGGGGGCCAAGTAGCCGTCATCTATGCAAATGGCAGTTGTATTAAATTTTCATATAGCTTTTCCTGAATGATTTTATCTGCAATTTTTTTTTCATCTAGATTGTATACAAATGTTGTTTGAAGCAGCACACATGTTATTAACATAAGAAAAGTAGGTGGTATGGGTTATGAATGCTGGGAAAGGAGATACAGGGAGTTGTGAGTTTGCTGCAACCTTAATTTTACTTAAAGTGTATGCTGTTACTTTACATTAGTGATAATGTTCTGTGCTTTTGTTTTCAGTACTTTATATTAGTTTTGTATTTGTAATAATAATACCAGACTCATCACTGTAGCCACATCCACCTAGCCCTCTCCCTGCCACCCACAATATTACATACAGACTATGCAAAAAAAAAAAAATTATCGTAAAGTAAAAAACTTGAAGGGGAATAAACTTACTACAATGTTTCAGGAGTTCATGCTAAGTGAGGATTGGGGGGTGAAGGATATTAGCCGTTTTGAGCTGGTCCTGTGTGTGTAGTGAAGAGATTGCACACAGTAAAAATATCAGATGTTTATGTAGTTTTAAAATTTTGATATGTATTTTTTTGCAGCTGTAGCTCCTTCATAATTTATTACTAAATACCTGTACAGACTTCAATCTACATTTAATGTTCAGAATAAGGTGAACACATTTTGAGTGTGTTTAGTCTGGTACATGACCAGTATTTTTACATTTAAAGATATAATTCATTCTGAGTAGCTCTGCAGTCACATTCATTGAAGAGACAAATGGGTAGAACAGTTGGTGTATTCTGTAATGTGTAACATGCAGGTAATTAAGCTACTAGATCTCTTAAGTTGAGGTATCTTATGATTATTCTTGTGCTGTGTTAACAATATCTATAATATTCATCTCCATATAACATTTTTGTCAGAGACAATTATTTTAAACCAAAGAAAGTGTTTGGTAAATATTGATGCTGTATAATAATGTAGATAGCATTACTTTTTAATTGTGCTACTTCCTGTCCTAGTATATTGAGAGGAAAGTATCTCTGATACATACAATATTACTGTACTTTCTTATAGTTTGTATTTCATTCATAATGAGTTTCTTTGATTTACTTCATATGCCAAGTTTATGATTATCATTTTTACAGTGTCCTCTGTAATGGATGGTCATTATCATGATGAAACAAGTTTGGATATAGCTGACACCGAAAATACTACATATGCTATTTTCGTGTCATTTGCTGAGATCTACAATGAATATATCTATGACCTACTTGAGAAGATGCCAACCTCCAAAAAAAACAAGCGTAACCCCCTTATGTTGGGGGAGGATCGAAATGGTTCTATTTATATTAAGGGTGAGTTAGTGTGCATGTTTGTTATTCACTGAAATGCTTTCTTGGTTTGATGCAGGATGGCAAGATCCAAGAGTGGATATAGACTTTTTTTTTTGTTATGTTGCTAATTCACTTTTGCTGTTAACACTGATGTGCACTGCTGTGATACCTCCCCCTACAGCAAGGCCACAAATGTGTACTGTAATTGATATACCCCTGTCGCTTCACACAGCCTAGTGTTACCCCTCAGCAGCTCATCCTTGAAAATTCACACTATCATTCTCTGATCATTCAAATAATGCTTGATGGATGTTCACCCCTCTCACTTTTAGTACAACTTTCCATCTCCTCTGTTTATCCCTCTCTCCTCTCATCTGTAGTATACATTTACCTGAAACTTATAATAATGGAAAAATTAATGCCATATATATAATCTTATAATGTACATAAAAGAATATTGCATAAATTATATTAGAACTTGGAGATACTGTAAAGTTTTATCATATAAGAAACTAGTTTTTCAAACTATTGCTTTAAAAAAAAACAGCCAAGAAGCAGATTTCTGTACAGTACCAGTTTTCATATGATGTTATTACTCCTTCATGACAGGGTTACAGGAAGTACGTATTCGAAGTGCTGAGGAGGCTTGGAAACTTTTAGAGATTGGACGCCAGAACCTTCATTTTGCTACCACTCGCCTCAATCACAACTCCTCACGGTCACACTGCATCTTTACCATTAAGAGCATCAAGTTAGCCAGTGAAAAAAGTCCACATGTTGCAAGAGTTTCAATGTAGGTATTCATATGCCATAGTAATTTGAGACAAGTCTTATAAGTTTTTTGTATCTGTGTACAATTAAATTTGAATACTGTATGTGATAGAGTTTTAAATATTGATTATACAGGTTTTGGCCTGATAAGTTAAATTTTTTATTTGAATTTTTTAGTAAAGCAAATTTGCTTTCAAGCTAGACCTAGTATGTAGAGTGATATGAATTACTATTGTTCAATTCCTGGAAAAACCTTTGGGGGTTGGCCAAAATTAAAGGATGGGGTTTACAATTATTATGCACCACTTTATTAAAAACAAGACTGTTAATTGAAAATTTATATGTAATACAATACTTTTTATACATGAAAAAAATATATTGTTTTCAGGCTGTCTGTGTGTGACCTTGCGGGTGCAGAAAGGGCGGCGAAAACTCAGAGTAACCATGACCGCCTTAAGGAGGCTGGGAACATAAATACCTCCCTTTTAGTGCTCAGTCGGTGTATTGATGCTTTAAGGTAACCACTTCCTTTGTACCATTTGTAGTCTGAAAAAAAAAGATAGGAAGTTTTCAGAGGTAAAGGTTAATGTTACCCAAATTATACATGTGCCAAGATTATTAGTCTGATCTTTATCTTTCTTACTGGGTAGCTATAAGAACTAGAGAGTCATTGGCTTATTGGATTATGCTTTTCTTCATCTTCCTTTATATGTTATCATTTCCACTGATATTATTACTGGCAACTGACACATTTTCTGTACCTTATTAAACCTACAATATTATAGTTACATTAGTTTTTCTTATTTTTGGACTTTTGTATACACATTTCCACAAGTGATGTAGTTATGTCTGTAAGAACAAGTTCAGACATGGTTAGAAAAGGGGGTAGAAATTAGTCATACTGGAAATAAAATTTGTTATATAAGGGACAAAAATATTTCTTACTTTTTATAAACAGTTGATTGTCTGTTTTTCTAAATAGACGAAATCAAATGCAGAAGGGCAGCAAGAAACGTGACATTCCTGTACCGTATCGTGACAGCAAGCTTACTCGGCTGTTCCAAACCTTCTTCCTGGGTCGTGGTAAAGCTGCTATGATTGTCAATATCTCAAAGACACCACTTCTCTTCGATGAAACTCTTCAGGTTTTAAAATTCTCAGCTATTGCAAAGCAGGTATGTCTGTATCTCACTTTCTTATTTTATACTTTAGAGAATAATTTCAGTCCTACTCTTTCCATTTACAGAGTACTGTACAAGCCCATAATAATGGCTCCTAAAGTAGATAAACTTCATTGTGTGAAGAGAAAGAAGAACACGTTGAAATTGAGTGACAAACTTGAAATAATTAAGAAACTAGAACGTGGTGTGAGCAATACTGTTCTAATGGAAACATACGACATTGGAAAGTCTACAATTTATGATATTTAAAAGGCAAAGAATAAAATTCTAGAATTCACAGCTTTTTCATTAAAACTGCTCGTTTTGATAAATGAAGCATGCTATATTTGCTAATGAATAAACTATCAAAATGTACCTGTTCATCTCTTCTTTATTCTTCCTTAAATTTGAATTTTAAAAGTACTGCCTGAGAATCCGGAAAATCCGAAAATCCGGACCGACCCAATCCCCAAGCAGTTCGGATTTTTGGACTTCTACTGTACTTACTTTTCATGCTGTCTAGTCTTCAAAATATTAAAAACTAAAGTTTCCAGTGCTTGAAAACTGTTCATGTTGTTAATACCCATCTGTTAACCCCTTGTGTATGGGGTCCCCTTTGATATGAATAAAATTGCCTGGCATTAGCCAAATATAATATTAAAAGTGACATCCCCGTAGTGCAGGGACTAAAAGAAGAGCATTTTGACAATCATGAAACCTAAAGTTAAAGGTGTATGTTTGTTTCTACTGCAACCTTGCTAGGAAGAGGAAACCAAGAACTCAATGTTTCCTGTATTAAGACTGAATGAGAAGGTTGGTTTATACATAGACAAAACTTCAAAAAGCTGTGTTTAATATGCACTTTACTGTATTAACAAGGATTTTGTGACTACAGGTGGCTATAAGCCAGACAAAGGAGAGACGGTGCCATATTCAAGCTCCCAAGCGAATAAGTCAGTTCTCCAAATTTGTTCGCCAGTCCCTTAATTCTTCGGGTCGCCTCACTGTTCCTTGGATGAAAGGAGTTGGTGATTTAACATTTGGAGCAAGGTAAGATTTTGTTTTTCCCTTTTTCCGTCACTCAATACAGGGTGATGAGAAGCAAGCAAATATACTGTACACTCATACACACAGACATTCATTCATTATCATGCAATCATTCTTACCACATCAAAAGATGATTTCTGTCATGGTATAGGGTCTACTCATAATCTGCAGCTATTAGAAACCATAAAATTGTCACTTAAAATGGGAATTTCTGGCCATAAAAAATATTTGAAATAGGGCTTGAATGGGATCATAAGATACTAAATGTCACTCAAAAGGATTATTTTTATACATTTTATCATTTATACTCGGGAATCTGAAGAGCACTTGAGGTGTCTATCATGTTCACCACTTTTCTTCGGACAAATGATGTCTAATCCACATCCAGTCCATAGCTCCTACTTTTCCTTTTAGGGATGGCACTTAGTTTAGAACTACAGTATCACTACACTTTGAACTCATGACTAAACCGGTGTCAATGATATTTCAAGAATGCACATGAAAAATAGAAAACTGCGGGATATTAGACACTTTGCAGTTGGCGGTCACCCTAAGGAAATTTCATAATTACATAAAAGGTTGCAAAAATGGCAATTTCACACTTGTTTATAGAGTATCTTGTTGTACAGGTGAGCAAGATTGCACATAATCAATAAAACATGGAACATTATAGTGATTCTCAAGTTATATTACAATTTAGACCAAAGTGGTAAATGGTAAATGTTATCGTGTTAAAAATAAAGTGGTGTTCACAGATAAGTCATAACTTATAAATTGTGACTAATTTTTTACCATTAAATAAGCTCCTTCTTGACAGATAAACAAGTAAAATCTTAGAGTATAAGGTTCGTTGTATGGTAACAGATTTGGTTATTAAGGGATAAAGCATATACTGTACAGTATTTCATAAATATATGGTCAAAATCCCAATATTTACACTGTATCTTGATCATTATTCAGCTGAGGAATGTTGTTTCAGTGATGATATCCCAGAAGAACCAGATAACATTGCTGAGGAACAGGATGACCAAGATGATAGATATGAGGTCAGTATTATTTTCATGTTTACATCATATTGAATGATTTAAAGATAATTTTTAAATGAGATTATTGTTGAAAGCGGCTATCTGCAAATTATATCCAATTACCCTTAAGCTCTTTAAGGAAATTGAAGACTGAAGTAGACGTGTCATATTATCCTCCCTCTGTTACTTGGGTAAAATTTTGGTTAGATATTATATGTCTTAATCTATCTCCTGAATGTGACTACTGTATGAGGAAAGTAATTACACAATTTTTTAACCTAACCTTGTTTTGTATTTGTTCATTTAATCACTGTCAGTACAGTTTTCTTGTACCTTGTCACATTTAATACACATATTTTTGTTATTGAAATTGAAACTGTAATATTGTATTTTGCTAAATTAATTGAAAATCCCTTATCCAGGAATTTGTTCAGCTCATCTCCAGCCTGAAGGATGAATTAATCAAGGAACATAAAGAGAAGGTCGAATTAGAAGGACGTTTAAGGGAAGAATTATGTACAGAATTCTCTCAGCAAATTGTTGAAATTGAAAATTCCTGGAGGTTTGATATAAACTTTGTATTATGTAAGCAGTTTATTTTGTGAAGTAACTAAGTGTAAGCGAAGCTTATTGACAAATCCATGGTATAGTAGTAGATGGTGTAACTAATATATGATATATTGAGATGGACTTTCCAGTGAACTTCTTTGTTGTCTGACAAAATTAATGGTCCTGAAGAAATGTTAATCATCTTTCACAAGTACTGTGCTCCTTAAAACATGATAAAGTGTGTTTTTATTGTATTTCCATGGAGTAATAAGCCATTTATTAGTAGTTATAAACTGATTTAAAAGGATACTTTATTGGTATTATTAACAAGATGTACTTTCTTCAGCCAACGTTTAAGGGAGCAACAGGCAAGATCTGAAGAGTTAACAGAATGGAAGCTAAGTGCACTTATGAAGTCTGCCAAAAAGATTGACAACCGAAAACGCTTCAAACCTGATTATGATCCTGATGAAGAGTATGTCTCTTCACTTCTTTATTTCCAGGAGCAACATAAGGTTCAGGTTAGTAAAACAAAAGCTGCCTTGTCACAAGGAACAAAAATAATATAAAAGGGGTTGTTGAGGCAAAGATTCGACACCTTTATAATTTGGAATAATAGGGGTTCTACCCTTGCCGGAATAAAGCAATTTTTGATTTCTGATTAAATGTATATGCTGTGTATACCATTATATAGTGTTTAACAACAATTATATAGTTCAGCCATTAAGATATGTTAGATGAGGTTTTAAGTTTTGCATTTTATCAATTTTTTTGTGCTGCACAGTACATTAGTGTTTAACAACAAAGATGTAGTTCTGCCAATTGTTTACCTTCCTTGCATTCCTTAATTATGGCATTTAGCTCTTTATGTAATAGAATAAAACTTATTTCTTACTTAATGGGTTACAAGCTCAGCATATGTATATTCCAGTCGAAATGCAATATTTGGTAAACTAACTTTTAATCAAAAAATTATATCATATGTTTTAGTGTCACTAATATACTGTATCCCTTAGTGGTTAACTTGGTGAATATTGTAAGTTTCAGTTACTTGTACCCTGTATATGAAAATGTGATGATGGATCTGTTTTCTTGATGCAAAACAAGTACAGTTTGGGTGAATACTATAGTGAAGAAATACATTGTAGTTGCGACTATTCTCGGGTTGGGCACAAGAATACGTCGCCAATTATAGTTTGATTGATTTAAATGGAAATAAATACCTGCAGTTAGGATTTGGAGACCAAATAATTTGCATAAACTGTTCCAAAACCGGTTTAATAAACACTAAATATCATACATAATACATGACAAAAATGCAGTTACATGGAGATATTGTACAAAAGTAGTTCTATATTACATAAACCACTCCTTCCCTTCTCAAAATCTTCCCTTTGGGTGATGCCAATATGTCAACATCAAGACAGGCTTGGGTGTGGTCTGGCTGGCTGGTCAGCTGTTCATGCTATGGGGTTGCAAATACACGTAGTGAGGAATTCCTGTATTCTGAATATTTTAGTTCTGGTACATAATGTACTTGTATGCATATATTTGTTGTGAATAAATAAAATTTTACTGTCTCTTGCAACATAGGAACAGGAAAAACACATTGAAGAACTGGAAACAGAGGTGAAGCATTTGAAGGATGAAGTTGAAGCTTTGAGGAATTTTCAGAAAAAAAATTGTGAGTTGTCTTCCAAAATTCAGGAGGAGAACTCGAAGCTCACATTCCAACTTGCACAGCTGACCAAAAATTTTGATAAAGTCACCAAGGAACTGGTGAGTGTTTTTAGTTATATTGTATTTATATGTGGAATAAAAGGATAACAGGACAGTGTGATAGAGATTGAACAGCCTTTGATTAATACTGTATATTGTTATAATTTTTTTTAGACTCCTTAGTAATTTTTTCAGATTAATAGGATGTGTGAATGTTTAGCCTGTGGGACCAAGTGTTGATATTATTCAAGATAGAATTAGGCATCAAATTATTTGGAAAAAAAAAGTTTAGATATAAAGCCATAGTTGGGTAGAAGTTGATAACTTGGAAAATGAAAGTAAAATTTGAGTTTCAAAAGAAATTCACAAGACAAATATAACAGGCTGTGTACAAAGTGAGATAGAGGCTTTGTGGGGTCAAATAAAGAATGGCATTCTTGAGGCCTGGCCAAAGAGGTGTGAAAAGAGAGGAACATTATTGTTGATGGAAGACATAAATATAACTGGGGAGCAAAAGGAGAGTTTACAGAGAAATGTTAGTTATGTTTTTATACAGTCGAAAGAGGAGGGTAAAAAATGTAAATGTAAAAGGTGTTGAATAACAAAGTTGATAAAATGGTCTTGCCAGGGAACATATCCCCTGGGTTTTGAGAGAGCAGGGCAATCTGTGCTGTTTTTGGTATGAAATAGGATAGTGCTATATTTTATAACATTATATTAAGTGTAGGTCTTACTGTATGACATAAGATTGTGTGTGGTTAACTTTAGCCCTAGTGTGTGGTGGCTGGTTAAAGATCAGCTTTTGAGGAGCACTTGGCAACACAACCAAACTGGGTGTTGGAGGCGCAGTGTTACCAAAGAAATTGAGAGATGCATCACCTCCTCACCACTTACCTCATCTCCCATCATCACCACTACCTCTATTATCACCACCTAAATCATAATTTCAGTGATGTAGAGATGGACTAGCTTCAGCCAGAGCAGAGACATATGATATCCACTTCCTCCCACGCACTACTACAATTGTCAATACTATACATCAAACAACTATCATAAATGATACAATATTGTTTATTTGTTATTCATTAATTAATAAAGATACATATTGTAATAATCTGTCCTGTGTCCTTCACATATAATACTGTATATATCTCATAGGTATAAAATATTATCATCAGGAATGCATATCCATATATGCAATGGTATAATGATCCCTTAGAGCAGTGGCGGTACCATAGGATGGCTTGAGGGGGCTTCAACCCCCCCATAATTTATCTCTCTCTGCCCTCCCCCCCTTCCCCCTCCCCATTTTATTTATTTTAATTTTTTTCCCCAAAGCAGCTGTGTGAAATCCCCAGTCTGATGGTGTCATAACTTAATTTGTAGAAGAAATTAAGTAAGTAAGTAATTTAATGCAAGAGTAATCTGCCGTTGGAATAACTGGTCATTTTTTAAAAAATGCTACTATGCTCAAGCCATACTGTGAGTCTTTCATAGACCTGCATAAGCTGGTGTGCATCAGTGTGACTTTGCCAGTTAATTCTGCAGCATGTGAATGCAGTTTTCCTGCCTGCGACAGACAAAAACTTACTTGAAGAACAGCAGTAGTGACGGCAGAGCAAGTGATATTGCCAATACTATATCTATAAATTCGAAAAAAGCCAAGAGTCTGAATGTTAAAGATATTATTGATGCTTTTGCTCCCAACCACGACAGAAGAATCACACTGCTATGACCTTTCAGTAACCCTGAGCCTTTCCTTTAACAACATTGCTCTTTAATGTCCTATTTGCAGATGTAATTTGATATAATTATTATTCTTATTCTTTGTTATGGACAATTATTTTCTCATTTTGTTTAGTGTAAATAAAAGATCTTTAGAAAGCATTGCCATGAGGGTCCATTATAAATGGTGGTCAGTTATATCAAGGTTTATTGTATATCACTTTAACATAGTTAAATACATATCCATCTATTCAACCCTTCTATTTTATCTCTAATTTTGAGTGATGCTTATTTTCATTTATAAGTATTTCTCCAATAATCGTTTTTATTAGTTCTTTTTCCTTCAGGAAGTGGTGTACAGTATGTACTTGTTAATTTCAAAATGTTTTAAGACAAAAAAAAATTACCTGCAGGAAGAGGCACGGCGTATGAGCAAGTCAACAAGTGGCACAGAGAATTTTGTGTTACAGGAGCTGAAGCACCGATTGGATGATAAAGTGTCATTACTGGATGCTAGAGATAATGAACTAAAGGTTAGTACTTTTTCTTAGTAATAAAATAAATTGCCATATTTTTGTGAAAAAATAGTGATGGGGATTTAACGTGTAGAGACCTGTATTCCCCTATATATTATATATATATATATATATATATATATATATATATATATATATATATATATATATATATATATATATATATATATATATATATATATATATATATATATATATATATATATATATATATATATATATATATATATATATATATATATATATATACCGTATATACTCGTCTATAACCCCCCTTCGTATATAGGTCGACCCCGATTTTATGACCAAGAAATCGTTAATTTATGATATTCCTCGTTTATAGGTCGACCCAAGTTTTTGAGGGTAAAGGAACAACAAAACCTTCAGAAAAACTCTACGTCCTATAAACTTGTTTACCATTTATTATTACGACACTTTACACTGAAACGCAGGTAGTTTCAACAAAAATATTGTATATTTCCATTCAAGTATTTATTCAAGTCAATTAGGAGGGAATATTATTGTAATACAACAGTTTTTTAACTAAACCATTCGAAAAGCGATTACGGTAACATCTTTTGAACGAAAGAAAGCGAGTCATTGTTTTCGTCACGATTTTATCCCACTTTCCACTGTAATACGTACGTAATTTCAGGAAAAAATATTACATTTCCGTGAATGTAGTATATCAAGCACAGTATGAATAGAATATCATTGTAATATAACAGAATTTTAACCGAAAACTATTAAAAAAACGAATAACATCTCAAGAACATCGGAAGCTTAGGTGAAGTCTTTTGTTTTCGTCATGTATTTTATCCTATTTTACATTGAAATACATCACGTTTCAGCAAAACTACTATTTATTTCCGAGAATATATTCATTCAGGCACAGTTTAGGTAAAATATACGTGTGATGTAATAGTTTTTTAACTGAAAACGATTCGAAAAACACGTTCCCTCTAGCCCTGTTCAAGGAGAGGACTGGGAGAAGCTGTTTGGTGCTGCAGACGATGACAAGGAAAATGATTTTGATGGATTTTAATGAAAATATTCAGAAATATGGTATCGTAATATTTATTCAAGTCAATTAGGATATTATTGTAATACAATACAACAGTTTTTTAACTAAACCATTCGAAAAGTGATTACGGTAACATCTTTTGAACGAAACAAAGCGAAAGTCATTGTTTTCATCACAATTTTATCCCACTTTCCACTGTAATACGTATGTCATTTCAGCAAAAAATATTACATTTCCGTGAAGGTATTATATCAACCACAGTATGAATAGAATATCACTAATATAACAGTATTTTAACCGAAAACTATTAAAAATACGAGTAACATATCTTGAACATCGGAAGGTTAGGTAAAGTCTTTTGTTTTCATGTAGTTTATCCTAATTTACATTGAAATACATCACGTTTCAGCAAAACTACTATTTATTTCTGAGAATATGGAAATGTAATATTTTTGCTGAAATGACGTACGTATTATAGTGGAAAGTGGGATAAAATCGTGACAAAAACAATGACTCGCTTTCTTTCGTTCACAAGATGTTACCGTAATCGCCTTTTGAATGGTTTTCAGTTAAAAACTGTTATATTACAATAATATTCTATCCTAATTCACTTGTGATGTAAAAGTTTTTTAACTGAAAACGATTCGAAAAACACGTGTACCGTCTAGCTGATACGGCAGAGCCCTGGTCGTGGAGGCTTTGTGTTTGCATCGGCCCTTCTTAAGCAGCTTTTAATTTTAGCGTACGTTGAAATTGTGTTTACCGGTGTATTCTTATTTTCCAGAAATATGACAAGTTTTTATATAATACAATGTTACGGTACTTTTAATTTACAAGTATTCATTTTTAAAAATACAGAAGACACCAAACAAATACTAGTACGGATATTTGCGTGACTCTCCCGCCAAAAAAGACCAAACAGCTGGTACTCTCTCCCTCAGCCCTACCAAAAATAGCCCAACATCTTTCTTGTTTATTCTCTTCCAATTTCTCACTTTAACTGGTATTTTTTACTTCATATTGCCTACATCAGATAAACTACAGTAATTGAGGTTAGATATTGTTATAAATTTGATTACCGGGTCCTGGCAGGTACCGTTAGAACCACCTGACCCTACCAACAGTGTTGCAAGTCAGACAGCATTTTTTTTTTTTACATTTTTGGTGTCTCCATTTGTTAATTTTTTTTCTGTGGGGTTTGCACAATAGTATACTGTTTTACCTACAGTATTGTAAAACGATTTGGGAAAAGAAATACTCGGTAACTTAAAATTTTAAAAGGAAAATTTTGAAACTGGCAACTGTGTGCAGATGACCTGACTCACATCATATTGATGTTTCAAATTTAATTAACAAAAATTTATGTATCTATAAATAAACTTTTAAAAATGAATACTTTATGTTTTACATACTCCTGTGCATACCATACCATGCATTTGGCTACTTTGGGCTTGCTATGATGACGCAAGAGATCTGCCCTGGCAACTGTACCGACACTCACAGCGGGTGGTGCGTTGGTGCATCGTTTCCATTGTTTACTGGTAGTTACTGGTAAATTTTTTTCAACCTAACGAAACTATTACCCGTATAGAGGTCGACCCCCAACTTTTTGCCCAAAAATTTGGTCTTAAGAACTCGTGCTATACACGGGTATATACGGTATATATATATATACACAGTGGGGTATGCTATAACGAACGTAATTGGTTCCAGAACCTCGTTCGTTATAGCATTTGTTCGTTATAGGATTAATCCGTTCCGGACCCCCAAATACAACCACTTAACACTGAAAAAATTATGTGGAAAATGTAAAAAATACGGTACTTTATCTTACCTTAGTGTTATTCAGCATGCAGGTACCCCTAAACACTGGCACATCACTATCATTTCCACTGGGAGTCTTGGCTTTAAGGTCCTCAAACAATTGTTTAGCCTTCTCACAAATTATAGCTTCACTAATGTTACCACCTGCCATTTCTTTCTCCTTTATCCACACTAAGAGTAAATTTTCCATCTCTTCAATCACATTACACCTTGCTTTGCTAAGTCTAAAGATTCCCTTAGCCACTTGCACAGTTTTTAACTCCTCTTTATTCTTCAAAATCGTACATATAGTCGATTTAGCCATCCCATGTTCATCACTAAGTTTCGCAATGCTTCTTCCATTCTCACGTTTCTTTATAATTTCTTTCTTAGTTTCAAGGGTTATTAGCTTTCTCACTCGCTTTGGACAACTTATTGTTACAATTGTATACTTGTATAACAAAATAGTTATACAAATAATGCGAATTTCCACATCAAAAGACGAAATTTCAACAATAACAGTGGTGCACTGGCTACACAATGAGACAAAGATGGCGCCTGACGCTCTTGTTGTGGGTCGCGGTACAACAATATTCATGCGCCAGGCGAAATAGTCCCGTATTCATCGTTCGTTGTAGGAGTTGCGTTCGTTATAGCATTCTCAATTTTATAGGTAAAACCGTTCGTTATAGGAATATTCGTAGTAGGATCCGTTCGTTATAGCATACCCCACTGTATATATATGTGTATATATATATATATATATATATATATATATATATATATATATATATATATATATATATATATATATATATATATATATATATATATATATATATATATATATATATATATATATATATATTCTCAAGATCAACGAGTGTACATGTACCCCTTGTGGGGCAACTACCTGCACTACACATAGATGTGTAAAAGTGAGTGGAGTACTAAGTCAGAAACCCCCATAAGTTGGAGAAGCTCTGACATGGGGGGGGGGGTCTGTGGAGTGGCAGTTGAGAGAGGAGTCAGTTCCCAAATGTTTGTTGTTGTGTTCACTGCTCCACTGCACACACTATTTTATTTTATTTTTTATTGTATGTAGTCCTTATCTGGTGTATATGGCCTCTAAAGCAAGCTAAGGCAAAACAATGCCAATTAATGATTTGTTCTCTAATGAGAAATTATCATAGTCTGTGGGAGAAAGTTGGTGCAGTATAGTACTGTACCCTGTATATGTATTCCTTACATTTTGAAAAGTTGTTGGTTGTATGTTGAAGGAAAGATGTTCTTAAGAAGGGAGCAGATTTTTTACCATTTATGTTATAACAGAATTCTGACTGTTTAATGCCAGTTGTGCACATTGGACATATAACACCACATCATTGCAAATTGATGTTCCTAAGAGTTTGGAATGTGTGAGTACAAATTTCATTGAAATATTGCAGTCTAAAACTACCTCAAGTATGTCCTACATACCTTGTAACCCCCTGCTATGAAGAATTAGATAGAGTAACTATAGATTTAATCTCACTAATGTGGGACACTTGGGCATGGCCTCTACCTTTTTTCTAAATTTGCCGCATTATCTGCTTGGGTACCCTCTTGATAACAGTAAAAGCAAATTTCATTTTGATATGATTACTGGAATTTTTAATATATGTTTCAAGAGAGCATAGAGAATAATACTGCCGTATACAGTACTTATGTAATGATGAATAAATTAATTTTGAATTTTTTTTCCTACTCATTGATCTTCCTCGCTTCTTACAAATTGTGATGTGTAGGTTAACTGAAGGCAGGTTTTGCATAAGTGAAGGTTGGGAAGAGATATCAGGTCAGGTAATGTTAAGAAATACAAGTCAACAGTTAAGGCATACACAACCGAAAGATGGTTGTTACTTTGGTAAACAGAGATTGTGGCATCATCTGACTGGTTCACCATAACACGTGAAGTGGCAAGATGGTAAATTATTCCTGGATTCTTCTTGGGTTTCTTGTAGATTTCTGTATCTATAAGAGAGTTGCAAATGCAAAAATGGCCAATTTTCAAGGCCAGCTGATTTTTTGGAATGTCATGTTTTTGAGGTTACACCTATACTTAATTACAATACGTTGCACTCAACATACCCCTCAGTGGTGCTTCGCCATTATTTAGGAAACTATTAAATTCCACTTCAGTTTAGTATGTAGTGCTGAGTTAACATTCATTGTTAATTAACCAAAATGGGATGACTATTTTAGACATTTCTCTTATCTGTACTCTGGACACATACAAGGATACACCAGTTTTGTCACCAGATGGAGTGTATCATTACCTACTTCATGTACAGTTGCAGAAATGTGTTCCTACACCCCCTATGGTAACCTGTGTCTCACAATGGCAATGTTGCAGTAGTAGTATCACTATTTATGAATGAATGGGTGTTGGTCGTGTAACGACGAACGTGATTGGTGGATAGAGATGGGTCACCACAGGGGTGTAGGAACACAGTTCTGCAATTCATAGCTGTACCTGGATATTTCGCAACCATGACACTACAATCTCCAAGTTTGACCATACCTGGATTCATCATCTTGACACCAGTCAATAGAGAGTAGACAAACAGTGAGATGAAATTCATTCAGTATTAGATACCAGTATGGCTTTTTTAAAGCTAGAAGCCTTCTTGATGGGTTATTATTATGACATTATCCCATCAAAAAGCACCAGGGTAAGATTTAGTTTATTAATTGTGGGTTACACTTGTAGCAAGATGCTAATGAACTAAAACAGAGAACCTAAAGAAGAGACATTATGAATATGTAACTGGACCCATACACAACAGTGAGAAGACAAGTGTGTTGGTGTTGTAATTAGAACTTGTAATAAGTCACAAGTCTGGTTGAAAGGTAATAACTTCTTGGAAAAGAGTGTCCAGGAGGTATGCTGCCACTAGGCATTCACTGTATATGCCAAACTGGTAATAATTTTAATAAATAATCATTATATGTGTAAAAGAGGGGTGAGTAATATTTCTCTATGGTGTATTAATTATATGTTCACATAAACACTTACCATAAGTCATTAATAAGTTACAAGTGGGTTGGAAGTAAGAAGTTAGAACTGTATTATTTATAAGATATGAATATGAAGTCATTTCTGTGCAACCACTGTAGATATGTGTTGGTGTAAAATGTTTGTTTCAAAGCAGCAGCTCTCGTATAGAAAATGTTGATATAAATTATTTTTATATTTCAGGAATTACAGCAATTGCTGTTAGATGCCGCTGAAGCTTACCTTTATAAGGATCAGGAACGTGCAAATTTTGAGGAGAAATTGGAGACAAGTGAAAAAACTGTTACCAAGCAGGTAAGTTTAGCAGTTGTCTTATAAAGATGGGGATCTGTTGTTTATTACTGTATATACAGTACAGTACTCAATTTTTTTTGTGTAGGTTAATGAATTCTTAAAAGTTTCTTCCCAAATTTCATTGTTTTCCTGAAATAGCTAATCTTATGAGGTTTTTATTTTGAACCTACTGTAATGGGTTTGGGAATCTAAAATGAAAAGTTAATCAAATTTGTAATAAAAAGAAAAATAATTGATGTGGTGCTGATGTGAAGTTGTGGGTAATCCACATTTATGGCCTTGTAGTACAATAGCAGAACACACTTTATAACAATAATAATAAGTGAATCACAATAATTGTAGGGAATATGTGTATGTTGTGTTATTTCCAGCCACTACAATAATATGGGAAAAGGTTGAAAGACTAAAAAAAAAAAATTAAGACAATATGAAAATAAGATGGTAAAATAAACAATAATATCACGGACGCAAACTTGGTTTTAAAAATATCAAACTGAGTTCTAGCATAATTTCATCCTGGCTTTAAAGACTTGTAAGAAAGGCTAAGTATTTGTGAGTACAATACAGTGCAGTCTGATTACACTACAACAGTACAGTACAGTGATCCCTCGGTTAACGAGCGCCTCAGTTAACGAGATTTTGGTTAACGATTTACCTTCCATAAGATTCTTAACTTTGGTTAACGAGCAATCCCTCGATTAACGAGGTTTTACGAGCCGACTTCAACATATTTTCGCTTGCATTTGGCGGTCCACCAGCTGTAGTATTAGTCCGCCAATACAGTAATCGGTTTTAGGGCTTAAATTCCTTACTATTTTAGTAAATATCAAGAAGTTTATACTATTCAATAATTTTAAAAGTTTAATATTAACTTTTTTAGTCATTTTAACAATTATTGAACATAATTGAAGGTAAAGAAACTAGTTTCTGGTGTGCCATCCAGCCTGTTAACACACCATACAGGCGTCAGTCTTTCTGTTTTCAGTGGAGGTAACATCTTGCTTGAGAGACTCTTCAACTGAACGCTTTTTTTCTGTGTTTCCAAGCAAATTATTGGTCATTTTGAAATTTATTTTACATATTGACAATATATAATGCAGTGCAGTGTTGATTTAAAGAAAATAATCTTGAATTACACCAAGAGAACTAAAATTTTATGGGTGAAATGGTGCCATGGGGTGACTTCTCTTCCACCCCAATGCCTTCTCTTTTCCCTTCTCCTCCACCCCCATTCTAATTCCCATCATCATCATCCAGGAGCCTTCTACATACACACCTCAAAGTAAGTGTACTTTTCTACCTTTTTTGTTGAATTTAGGCAATTTTCGGTGAGCTGGAACCAATTACCCAAAAACCCATTGAAACAATGGTTTCGGTTAACGAGCAACCTGCTGGAACTTATTGTGCTCGTTAACTGAGGGACCACTGTACTCCATAGTGTCACCAATGCATGATAAATGTGTAAGAAATATAATTCATATTAATAGGTTTATATTTTGTTTACAGTTTTGTGCTTCTTGTTAATATTTTAGAGTGCTATTAAAGTGGTTTCTTTATTCTTCAGATTATGAACTTGAATGAAATTGAGAATCGGCTAGAGGAGGCCCGGGCAACACTGAGCCAATATGCAGGACAAGTAGAGGAGAGGGACCAGTATATTGATGAGTTACGGCAACAATTGTCAACACAGGTAAGTACTCATGATAAATCCTGCCAGTGGAAGACCTAAGTTTGTTAAAATACCAGATAGCAGCAACTTTTTATCCCTGTGACTGAATATATTTTTGGATTTACTCGAGAGATATATCTGTGGCTAATAAAATGAATGGAATGAAGTAAAGTGTATAGGTATTTGGAATGACTGAATGGGCAGATACTTTAATATGAATTGTGGAGTACTGTTGTGTAATGGGTGAAGAAAAATCTCCAAATTGGTGTGAATATGTGAGAAGTATGCAAGAGGATATGCTTGTAAATAGGGTGTATGAAGGTCAAGTTTCAGGTGCATTGATTAGGAGATAAATTACAGTATTGAAGAGAAAGTTGCAGCATTGCATCAAGGAGATATCGGGGATGGGTAGAAGAAATGGGTAAGATGGCAAAAGGAATATGTTGTGGCCACCTCTCAGACAGAAATTTCCAAGCAGGGTGAGGCTTTCGTAACCGCTAATTTAATATATTGAACAGCAGAACAATAGAAATAATGTAAGAAATTTTGTTTTATATATGTTGTATTTAATTTAGGTCATATTTAGTTTAAGTAATATTTAATAGTTACCTGAATTGAATATAATTACTACTGATTTAAATAATACAGTAGTCTTGTTCGAGTCTACATTCCTTTGTCTGTGAGCGCATCCTACCTGCTCCTATTGAATGTCATATTACCTGCCATCGTCATTTCCTTAACGATCCTGACCAGAGAAACACAGCACTCATCACCTTCAGTAAAAGCCAGTGATCATGGAGGGGCTCACCAACTAAACTCAACCATTAATTCCTGACCTCCATCCACATCAGCAAACCTTGAGTATCAATTTATATTGTAGGATATCCTAACTTTATACTTTGTATCTAGTTTGATATAATATAAACTGCAACATTACTGCTTAAGGTAATCACCCATTTCAAGTGTTTATGTAATGCGTATAACGTAAAGTAAATATGTCTTGTCCTGGTCTCAACCAATTCGGGACAGTGGCATCAAAAGAAGTTACTGTTATAAAATATAGTGGGGATAGATTTTCTCAAGTTTCTGGTGACTATAAAGTTGGATGAAATAAGGTGAATGAAAATGTGAAGGAAATACAGTAGTGTTGGGATATATCTCGAGATAGGGTCCAACGATATTCGCTATAAACTAAATCGCGATATATAATTACATGTAATCAATGGGGAAAATAGGGTTAGGTTCTGGAGTGACTAAACTTGACTTAACGAGTTTATTTTCCTACTAACTAAAGCACCAATGAACACTAGACTGGGGAACAACAGGTTGTTTCGATATCAATATCAAGGAACACCAGACTCGGCAGCTGACGCACCATCCCGGGAACACCAGATTCGGCGGCACACGCCACACTGCCACCCTCACTTGACAACCCCACTCCTACATAACGAACAAACCAAAAATATTAGATACAGTATTAAATCTTTTCCATTAAGCTTTCCATTCTCTTCACTTCACTTTTCACGTCAATAGCAACCCATTTACACTCACCTTAGAAGTCGTAATCTACTCACTCAGAAAGACTGAGCGGGTGAGCGTGAATGCGTGGGTGAGCAACCATGGTGGCGCCTCTGGTGAGCAAATAATGCATTTGTTTGCCATGGCGGTACATTTGAAATATTTTTTGCCTGATTTCCATCGCGAAATAAATAAATTTATCTCTATACAGTAGAACAATGATTTAAAGCGATTCAGTTTAAGATTATTGATTTAAAGCGACACCCACAATTAAGGACAATGTTTTAATTTAAAGTGAATCTTTCCTATTTTGCGCGAGTCAATCTGGCGCATCATATTTAAAATTTTGCGCCTAATGTTTCTCTGGGCACGCCACACTGTCCTAAGGTCAAGGCTGTACTGTACATGTACTAAATAATTACTAAAATTTTTGTTTAGTGCAAACTATAGCATGTTTATACAGTATTCAAATTAATCACTATCTTATAAGAATTCCAGCAATGTAAATTATATTCTCCCTGGTCACTTCTGTGACATTTTATAAGCAAAAAAAAAAAAAAACTCAAGCTAAAGGACATAAATAAACAAATACTTCACTATACCCTGACACCAACTGTCAAACATGTCACTGTCACTTCCCCCCATCTTCCCAGCCAGGGTTTGGTGTTTTAAGCTTAAAATTTTTATCTTATATAATGTCACAGACTAAAGTTAGGAGAATATTATTTGTATTGCTGGAATCCTTGCAAGACAGCGAATAATTTGAGTATAAACGTCATATATTTTGCACAAGAGAAAAATTTTGTTCTTTGTACTAAAATTCTTAAATTAGAACTAAAATTCGTATGTCTAATGCAAGCTATAGGATGTTTATATTACAATTAATCACTATCTTGTAAGAATTCCAGCAATGTTAATTATATTCTTCCATGTCAATTCAGTGACATTTTATAAGAGAAAAACTTAGTCACTCTTAAGGACAGATAAATAAATAAGCACTAGACCTTGGCATCAACTGTCAAACATATCACCTCACCCCCCCCATCTTCCCAGCCAGTAAACAGACCATTTTGCATCCCTTAATTTTAGCTGTGTTGATTTATGAGTGTTTGTTTTAACATAATACTGTACTACAAAAAACAATGTTTTGTTTATTCTAACAGATGGGCTGAGGTGCATCTGGGTAGACTAAGTCTTTTTAGTATTTTGTGTTTCTCTCAAGTGTCAAACTAAATTATTCCATTGAAACAACACTTCGATTTAGTGCGAATTCGGTTTAAAGCGACCGCTCTTGGAACATATCTCGCGTTATATCGACGTTCTACTATATATTGGAAAATGTTGATAATTTTGGTAGTCGTGATATAATTCGTTTGTTTTTTTAAGTCACGATATAATCCGACCCTACTGTATCTAATAAAATAAGATGAAACACTGTGGTGATGGTGGTGTTAGAAACTGGATAGATAGATTCAATTTTTACATTAGAATGTATATTTAATTAATTAGTTTTTAGTGAAAATTTATTGCTTGGTGATCTTTCAGAAAGTGTCTCGTGTGCTACAAGAACACAGTGAATGTTGTAAAATGTTGGAGAAAATGCAGATTAAGAAAATGGAGATCGAAGAGGAGTATCTAAGGTAATTTTTTGGTATTTTTTATTATACAGAAATAGGAAGAATAAACAAATATATCCTAAAAACAACACAGCTTATATCCGCTGAATTGTGGCATTGTTTTTTGTGTGTTCTTTTAATATTCCATACATTAGTATTTCAATAAATGTCAGGCAAGTTTATATTGAAAATTGTAATTTTGAAATTATATTAGTGCTGTACTGTATTTTTAATTGAATGTGCTGGATAGATCACTGGTCAACAGCCAAAATGGTTCACATATGAGATCATGCTCACACAACTAATTTCATATTGCTGAATTCGAATCTGATATTTGTTTTGTTCTATCAGACCAGGTTTTATAAAAACATCAATAGGTACAAATATTTAATATTCCATCACGTGTCGTGCAAAAGATGAGATTATCTCATGTGACTGTGCTTTCATGACTAATTTCATATTAATGAATATTAATTGGATGTTTCATTCTACCATCAGACCTACTTTCTTAAAGAATAGTGATATGCACTCCATCTTCTAGCAGGTTACGCTGCTTTAGTCTGGATCCCAAAACTTCAGCCTTTTCTTTTGACAAGTTTAGGTCCCTGATGAGATCATGAAGCGCTTCTTGAGTAAATTGTTTAGGCCTGGTATTTTCAGAGTCATCCTGGTAGTCGTTTTCCATTGAGGTAGAGGTAGAATCGGAATCACTCAATTCTTGTTCAGTCGGTGGATTTGGGACTGGAAGTTCAGCACTGTGCGGTACTGGTCGGATTGCAGAAGCAATATTGGGGTACTGTACCTTGCCTCATGTCTTGATTTTTATTCCCTTAATATTTGTGAGACAGAAGTAGCAGTCACTACTGTGGTCTTTAGGTTCACGCCATATCATTGGTACAGCAAACGGCATTCCTGAACTTCGTTTACCACACATCCACTCGCTCAGGTGGTTAACACAAGACTTACAGGCTACATGAGGTGCCCATTTCTTGTCTTGGTCACCCAAATGACATTTGAAGTAACTTTTGTAGTTCAGTCGAACAGCTTTTGTGATTGGTTTCTTGAGGCTACCAGGAGTGAAGGCACCACATATGTAGCAAAAACTGTCAGCACCGTTCACACACTTGCGACGTTCCATGTTTTGTTAATTTCAGAGTAATTACAAATCATGCAGGTGTAGATATGCAATATCATGAATCAGCAAACTGAAACAAACAAAAAAGCACAAATCAGGACAAAATAATTGCATAAGTGGAGCCAATGAGCATATAAATTACTGTATGAATAGCATGGTACACTAAATATATAGATATACTGGTTCTGGAAAACTGAGCCTGATACAGCTATACGAATGTCATAATTGAGTTCAGCACATACAATTACACTAGAATCAGACTGTTTTGATCCAGAACCATGAGAATTTTTTTTTTATGTTGACCAGTGAATTATCAGTTGTGTAGTCCTTACATGACCTGTTGTAGCTGTACACTATGTTTACAAGAAAACAAAAAATACATACTCTTTCTTTCCTGCAGGCCTTGTACTATACTAAAATCTAATTAACTTGGCAGCTATGTCTCTCACCCCTGAGCGAGATTGGTTGGTGGTGGGGTGGAGAGCGCTCGGGAAATTAAGCATCATAATTATTGGTCATGAACGTGGCTCCCAGATGAAACCGAATGTCTCTCATCATTTTATAATATTTTCAATTTTTTTTCTGATATATCCGTTATTAAGATGTTCAATGCGCTAATATTTGCCTTTTCATTTTCGAACATTATTTCAGATACCCGGTATGTAGAATGAAAAAAAAAATGAGAATGAAGAACTGTTGAGTGACCAAAAGACAAAAATTGCTTTAATAATAATAATAATAATAATAATAAATGGTTTATTAATAGAGTTGCAGCCGGTGGCTGAAAATATACAAACTTACATTTGATTTAGACATAATGATATGCGTTGAGTACATTTACAGGGCTGTACAGTACATAAATCAGGAGTTGTTTATTATTCTAACAATAGATGGGATGGTGCTATTCTTATATCTATCAGTGCAGGCTCTTATGGGCTGAATTTTGTTGCAATGACTGACTGCGCGAGGTGGGTGGGGGACTGCCGGTGGCAGGAGGTGGCGATGATGGGGATGGTGCAGTGGTAGTCCACTGCCAAACCTTGTTAGTGCTTGGTGGTGGAGATCACTGAAGGATGTCATTTCCAGGGTGGAGAGAGCGTTGTAGTAGCCGGAGTAGTCTGCGCTGAGCATGATTCTGCAGGCCCTTTTCTGTACCTTCTCTAGCTGGCGTTGTTGGGTAGAGTTGAGAGAAGACCACCAGGCTGGTGACGCATACGTTAATTTGGGGAGAAAAAAGACGTTGTTGATATTCCTCAGCTCTGGTGTGGGTGCCCCAAGAGACGTAAGTCGTCGTAGCATGTAGAGTCAGTATGAGGTTGCCTTGATTGTGTTGTTTACGTGGGCCTTCCAGTCCAGTTTGTGGTCTACGGTAACACCCAGGAGTTTGGTAGACTGCACTAACTGGAGAGGATGGGCACCCACTGTGACTGCTGGAGTGGTGGCAATATTGATGTGCATGACTACAGTTTTGGTGTAGTTGATGGTGACCTTGTTCTCCTTAGTCCATGCCTGTAGCCTGTCCAGGGTGCCTTGTAGAGATGAGTAGTCCGGTGAGGTGTTGTCCACTGTAAGCCCCACAGTGCAGTCATCCACGTACTTCCACCTGTGAGGAGTGTCCGATAGAGCGTCGTTGATCAGGAAGCACAGTGGTCCCATCTTGGTCCCCTGGGGAACACCGCAGGTGAGGTGTTGGAATGTGGAGACAGAACCCTGGTACCTGACTGCCTGGCTTTAACCAATCAGGAGCGACTGTGAGGAGTGGGTGGGCATACCAGCCAGGTTAATTGGATTGTGGCATAATCTGTTTAAACTATTAATTTCAGAATTAATAACAAATATTAAAATCTTTTTCAGGGATAAAAGTAAGTTGCTGCTAGAACTTGCTGAACTGAAAAGAAGCAAAGCACAAACTAACTCAGGTGACAGCATCTCATCAGATGATCTAAAGGCTGTTGAAGTAAAGGTAATGCAATTACAGCAAGAGAAAGAAACATTGATAAAGGAAAGAGCCTGGCTAAGTGATCAACTCACAGAATCTGAGGTACTGTTTACTCACCTGCAGAAAGCCAACTCAGAACTGGAAAAGGACTTTGGTGTGGTAGAGGAAGAGAGAGACCAATTGAAGGAGAATGTTACTGAGGTATTTATTAATGGCATCAAATAAACAAATATTACAGCGATAATACATTAGGACATTTTTGTAACTACTAAATTCTTTGTTATTTAACATACAGTAATCCTAGACATAAAAACTATTATATGTTTGAGCTTACTGTTTTATGGGATGATAATCACTTAAATAATACCATGGGTCTGCTTAATCTGATGCTTCAGAATTTTATAGTTGTGTGATTAACATTACCTGTAACACCTACTTGCCAACACTGCTCATCTTTGTCAAATTTAGTTCTGTGAATTTTGATTGAAAGTTAAAGGTGTATCATAATGTTTTTAAAATTATTACAAGTAATATTATTATTATTTCTTATTTTTTCAGTTGCATGAGAAGCTCATGAGTGTGCAGGAGGAGAGAGCTTCTGAGCAGCTGAACACATCTTCTCTAAAGGCAAATAGCATTAGTGCCATGAATCAAGTCAATACTCTTCAGAATGACTTATTAGAAAAAGAAGAGCAAATTCTTCAGCTGCAAATGCAAGTCAAAGAACTTAATAAGACTGAGCACCATTATCTGAAAGACCTGGAAAAAAATAATAATGAATTACAGGAAAAAATATTGACACTGGAGAGTAAATTAAGTGATACTATGAAGGAGAATTCACAGTGTGTAAATATAAAGGAGAGGTTGGGTGAATTATCCAAACTCCTTGAAGAAATTCAAGAAGAAAACAAGAATATAAAAAAGGAACGAGATGACTTGCAAAACAAACTTACCATTAATCATGGAACTTCTGTCCTCTCACTAGAGAAAATTAAGTCTTTGGAAGGGGAAATTTCACACTTAAGAGATGATTTGAAACAAAAAACTGTTGAAATTGAAACAGTAGTAATAGATAAAGAAAGGATGATTGTCAGCCTCAGAGAAGAAATACATAGCATTGATTGTGTAAATAGAAAATTTAAGGAAGAAAAAGAATCTTCAGAGCAGGAGGTAACTCGAGAAATTGAAATTAAAAATGCCGAGATCACTGAACTGGTGCGTAATAACCAAACACTGAAGAAGGAGTTAGAGGAAGTTAACCACTCTCTTGAAAGTAGAACCAAATCTAATTTAAATTTGAAAGAATTATTGAACAACAATGAAATTAGACTAAATGGAATTCAGTCTGAACTTAACTCTCAAAAAATTTTAGAAGAGGAAAATAAATCAATGAAGATCAAACTTGAAGAACAAATGAAACAGCTTGAAAAATTCAGATCAGAAATTGAAGCTGAGAAAAGATTAAAAGATGAAAGCAATAGTGAGAAGAGTGATCTCCAGGAACAAGTATCTTCTATGATGAGAGAACTGAGTAAATTACGTGATGAGTATGAAGACATAAAGAGACAACTGGAGATGTCACAGGACAAACAGAGAGAAGAAAGTTCCCGGACAGAAACTATGGCTAACGAATTGTCAGCTCTTCAAGAACTATTTCAAGAGGTAATAGATGTAAAGTCTACGTTAAAAACACAGTTGCAAGAGAAGTTAAAGGAACTAAGAGGTAAATTTATGTGTTCTTTACATGTTTGTTCTTTGGTCATCTTGAAGTTTTAAATTTTATATACTACATCATCTGTATTAACTTGACTAAATTAAAAAAAAATCGCATTTCTCACTTAATTAGAACCGATTTTATAGACTCTAGTATGAATATTTCTTAACTGTTTTCATAAAAGAATTGAGTTCTCATCTTTAAATCATGTAGAAATATTTTTATATATCTTGTAATGATTTATTCAGGATAATTTGGGTATCAAATTTGTCTTTCTAACACAATTAGAATAGATGCCATGGATAAAAGTGTATACACGTTTTTGCTCATCGTAAATATTTTTGCCCTATGCCTGGCGCCCCAGAAATACCTTCATTTGAAGGCTCGTGACATATAGATTTTGTATATTTTTTAATGTTTACATTTAACAAAACTTTGAGATAAACTATTCAGGATTATTTTGATAAAGGAAAAAAATGATGCTTCTAACTTAACCAGAACTGATTTTTATTGACTCCGGTATTAACAAGAGATGACACCATGTTTTTATTTTTTCATTATTATATTCTCGTATGATCATATGATCAGCCTATTATGGTGTATGTTTCATCATAAATAATATAACATACTGTACTGTATTAATAGAGCAAAATATAATACAGTAAAGAGGAGGAGGGGGGGGAGGGGATGAAGGGTGGGACTGGCCATACCACGTACAGTCAGTTCTGCTATAACGCGATAGTTGTGTTCTTGTAAAACATCGTGTTATAGAAATTCGCGTAATAGAAATAACAGGGCTTATGGAGAAAATAGGGTTAGGTGCAGACTACTACTCGAAATCGAAAAAAATTTAGTAGTTAGCCTAACACAAAGGATAGCACAATCTAAATAAATGTTACATTCATATCTAATAATGAAATCATACAGTAAATGTAACACTTTATCTTGAAAAAATATGAATATAACTTGATCGGGGAGAAGGATGATTTTGAGGTTGATAACATCGGGCTTCTCTTCAAGGGTTATAGCCTTTCTTTTACGATTATCACCGGGAATGCGATCACCAGAACGCTTCTTGGAGATATTCTTCTTTACCATATTCACAGTTAATACCACAAAATTGGAGAAATAGTAAGCAAAAATCGCATTACAGCGAACAGGCGTTCGCATTATACAAATATCGTTCCTCTATTCATAAATCGCGTTAGAGCCAATTCGCGTTGTCAAAACACGCGTTATAGCAGAACTCACTGTATGCATTATTTTATTCTTGTATGATCGGCCTCTTATGGTGCATGTTTTATCACATCACAAGAAGAGCCAAGGAATGTTGTGTTCAAGTTTTGGAAGGAGTTCAGTGTGCAAACTGTGGTAAATAACTAGGCGGGAGACAATGGTAGCCATGTTGAAACATGCGTGGCGAAAGCTGCTGCGTGTGGCGGGTGAGGTGACTAACACTCAAGTGTTGGTAGAGAATGTGGCGAGTGTGATGAAGATGACAAGGCAGGTGGCATCTGCAGGCTTTAGTGAGGTAAATTCAGACCACGTGATGGAAGTTATCAGAACAACAGAGAAACTAAAGTTGGAGAGTGTGTGGTAAATTTATAATTCCACTTCTGTAAAACTGTCCAAACCAGCGATTGCCGGAAATTTGGTGGTCAACCTGTATAAGTAATTTCCATAAGTTCCCAAATTAAATCATATAAACCATGGAGTTTAGAAACAAAGTAGATATTAAAGGTTATCTTTGAATGCAAATTAAGGTTGTGTTACAAGTTTGTGATTATTTATGACTGATTCCATTACAGATGTCAAGACTAAGATACAAGAAATGGAGGATGAAAAAATCAAGTTCGAAAAGTTGTTAGAGGAGAACAACCTGGAGCAACACAAAGTTAGTCCTCCAGCAGTAGTTGTTTTGTCATTTGAGATTTGGACCACTTTTACCTGATCAATTTAAATACATACCTTTTTCTTTAAAATATTATGATGTTGGTTTTAAAGGTTTCTAATTATTAAATGTATTATTGTTATTATTTACTAAATTTATTGATGTTTTGGGATCATTTGTTGCTTGTTTGGACTCTGTATATTGCTAGAATACTTGCCTGGAGAGGATGGATGAAAGGATATTAATGTAAGGTCTACACAAGTGAGATTAAAGGTATAAGAGGAAAAAAATGGAGCAAGACTTAAGTTTACAATTGGTTCACCAAATACCTGTATGTAGACAGGGTGAAGAATTATATGGACAAGAGGTGTCAGTGTGGAGGGTCATTGGAAGTGATATATAAGGACTGGGTTGCTTTGCAGGAAAGAACAGCCATCCTGCTGGGTAGTGGGATATGTTGCGATAGACCAAAGATGAAGATTTGTTCCAGAAGTGGCTGAAGTGTTAGAGTTAAATGTGGTGTATACTTGAAGGTCATTGTAGATCAGAAAGCATTTAAAAGCAACCTCGTCATGATTTGATATTAACCTCCTATGTTAACTCAAGTTCAGCTTAAGGCAGGTCTTCTGTTACATATTGATTCTTAATTTAGCAGTAAAGTTATTGTGGTTAAACACCTTTCACCAGACTTATCACCTCCATTTTTTTTAGCTTATATTTTTTCGATTAACCCTCTCATGCACACATTAACTTTTTAAGTTTCCTTGACCACAACAAAAGTCATATGGGATCACTCAACGTGAGGTCTAGTCATATTCATTCTGTGACCAATTTAGCCCACAAGATTTTATTATTTTTTATTTACCTTTTTTATTATGATTTATACATCACTGGCTTCATCATTGTTTTGGTTCTAACATAAAAGGAAAAAGAAAAAAATATTTATCTTCCCAGCTTCATATCTTGGATATTTTTGCATTACCCTACCAAGGTATTATACAGTTATAGAAGCAGAATTTTATGAACTTTCCAACGGTGGTATTGGAATTTTGATAAGATTAATTGTGGGGAGGGTGGGAGAGGAAATAGAGACAGATGTTACCTACCATCACTGCTGATGGGAGGACACGGTTGGACAGTGGAACTCCACCCATGCTTTGGTACTTTCTGGAAAGCTTCTCCTGCAATATCATGCAGCCATCTATGATGCACAAAAATTTGATGCAGTTTTCTTGAAAACTTCTTTTATGGGTGAGGGGAAAATTTTTTAAGTTCAATTATGCAATTTGCATCACTGATACAATTAGTACTATCCACTGTTTTGATGTAATTTGCGCCATGATGCGTGAGAGGGTTCATTACTTTCCTACACTTCTAATATAATAATCTGTAATTTTCAAAACTCTAAAAAGTATTGTTAGCTTTTAGAGTTAGCATGTTTGCATACTGCATTAAGAATTTCTGTGTTTTACAGAGTGGGTTAAAGAAACTCCAAGAACATGTGACATCACTCAATGAAGAAAATAACGACCTTAAGGAGAGATGTGTAGCTGCTGAACATCTTAATGAAAAACAAAGACATCTACTTGGTGACAAGGAAGATGTTATTACAGCTCTGAATACAAAGGTAACACAATAGAGTGAAAGTTCATTATTTACAGTAAAGATGTTTTAGTTGACTATATACTGTATATAATCTGCTTGTACTGTACTTAAAATCTCAGACATGCCTAGGTGGCTAATAACATACTGTATTAATATCTTATTGTCCATGGTGTGTCAAACAAAATATATTACAGTATTAGCTAGTAAGAAGTTGCTATAACAGTCTGGTCATTCACTCCTGTGACTAATTACATTTAAATGTTATTTATATAGGTTGAGTCATTAGACTGTAAACTTACAAGAGCAGATGATGAATTGCAAGAAAAGAGAGATGAAGTCACAAAACTAAAGGCTGGGTGTGACATCTTAGAGAAGGTAATGATGTGGCCTGGCATGGAAAAAATTACTGCAGTGAATTTTTTCCTTTGCCATGCCTCTATACTGTATGCTATTTAACTTATGAGATGGTAGACTAAATGTATACTGTTGAATGATTTGGTCTTTTCTTACTTTAACTTAACAATAACTGGAGAAAGCGGTGTTGTCACAATAAGCCACCGAAGGTTGTGAAATTCAATGGGTTATAAAGTTTTAAAGGGGAATACAGAAATACTAATTATGGAAAAATTTACCATTCTGGAGCTCAGCTACTCATATACAGCATGCCCTTAAAATTAGCGGGGGTTTGGATCTCAAAATGGCCGCGAATAGCCAAATCCACAAATATCATTTGCTGACGTGGGGGGGGGGTTAAATTTTTATGCATGTGCAAAGAAATGTACATTGAACCCTTGAAGATTCAGACCTTGTAAATCCAGATTTCGGAAGATTCGGACAAAACAATTGGGGGTTCTGGGCTAAGAAGCCTCCCTAAGAAACATTCCCAAAACAGGGTGAAGGTAGTCTTAGGCTTAAAGTTTTTATTTTATAAAATGTCACAGATTAAACTTGGCAGAATATAACTTGCATTACTAGAATCTTTGTAAGTTAGTGAATAATTTTAGTATAAACATCACTTAGTTTGCACAAGAGATAAAATTTTTAGTCCTTTAGTATAGTACATTTGAGTAAAAATTTAGTACAGTAATATGTTGCTCAAAATTATGGCTTCTTCACAGGAAGGGTCTGTATAATTAACCCCAGTTGTCAGGATAATATGCATTGTATTTTTTTTTCCATTATTTATCGTTTTTTTATAGATTTAGCACATTTGCCAGAAGATTCAGACAATCGGCTTTTTTTCTGATTTTCAAGGGTTCACTGTATATTCCCTTTGTGTGTTTGCCCTTAGGACAATTATTTCTTTTGTGTGTGTTGTATAAATGTGTGTGTGTGTGTATACACACATACAATACAGGTAAAAGAAATTACTGTCTGTAGAATGAATGGCTCCCTGTCTCGGTCGCATAAATGCTGACAACTTTAAAGCTACCCTCAGACATTCTTGGGTATATCCAGGGTGTCATCCACGAATCGAGCACCACGAATTAAAAATCTGTGAATTGTCAGGGCATGCTGTCTTATGAAAAGAGAGATGGTTTACTTTCGTGAACAATGAAAAATGTAAATTAAATGTTTTCACATAATGAAGTTATTCAAAATATTTAAAAGGTGAATGATTTTTAATAAAACAATCAATAGTTTAGAAAGGAAAAGAAAAGAAGAGGGGACTTTGTAAATAGTATACTTCAGGTGAGAAGGCCAGGCTGCACATAAGAAATATTCGTGGAGGCTGAATGTCTTTCTTGGTAAGTGGGATGTAATAATAAATGTGAATTTGGGTTAAAAAGAAAAGAACTGAAGGTCAGAATGAATCAGAAATTGCAAAGGATTATAAATCATTATGAAAGAGCAGATAGCCCTGACTTGGCCTTGTGGGAATACATTGGAGTAAAAATATCCTCTTTTCTGTACCGGGTACATAAATTTATACCTCTTCACAAAATTTATATTATTTATTGTTCATTAGGAGATAAGAGCAGTGAGGGAGGCTCGTCATGAGGAAGAATTGCAGTATAACCGCCGGACTGAAGAACAAGAGGACCATCTCAAGCTTAAAGAAGTAGAAATCTCTTCCTTGGAACAAGGTCAGACAGTTTAAGAGTTACAATGGTTGTAAATTAAATTATGGGTTCTGATAAAATATACATTTTCCAGTTAATTCACTGTAGATATAGTTTGTAAAAAGAGTATTTCATCTTAATTTATGTATTGGTTTATATTTCCAAAAACAGTAGCACACACGCACACACACCACACCACACCACACACACGCACGCACACACGCACACACACACACACGCACACACACACACACACGCACACACACACACACACACTAAGGTAATTAAGACAGCAAGCGTGAGGAGTGATGGTCTTATTGTCTGACAAATTTGTGTGTGTGTGTGTGTGACTGTGGTAGTGAGTTAAATATCACCTGTTGAGGAGCGCTTGGCAACACTCATTTCCGTTCCATCTCTCTAATTACCCACACCTTTCTGCTTTCTCACTCCATATTTTAAAATTTTATGTTACGTGATATTGAATGGATACATCTTTGCTCATTTATACTTATCACAATCTTCCTAAAAATACTTTAGGTTTCGTGTTGATTCAAGACATCTTCAGGTCATGAGACCCACTAATCTCCCACCCAAGAAAGGGTGACCTGACATTCTATCATAAGATAAGTAATATGAGACCACTAATTCCCCACCCTACTTCCACCTGACATTGCGTCAGGTCAGGTCATTACATGAGACCCACTAATCCCCCTCAGCTCCACGGGAGTGGAAAAAATCAGTCTTTGCTGTAACACACAGCTTCATTCATGCCCATATCATATAGATTTTTAAATATATTCACTGTATTTAACCACACCTTTAGATAAATTATGCTGGCTTATTATAGTCAAGAAATGGAGTCTCTAACTTAATTAGAACTGCATTTACGGACTCCGGTAGTTTAGACTCGAGGAAAACATCCCCAGCACCCAGAAACATTCTGGGGAAGTGGGCTAGTGGTTGTCTGTGCAAGATGTCTAGTTTAAACACTCGGAAACCTTTCCCAGTAACCAGAAAAGATTCTGGTGATAAGGAATTTTTCCGAGTTTGAGAAAGTGATGTGTGTGTGTGTGGTGTATACAGCAAAAATATAATTTAAAAAACCGGGGGTAGGACAAAAAAATTCTCTGCCTTGAGCCAAAACTTCAAGGGACCAAGGTTTCAGTGCATGGGAAACAGGTGCCTGTGAGTTATCAATTGTTTTGGGGAATATTATTTCATTCACTAATAATGATACAATGTTTCTAATTATGTCATTGTAGATAAATGCATGGTTTATATAATTTGAATTTGTTTATCACTGCCAATCACCGTTTTCAAATTAGACTAGAAGATATGTATTTCTCCCATACGTATTGCAATCGTACGCCTGGCAACGGGAGCCTGGGAGGCAGAAGCAGTGAGTGACTGTTAGTTAGAGCGTAGTCTGCAGTTGTAACTCTCCTCCCTCTCTACCATATTTTCTGTTATTTTTCTTATTTAATGATATAATAGTGCTTAATAGTGATTAATCATGGCATTTTAGCTAGGTTAAATTTGTCATTGTAACCATCAGGTTACTGGGCCAAGCTACCGTGTTATGGTTGTTTTTCAACTTGTATTTTTGGATGGATATATGTAACTTAATTCATTTATTTTTATTCAGTTACATGCACATGCCATCCTAAATACATAGTGTATTGTTAAAAAATAAATAAAAATTGTCCGAGGGGCAAACACGTAAAGGGAGGAGAACTCAGAGTGTTGGGGTTGGGGGAGTGATGCTAGGGAATTGGCTTCCCAGCTGATCTTCATTACTATGGTGAAGCAGGGAGTGTATGTAAATAGTGACTGTGTTCAACTTTCATTTAGCTTTTATTTACTAATATGATAGTAGTATTTTTTTTTTGTAAATTATTTATTAGTATTTTTATTTATTTTTTTTATATTTCCTGGTTACTATATATATTAATTTCAGAAAACTATGGCTACAGGAGGAAAATACACACAATTTTTTCCTAAATACTCACTGCTAAAATGGGGGATGTATCTTATATGTTGTAAAATGCATTTTATTTATTTTTATTTTTTATCATTCGTCATTTTCATACATTTAGTAACATTCGCCTGACGATGCAAACTATCGGCTTTTTCAGACAGGTGGTCCACCCTATTATTAGTAATACCACAGTATTGTTGTTATTGTTATTTCCCGTATCAATATAAAGTCCAGGTACAGTACCGTATTATGATTATCGTTAACTTGCATTCATCCACCGGTTCATCCGGACACCCTCTTCCCCTCCTAATTATCCGGAAGTGCAAAGGTTTAGTATGTGCATGTGTGTGTGTGTGTGTGTGTGTGTGTGTGTGTGTGTGTGTGTGTGACAGTGTCACATCAGGTGGCATTCCCAGCTTCAGGAGGCAGCTTTAGCAATGTTATGGATGTGTGGCTTACATGACATATTAGAGGAAATGGTGAGGCCTAGCATATCTATTTTAGAATTTGGCAGAATGATTGCATCCTGACATGTGATTGATGGGAGATCTTCTATTTTGGAAAATGTAATTGGTAAATACTGTGCTTTAACACTACAGTGATATCCCCGTTAGCCGGAACAATTGGTGCAGAGCACTTCCAGGGATGAGAGATTTCTGGGTAATGAGACGATTCTCTCAAAGCCGGAATCTTCCAGAATTTTCCGGGTAACGGGAAAATTTTCTCGAAAGTTCCAGAAATTGCCCATTACATTATCTCTCAAACCCGGAAAACATCCCTCTTCCCTGGAATTTTCCGGGTAAGGGAAAAATTTTCTCTGAATTTTGAGAAAATGCACCTGATTTTCATCTCTCAAACCTAGAAAAAAAATCCCGTATCCCAGGAATTTTCCAGGTATCTGGAAAAATTTTTCTAAATTTTCCAGAAAATGTGCCCTACGAAAATTCAATTCTGACTTTTGGAGAGTTCCGGGTTTGAGGGATTCTAGCTAATGGAAATATTATTGTATTAAATTTAACCAAATTTCTACCTCCCCATTTGGAGATGCTGCACAAATCCACATTGATAGATGAAACGATATCAGTTCTAGAAACAGATCTAGTTTGAGAATTAGGAGGAAGAGAAAAATGTGAAGAAAAGTGAAAAGTAGATTCATTAGGCATAAGAATGGATAGAATTAGTTGTAGTGTGAAGTAAATCATTGATAAAAAGAAGGAAGAAAGTAGGTGAAAGAACAGAACTTTGTGGAAAACTCCTACTTGTATATCATTTGTGGTTTCACATGGATTAGAAATAATGTTAGTCGGGTCTCCATGTGCACATGTATGCAAAGTAAAGTAACACTATATTTACATCAAGCTAATGTATTAATTTGTTTAATATAATATTCATGTTGTAACTTTTATGTTATTTTCAGATGGCATTGTCTATTCCACTGGAATACATAGTAAATGAGCACCTTTTAATTTGGATGTCTAGTCAACAAATATGGAAGTCAACCTTAAAGCTCATGTTCTCTTGTCTCTCTTGTTCCATTACAGAAGTGAAGAAGCTTCTGCAGCAGTCCATGACATCCTTATGTAACACCAGCCAGACACCTGTTCCTGAGACTCCCAGAGTGAAGAAGGAAGCAACAGACCATGACAAGGATATTTTTGCTCTCAAAGAACAAGTCAGGTAGATTCCTCCAGTATTAATAGTTTTAAAGTATTTTTTTTTTTTTTTTAGTCATGTAATATGAATTGTTCCTTTGATCATAGCCTTGCCTATATACACTAAAATAACTTCCTAGATGTTTTGTATCTGTAAGAGATAGTCAGGTTGACAATCCCATATCCGAAATCCTTAGGGCCAGATGCATTTTGGATTTCGGAATTTTTCGGATTTCAGAATGGTTAGGTTTTTTTTTTTTTTTTTTTTTTTTTTTTTTTTTTTTTTTTTTTTTTTTTTTTTTTTTTTTTTAACCACCCGGGCACAGGTCACTGACCCACATTGGGGCCTGGGGATTAAAATATAATAATAATTCTAATAATAATAATAATTCATAGGTCTAGGTGGTGTTTCTCACTTTTGATCTTTTTTTCATTCTTGTATTTCTTTATTATTATTATTATTGTTATTACATTTTCGTCCCCCCAAGCCCCAATGTGGGTCAGTGACCTGTGCCCAGGTGGGCTAATCCCTTTAAAAAAAAAGAAAAGAAAAAGTTTTGCTCCACAAAAAAACCCAGGGTTTTCAGAGGTTTTTGAAATTTCGGATAAAGGATTGTCAACCTGTAATAATTACTGATGAATATATGAATATTTGTCTTCAGGAAAAGTGAGGCTCAGAATGATAGTTTGTTACAAGAACTGAATGAACTGAAGAATCAGTTGAGAAAGATGTCTCTTGCCTCAGAACCCTCTATTTTGCAATGCTCAGCTACTAAGTCATCACAGAAAGTAAGTTACCTTTCTTCTTAACTACAGATGAATTTCACTAAAGATTTTTATAGCCCATCTGATTATTTATCTTGGCAAGTATTAAATATTATGGGTAAATTTTTTATTTAAATTAAATGCTTTAACTTTGATGAATCAAAACAACTTATAGGTAGAGTTCTCTTAAGATAATTTGGTTATTGTATAAAATAATGTCTCTTTAGTGTGGTGTTCACATTTCTCTCTAACTAAATTAATTGTAAACTGTTCCAGGGAATCTTGATGGAATTACTGCTACTATAGTATTTCCACACTAACCTGGCCCATGAGCATTTTACATCCCCCTGGACTGCGCGTACATAAGCGTGTATTTATATCAACCTTTTATAATAAATATTTAAAATTTTCTAACATCCTCTCTTGAGTGCTAATGCCTTGAAATGATTTGCATTTTGATAGTCCAGATATTTAACATTATTTTAGATAATACCAGGTCTGCTTACCAATTGTGAACACATTAAGTTGGAAATTTCTATGAACCAGTCAGCTATTAGTATAGAAGAGGGATGAGGCCTATGGGCCAGATTAGCATGAAAAGAGTATAGTTGTGTTGTTGGTACAGTGCTGCTACTACCACACCTTGCCTGGTACCTCAGTACTACTACTTACTCTATTAATGTTTATTTCACACTTTACTTAATTCAATGTATACCTTACCTAACTTAATGTGACTACTATACCACATACAGTATAATTATTCACCTATGAATCTACTGTACTTACAAGTAATTTCAGTGAGTTAAGTGTGTTTAAACCTTATTTAATTTCAGCCATGGTTGTAATGAGTTCTTTTTTTTTTGTGGTATTTTGGGGATAAGCTGTTTTCAGTATATTCATGAATGTCTCGAGTTTAGCGCATTCAGAATTTATTTTAATCTTATGTTTGTGAGATCAGTTAGCATCTTTCATTCTACAGCATAATCTCTCTAGTTTGTATACCTTTGAGACTGATCATTTGGTGAACCTGCCAATTTTACTAACTAGAAATTGACTTATAACTTGGGGGCAATGGGCCTAAGGACCAATAGGGACCATGAACCCAAAATATTAGCGATGTACAATACAGGCATCCTTTGAAATAAGGAAAGATCTATCAATAGTTTTTAACCAGAAATGGAATGTGTTTTCTTAAGTGTTCGGTAATTGGTGAAGTGTAAAAAATAAAATTGTGTTGTTGTGGAAATGCCTGTTAATCAAGGAATGCATATACTGTACAGTAATATCTCCGTTAGGTGAGCTCCCTCAAACCCAGAACTCTCTAATAGCCGGAATTGAAATTTGCTTGGAATTTTTCTGAAAATTTCCTTAAATTCCAGGTTTGGGAACAAATTCCAAGGTTGAAAATCAGGAGTATTTTCTGAAAAATATTGAAAATCTTTCCAAATTTTTATTTCTGGATTTGGGAGCAAATATTGATAAGGAAAATAATAATGCGCAATTACTGGAAAATCTGAGAAAACTAGAAAATCACTCCAAACATCCCCAGCACCCAGAAAGGTTCCTTGGAAGTGGGCTAGTGTCCGTCTGTGCAAGATACTTAGTTTAGACACTCGGAAACTTTTCCCAGTAACCGGAAAAGATTCCAGGGAGAAGGAATTTTTCCGGGTTTGAGAAAGTCGTCTAGTTAGCCAGAAATCTCTCGTCCCCTAAAGTGTTCTGCACCAATTGTTCCGGCTAATGGGAGTATCACTGTATTACCAAATGGCTGAAGAGAAATTCACTAATCTTGAAATATATTTAATTTACAGGTTTAAAAAATATGCATATCAAATTAAACATCACAAATCATACAAACTTATTACATAGCCAGGGCACAGGTATTCAAATATTGTGCCTCTTTTATTAGTAATGCTTTTCAAGCCCATGTTGGAGTGAGGCACTTGGTCCTCAACCAGAGATTTCGTATCCATCCCAGGAGGCTGGCCCATATTATACAGTACTGTACTTCTCTTGTTATGGGATGTACTTCCTAATTTGTGTTGGGCAGAGGCTGTTCACCTGACTCAAGAATTTCACCTCCTATTTCTAAGTTGGCAGATCTTACAGGTAACATACAAAGATCTATAAGCCATAAATGAAGCATTGAATTAAATTTTTATGGCTGATAAAACATAATGAGTGATGCATTCCTTACCTTAATTGGGTTTCTAAAATTGGCTGGGGTTTGAGAGGGATATTGATTCATGGTTAACATGATGGCTAGGATTCTAGGTGAAAGAAACCCCATGAGTTAAAGATTCCTGATTTAGATCCTTATTGATACTTAAGACAATCACTGGGCTCAAAATTTGAATAGGTACACTACTGTTCTTATGACTAGATGGGAAAAACTGGTGACACTTAACTTGCAGTATAATTATTGTTTGCTTGAATAGTGTATCTTTCTGCTAAGCATACCAGGGTTCCTGGGCATTGGCAACACTGCTTGAGGGTGTATTTCAAAATTCATTAACTTTGTTCCTTCACTCATAAAGTTTAATTTCTTGTATCAATATTTACGTTTACACATTTCTGGAAGTTTTTACATTTATACCACATATACATATTGTACATGGTAACTGTGATAATTTAATATTATTCTTGTAGACTGTCTTAAGGGATACAAGCATAACAGATGTGGACATTTCTGTAACTCCAGTTTTAAGAAAAAAAAAAGGAAGGAAGCCACGTAATGAAACCCCAAGTGTAAGTATCTGTCTCTTTTTTATTCCAAGAATGTCCTCTTAATTTTATGTCAGGGGATTAATTTCTTATGATTATACTAACCTAGATAGTTCTTTTCATGCGGGAAAGGATTCACAGTAATTTATAAGTTGAATTTGTGAATGAGACCCATAATAAAAGATAGAAACTTATTCAACACTGGCATCCTTGCCAGTTTTGTATAGAAGAGAAGAGTAAGGCTACAATGAATGTACACATACAATACGGGACTCTGAAAATATGGGATCAGTTAAAGTTGTGAAAAAAAGAAATAGTAACCTGAAAATAAAACTAGAGCCACATCATAAGAGAGACATACTGTAGTTCCTTGCCAAAGGTTGAAATTTTTGCATTACTGTTCTTAGACTTACCACATTTATATGACATCTTCCTTTCCTTCCAGTGTATTATATAATTTCTTTGCATATGATTTCGAAAAATTTTTCCTGTTACATAATTTGATTTCATCTTCCTGTATCTGGTCATATTGTCAAGGTACTAATTTCTCATTTACTGCATACTAAATCACAATCTTGGCAGTGTTCTCCTTGGGGGAATTATATATGATTTGATGAATATTTGAAGACAGTTTGTATATTCATGTAATGATCAGCTTATCTTAATTGTTGAAAACATTCAGAAAACAGGGGCAGATCCAGGAATATCAAAAGGAGTCCAAAAAGTTGTGGGTGGGGGAACATGGCAAGCACAATGAGCCCACCCAGCTGAGATTTTTATTGATAATAATAATAATTAACTCTTCATTGAAATGGTTTAGCAGCCCGAAGACTGAAAATATACAATAGACAAAAAATAATTATTACATACAAAGACATGGGGTAGGTAGGTTGTTTAACAAAAGCTTTCATTACTAAAAGGAGAAGGAACATGAATTGAACATACAAATTATTAAAGTTTGCAGTTGATGGCCAAGGCTGGTCTCTTGCCATACTGTGTGAGGTCACGAAGGTCATGTGGTGCAGTAACTTGTCCGTCAATGTTGACATGAAGGACTTCATGTAGACACTGGGTGGTGTGGTGTAGTAACTCATCCATAGGTGTTGATATAAAGGACCTCACGTGGTCATGTAGACACTGGGTGGTGTGGTGTTCACATGGTGCAGTAACTCATCCATAGGTATTGATATGAAGGACCTCATGTGGTCATGTAGACTCCGGGTGGTGTGGTGTTCACATGGTGCAGTAACTCGTCCATGGGTGTTGATATGAAGGACCTCACATGGTCATGGAGACACTAGGTGGTGTGGTGTTCTCGTGGTGTAGTGACTTGTCCTCAAGTGTTGATATGAAGGACTTCACGTGGTCATGGAGACTTCGTGTGGTGTGGGGTGGTGTCACAGTACCTCACTCTGCTACGTGATGTTGTGTTATCTCGTAGTCAGGTGTAAAGCTGACCCACTGTTGTTCCCAGGGTGGACTGATTAACACACTGGTCAGAAGATGGTGATCAGTTCCCAGGGGTGCTTATTTCACTGGTGGGTCACGGCTCTCGCTGGTACTATCTAGTGCTGAATTCACTGGCTTAAACACTGTTCATCAGTAATCCCACTTCTTTCCGAAACGAAATTGTCAATTTTGACGGGATTATGTTGATATTCCCAGTGGTGAGGATGGGTCGAGGAGAGGGACTTAGAGAGTGGGCCAAGATTGGCCGGGGCCAGCTAGGCAGCAGGAGAGGGCGCCCGATAGGTCTTGACCCTCCAGTGATCAAGGATACCATGTGCACTTGATATTAAGAGATATTTGAGGTCAATACTAAATACATTTTACTATACAAAAATACCTGTGTACAATACTGCTTTAAAGAAAACTTATTGAAATTTTCTTGTGAAAAGTGTGGGGGGGGGGGGGTGGACTCCCAGGACCCCTCCTTCCTGGATCTGCCCTCCCTTGGAAAATAGTAAGGAAAATACTTCTTGGTGTCAAATGGAAAATTTTTGTGGACGTAAGGGTTTTTGAGAACTTTATGTATCCTAAGTTAATTCCTGCTTAAAAACAGTTGTCTGGAATCTCAACTCTTTGAGCATTATTTCTTACTGTATACTTGGGACCAAGTATACTGTATTTGGGAGTTAATTTAAACAGAGTAAATGATACATCTTTTTATCTTTCATATGCTTGGATCTTATTTTTAAATGTACAGCACCCTTACCTAAAGTGATTAAAAAATTTTTAACTTGATTTCGGACTTAACAGTGCAGATATAGAAAAACCTGTAACTAATACCAAGTGAAGCTTAAACCAATCATTAATTGTCCATCTTATTTCAAGTATATAAAACACCTTATATATTATGGATATACAGTAATCATCATTCACATTTTTTCCTATTGTACTACTAATGCTTTAAATATTTACAGGATTCTCAGCACTTTTTCTTGGACTCTTCATTAGGGAATGAGAGTCAGCCTTCCAAGGAAACAAGACAATCTTCCAGACCACAGAGAGCTTCAAGACTTATAAACAGGCGCCAATTACGTGATGACTCCTTTGAATATGAGGTACACTACGATATAATTGTTTACATAAATATTACATATTTCAGTTTAGCCCCACTGGGCGTCAATCATGGATTTATCCGTGATAAACAATACGCATCGGCAGGCACCAAGCACAGATATATCTGTGATGAAAGGTTACGTCTTTGTGGCCTTACTTGCATGACAAGTAGTTGGATTTCTATGTAGTGTTTCAGGCACCTCTGGGCTTATGATTTGACAAAACTGTCAGCCCAGCCACACATACAGGAGTGTGGAGGGTGAGCGTGGGGATTGGTCGTTATCCTCACATGTGACTGCCACCCACATACCTTTGTCAGCCGATTCTGACCTCTCTATACAACTGCCTAACCCTTCCACCATCAGCCACCACATCTCACACTCTCACCGCCTCACATCATCCTCTCACCACCTCTCACAACTCATTACTTCGTACATTGACTTGTATGAAGTTTCACTTGAAAGAGTGGAAAATTAGTATAGAATGATGAATAAAATACAGTCTCCTCGACTTACTACGGGGTTCCATCCTGACAACCAGGTCGTAAGTCGAAAAGGCGAAAATAATGCATAGAAAATCTAAAATGGGTGTCTCTTTTTCTTCTCAGCACCATGAGAACTCTCACTTTTACGCTTGCCAGCCATTTTAAAGGGAATTACAAACAAAAAAATTTTCAGTACACAGCGCAATCACTAACGTCGGGACTCGAAAATACGTAATGTGAAAAATATTTTATACGGCCATGGCCGTCGTAAGTCGAGGAGAGACTGTACAAATAATACAATAGATAAAATGTAATGAGTGTCAGCATATGCCTACAAAAGATTGAGTTTGAAATCTCTCCACAACTTATTGCAAATATTATGTGTTATTGATTGGGAAATATGATAAATTACAATAATATTCAATCAATGATAACAACAATATGTGGAAAATCAATATATAGCATTTTACATACCAATATGTACTTAAGCAATACTTGTTCTTTACATCACTGACCAGCTGACTGCGTGTGTGTGTATAATAATAATAATAATTAACGGTTTATTGAAAGAGCATGGCAGCCGGAAGGCTGAGTGTGTGTGTGTGTGTGTGTGTGTGTGTGTGTGTGTGTGTGTGTGTGTGTGTGTGTGGGGGTCGTAATAATAATAATAATAATTAATGGTTTATTAAAAGAGCATGGCAGCCAGAAGGCTGAAAATATACAGTTACATAATTGGGGAATGAATCACTTGATTGACAAATAATATACAAGTAACATAAATGATACAAATATGATATATAATAACAAGGTGGGGAGAATGTCATACTACAGGGCATTTCAGCATAGTATCAGTGCAAAAAGGGAAGATTAACTGGGAGAGAACACGCTGGTTGATTACGAATTGATGATAATTTATACAATGGCTGAGACTGTGGATGTAGCTGTGGCTGTTCCAATGGCTGTTCTTATCAAGATCAGTACGTGCTCATATGGGTTAGATGCAGTTGTTGTGTTAAACAGCAATTCGCAGACATGGGATCTTGGGTAGAAGTAGGAGCCGGTGTCGGGGATGGTGCAGAAGCTTCTCATCAAATTTGCAGATGAAGTCGTGGTGATGATCAGAGAGAGCCGATAGGGTCAGTGTGTTGAGTGTTTCTTCATATGTGGAGTAGGAGGGTTAGAAAATATCCTTGCATCCCCTCTTCTGCACTTATTCTAGGTGTTTCCATTGTGGCATTTAAGGAGGAAGACCAGGCAGGGGAGGCATAGGTGAGCTTGGGAAGTATGAATGTTGAGTATGCACGGAGGAGCTCGGGTTCAGGAACTCCAAGGGACTTGAGTCAGCGGAGGAGTGGAGACAAAAACTGGAGGATTTGACAATTGTACTGAAGTATGTTTTTCAATTTACCTATAATGATGCCTAGGAGCTTAGTGGAGTTCACAACCTGGAGTGTGTTGGGGCCCAAAGTACTGGAGGAAGGTAGGACAAGGTCAGAGGAAAGGTTGATATGCATAACCATGGTCTTGGTATGGTTGATGGTGACATGGTTGTTGGTGGCCCAATTTTGGAAATCAATATATTCTGGAGGGCAGTGTAGTTGGGAGCCGAGTTGTTCACACTGATCCCAATGGTGGAGTCATCGACAATTCCAGTGAACAGAGGTTTCTCTTAGGGCATCATTGATAAGCATGAGGAAGCAGCGCTGTCCCATCTTCGTGCCTTGTGGGACACCACAGGTGAGTGACTGAAAAGTGGAGACAGCCCCTTGGAAGCGTACGGTTTGCTATCGGTCACTAAGGAAGTCTGCAAGCCATGGTATAAGACTTCTCCAAAACTTGAGGTCAATAGCTTTGTTAATGATTAAATTGTGGCCGACTAGGTCAAATGCTTTGGAGAAGTCAATGAAGGCGACAGCCACAAATGTCTTTAGTTTTTCCAGATGACGGTATATGTAGTCGAGCAAGCTGACAAGACAGTGAGTGATGGAGGAAGTTTTCATATTGCTGAGGATCTATGGTGCCTGCAAAATCAGCATAGGCCCAGTCAAATAAAGCTTTTGCAGATTAAGCTGGCTATTGGGGTGATGGCAATGGGTTGTAGCTCATTAAAGGATTGTGGGTTGCACTGACTTTGGTACTGGTGACACAAAAGATCTTCCAGTCAGCTGGGCATCTTGCTTGGTTGAGGGTGTGTGTTTTTCATTCTAAGTCATTGTCTCTAGAATAATTAGTTTTGCAAGATTTTATATACTGAATGTTTAGTTCAGGTCATGAGAGAGCTTATGGTGGTATGGAATTGATGTCCAATGCATATTGTAATAAAAAATAAAATTATATACAGTACTACTGTATATACATATTTTAAAGTAGTGTAATGATAGGGAGGGAAACAGTACAACATGGGTTGGAACAAGAGGACAGATTTGTCAGTATCATGTCTAGTCGACAAATGTAATTATTGCAATGGTAATTTCTATCTTCTACATGACAAACTATGATATAATGATTTTGGTGGTACAATATAAGCTAGAATAGGTAGTAGGTAGTAGGCAGCTACCAAACAGGGAGGTACTACTGCCTGGGAAGATATTGGAAGCATAATGTGTTGTCTAATGGTGGACCCTGCTGCCATATGGCATCACGAAAATTGTGACCAAGTCCCAGGTTGCTGATCTGACTTTCTGCTTCATTTACACACAATTGCAGGGTCTCAATTGTTTCTCTTACTATTGACAACACAACATACATATATCGTTTCTCACTTTTGATCTTTTTTTTTCATTTTTGTATTTATAGTTCTTTATTATTAAAATTATCATTATTATTACAGTTACTGTATTATTATCATCATTATTTTATTATTTTATTTTTGTTTGTTTTATCATAAATTTTATTTATAATGACTATTATTATTATTATTATTATTATTATTATTATTATTATTATTATTACATTTTCGCCCCCCAGGCCCCGATGTGGGTCAGTGACTTGTGTCCGGGTGGGCTAATCCCCGTAAAAAAAAAAAAAAAGGGTATTACAAGAATATTAATGCCTCTCACTCTGTTGTATGTGAGGCAGATGGTGTGAATAAAAGTTTATACAGTACAGGTACACTTTTTTGTATGCCATAGATTTACCTTTTGCCTTTATTCAAGACATCTTCAGGTCATGAGACCCACTAATCCCCCACCCTGACAATGGGTGATCTGGCTTTGCATGAGATCACAAATCCCCAACCCCCTTCACCTGACATACATCAAGTCAGGTCAGTAACATGAGACCCACTAATCCCCTATCACACCTCCATTGAAACATTTCAAAGTTTTTTTTTTTATGAATCCCCATCATTATTATTGTGTTTGTTACCAAAGTGAGCAGTGTAATTTCGAAAATGTCTGGTAAGGCCAAGGCACCCAGGAAAACGATGTCTTTGGAGATGAAGCTTGACATTGTGAAGCAGCATCAAACTCCCCAGAGGCTGTGTGGGACTCAGAGTGACATCTCTACTTCACCTTCAAGAGTCCCTTTAGCCTTGAAGTGGACATATAGTGATGACCAGGCTTGTTCTTGATGATGTGGTGAGTGTTGTGATGAAACAGTTTGCCAGTACATTACTTGGCTTTAGTCATCTTATAACTGTCCTACAGCAATACAATAGTATCTGAAACAAAAGGATATAACAAAATGAGATTATAGAATACTGAAACATAGAAGGGACATTTAGGCAAGTACAAAATGATAGTACAGTAAATTCAATGGACCGCTACCATTTGTTTTGAAAAATCGCTACCTCCTGACAGTGATCGATGAATATTCACTATTTCCATTTGCTTTTGTATTTAAGGATATGACTGCTGGTACTGTTAAACATTGCTTGTGCCAAATCTTTAGCTTATTTGGCAGGCTAGCATATATATTCATTCTGATAGGGGTCCATCGTTTATGAGCACAGAACTCAAAAACTTCTTATGCAGCCATGGAGTAGCAATGAGCTGGACAATCCCTTATAATCCGCAAGGCAGTGGGCAGTGTGAGCGCTATAATTTGTCTTACTAGATGTCTTGCATTTAATCTGTTCCCTATTGTGTACTGCTATCAGGGTTACTCCCCATGAGAAGCTCTTCCTCTATCAACGTAGGACCACCAGTGGGCATACTGTACCGATATGGTTGTCCAAACCTGGTCCAGTGTTACTGCGGAGACATGTCAGGAGCAGTAAATATGAACCCGTGGTTGATGAGGTTAAACTGGTGGAGGCCAAATCCCAGTATGCCCGTGTTAAATTCCCCGATGGAAGATTCTCAACTGTTTCTCTCCATGACCTGGCATCTCCTGGTGTGGTGGGTCAAGACACACCTGACAAATTGAACACCCTCATCAACTTCGTGTCTCCTAGTGTATACGAATGCATAACCGATAGTGGCACTTACGAGGCTGCAATAAAGATTCTTCAGGATCTCCACATGAAGCCCAAGAATTAAATCTTCACTCGGCATCTTCTGGCCACAAGAAGGCAATGTCAAGGCAAAACACGAGATGAATAAATTGTAATGAAACAGTTTGCCAGTACGTAAGTACAGTGTGCTTAATAATAAAAGCAGATACATCAACTTGGGTAGACAAGATGATGGAGGTGGTGGTAGAGGTTTTACATAGTGGGTGATGATGGTGTTGGAGAGACATCTGCAGTCATCAGTTGAAATCCATATCGGGGAGCATGACATCTCGCACAAGGCTGAATTATCTCACATTAATTGAATTGCTGGTAGAAATTGGTCTTTGCATATGAGTGAATTCACATATGCTGAATTTGCATATATTGAGGACTTATTGAATATATTTATATACAAATATTTTAGGTGGAAGTAGTTAATTTTCAGAAACAGTATCAAAGAGAAATGGTGATGATTATCTGATAAAGTTTTGCAGTGGCAGGTGTATGAAGAGTGAATTTTGGAAATATTTAAGTACACAGGTATTATATGTAGATGTGTTGGTAAATTTCTTGTGTGGATAGTATATTTCCAATAAAAATAGTCACAAATTAAATTTATAGTCACATGGTTTATTTTTGTTTTTCAATTGAGGGTTTTGGGGAAAGCAGTCAGGAAGAGGAGGCGTGGGAGCCCTCAGTACCCAGCAAGAGAGCACCAAGAACTACCCGTAAGCCTCGGGGAAACAAGTCCAGGTCACAAGTAGTAAACCCACATTTAAAAGACCAAGAAAATAAAAGCAGGTGAGCTATTGTGAGCAAGTTATAATCATATTTTTAGATTAGAAAACAAATTACAAGTACTCTACTGTATACCGTACAGATGTCCTCTATCCTCTTTTCCATATATATATCTTCAGGGGTGAGTACAGTCTGCACTCACCCCTGAAGATGTGAATTACACGGAAGCGCTTGGGAACTTTGTGTTTTCTTCTTTCCTTGTGGTTATCAGCATATACCTGGATCACGCGCAACTACAGTAATTTACTTGTGCGTGTGTGTGTGTATATATATATATATATATATATATATATATATATATATATATATATATATATATATATATATATATATATATATATATATATATATATATATATATATATATATATATATATATATATATGGATCTGGTTGATAAACTCAATAACTTACACATTAATTATGATTTTAAACTGGTCAGCTTTGATGTAACATCACTCTTTACAAAGGTCCCAGTTGATGATTTACTAGAGTTCCTCATAGATTCCCTGGATGATATTTCACTGCCCGTCTCGAAAGACGACTTCATCGAACTCATCAAACTATGTACAGTATTAAGGATTGCAAATTCGAATTCAATGGGGAATATTATGCTCAAAAATTTGGTATGGCAATGGGTAATCCACTCTCACCTGTATTAAGCAACCTATATATGGAATTCTTTGAAAAGAAACTATTAAGTAATATTTTACCACCCTCAGCAGTCTGGTTTAGATATGTTGATGATGTATTATGTCTCTGGCCATGTAATGAGGACCTAAAAGCTTTCCTGCCACAACTTAACAACTTAGCCCCCTCGATCAAATTCACTGTGGAATTAGAGCAAGACTGTAAATTGCCATTCCTAGACTGTCTGATACACAGAATAGGTAACACTTTTAAGTTCAGTATTTATAGAAAACCAACTAATGTGTGTTCATACATTCATTATTATTCTGCCCACCATAATAAAGTCAAACAGTCAGTATTTTCAACAATGTTTTTACGTGCCTTGAGAATTTGCAGTCCGGAATTCATCGATGAGGAATACAAATATATATATAATATTGGCTCAAACCTTAAATACCCTAGATCTTTCATAGACAAATGCCTAAACATTACTAAGAAAACTTTTTATAGAACTGATCCCAAGCCCACCCATGACCATAAGAATATCTTAATATTACCATTTCACAAAAATTTCTCACACATTCCTTCACAACTAAAAACCTGGAACGTCAATGTGGCATTTAAAAACTCATGCACTGTTAAACAAATGTTAATCAAGAACTCCCCCAACAACACAATTGGTTGCATTTATAAAGTTCCTTGCAAGGAATGTAATATGTTTTACTTAGGCCAGACAGGTAAAGATCTTGCAACTAGAATTAAACAACACAAATACAGTGTTAGGACAGGCCAGGAATCCAATGCTCTGTTTGTTCATTTGAGGGATAACAAGCATTGCATTGACTGGGATAATGCCTCCTCAATATTACCATGTAATTCAATTGATAGTAGGAACATCATAGAATCTAGTCTTATTAAACATACCGAAGCATTCAACATGAATTTGAGTAACGGCATGTACAAGCTGGACAATTTTGTAATTAAGAAGATTTGTGACCAGGTGAGAAGGCCGGGGTCTGACCTGACCACCAACCGTTGTGTGCTATTTAAAGATTAGTAGGGTCATTACCTAATACCTGACCATTGTGGACCTGGTCTCACCCTCCTCTGTATATATACACCTTGATTTGTATTTCTCTCTCTAGTCTGTACTCACCCCTGAAGATGTGAATTACACGAAAGCGCTTGGGAACTTCGTGTTTTCTTCTTTCCTTGTGGTTATCAGCATATACCTAGATCACGCGCATCAGCATATATATATATATATATATATATATATATATATATATATATATATATATATATATATATATATATATATATATATATATATATATATATATATATATATATATATATATTATTTTGTATCTTTTTTTTTTCAGTGTTGCAAATAAGGCAGATGGTGGTGAACCCTCTCAAGATGGTGGCAGGAGACAGAGGCGAAAACATCAGTTGTACAAATCCGTTGTTGATGAACCATATGAATGCTCTCCAAATTTGGTTAGTTTACAAAGACTTTTATAAATTTGTCTTTGTGGACCTTATTTATATCAAGTTGATTGAGGTTTAACAGGTTCACCAAATCTCATACACTAAAGTAAAAAATAAAATGAAAGCACTTACCATTTCAGAGAATTAAGACATCTATATTACTTGAATTACTTAGAACATTTGAACATTAACAATTATCTTTTGGCAGGAATAATTTGATTTATTTATTCTTATAAAATCATGAGTGAATACTTTATATATTATATATACAGTGGAGTCTTGATAGTTTGTGGGTTAGGTACTAGAAGACAGTCATTTATCTGAAAGAGTGATTAGTGAAATATATGGTAAAATAGGCACAGAAGAGCAACATGGACAGCTGTTGTTCCCAACGTCAGTATCCCCCTCCACACCATCCTGCGGATAGCAGGTTGGAGGCAATAATGTTTCATATTTTTATACACTATATATGAGGAATGCTTGTCTACACCTCATAATCTGACCACTTGCATGGGGATGTTAATTGTTACTATAAATGTCAAGTGCCGTGGTAAGGGTTAATCACCACTCCATCGTATACCTACGGACATCGGGCGAGGCTAGGGCCAGCCTATTCTATAGTCTACTGTGCTATATTGCATCAACATGTAATGATAACCTGCATAGATTACTTCATAGTTAAAGGCTTGTTGGCAGTAATATGCTTCTATTGTAAAGTTCACATCATGTCTACTGATGAGAGCTGTTACTACGTGTGTTAAATGTCAGTTTATTATAGAAACCAACATTCATGGCTAAGCATACTTCAACCGCCTGATGAGCGATTGTGGGATAATGAGATCCTTGCACATAGGACTCGATTATTCTTTATTCGGTCAAAACCTGCAGAGTACAAATTACATACGTTACATATGAGATAATTAAATCACTTGTACGTTCCTTCACTATTAACAACTACATATATATTTGAGTAGAGTAGGGTGTTAAACCATATAAAACTTATGTGTTTTGGGTCTATGTAAGACTTATTAGTTCCCTGACTTGTTTTGCACTGGATGGATAGAGACTCTTCTGAACCCCACAGGGTTAGTCAGCCCCGAGGCGAGATCCATCTGTTTCACATTTAACACCTCGGCAAAGTTCATTGTAAACACCCCCTCTCTCTTCTAGCTTATCCTGTAGTGGTAACATCATACTATCTTAGAATGAGTTGGTAAAGGTTAGTGCAATGCATTACTGACCCCCTCAACTAGATACACTCACTCGCTACCTAAAATTTCTGTAGCAGTGGAGACTTACACAGTTTATCAGTTTTGTTTCAATGTTAGACCACAGACATGCATAGTGACCAATGTCAGCATAAACAGGGATAGTGCTAGATATTTCTTATGAACTGTCGTGTCAGTTGCATTCTGTGGTGGCAGCCACACAGTGCATTAGTTCTTGCTCATTGGGCATAACTGAAGCACCTGTTCAAAGTTTTGAATCATACTTGAGATGAATCTTTCTATTTCTATCTTCCTGTATTTTCTCTCGGCTACAGAACATGCATTATAATTGAAACAATAAGCTCCAGGTTTCATCTTCAAGGCTTATAGTGTCCCCTAATACCACAATAAATATTAGTAGTATTCACAAATTGTGGATATCCTACCAAATGCAAGTGTTGGTGCACTTGTCCATACCCTGCCCCCAAACCCCTCCTGTGGTATCACGTTGCCACTGTCACCATCCAGTAGACATGAAATTAGAACCTATGATATTGTACATTGTATTCTTTGTTACACAACCATACAGGGAATGAGTGCATTTAAAGATAGAGGATGACCGCTAATTTACTACCCTTATTCTGGTTGCTATAGCGGGGGTAACTGCCAATACTGCTTGCTTTCTAATGATGCAAACAAACAGTATTGCCAATTTTCACAAAAGAGGTAACTGTACGTACTTGTGAATTTGCATTTCATGATTTATCGAAACTCCGCTGTGTGTGTCACGTTATTGTGATACTGTATTTCCATTTTTTCTTTTAGATTGAACTTCCTGAGGCTGTTGACAGTCCCCACAGTATTGTACGTCGGCAGTTGAGAAACAAAAAAAAGTAAATCTGTGTATCTCCTTCTTTAGGCTATCTTCTTTCTTTTAAAGCATATCATAATCCAATTGTATTACATGTACGGTACTTTTCTTGTATGAATATAAGTGCAAATTATTGACCATAGTTTTAGATCGTGTGAAATATAGCAATTAAAATATTTTCCCTCATTAAATCAGTATTTTTGTATATGATGTGCCAAGTGTAAAGGCAATGTTATATTTTTTCTGTACATTAATAAAATACTTAAAAGCTCATTTTTGTTAGTAAGAACAAAATGTGTAACAAGTATGTGAATAGTGCTCACTTCCTTAGGTCTTTTGTACTTTTAAATTTTTCTAATGAACCCATTTTAACACCATCACTAAAAATTTAATGAACTACATCTAACAAATATCACAGTTCAAATGTGTTGACTATATTGCACCTTTTGGTTAATTAACTTCATATACGAACACCTGCCGATACGAATGAGGTCCTATAGGGTTAGTCATTTGAAGAATCCAACAGAAACAACTGTTGCATAGTAATATAAAAACTAGTTTGTGTGGCATGGCAGAGCAGCTGGTGGAGAGTAATAATACATCACTCAGCCAGGCTACTTGGGGGAATGTCCATACGCCTTACCCTGACATCTGTGATCAAGTGGAAACTTTTTTTTTTTCTTTATTAACTACCTTTTTCTGTCCTAATCATGACTCTTTAACACAAACCTGATGCAAGTGATTGTAGTGCATCCAAGAAAGGGAAAACAATTAGAAGGAAAGTTGATGAAATTAAATGTTGTGAAAAGAGCAAAACACCCTCAGTCATTGGTAAAGCATTGGGCTCCAGTCGGTCAATGATCAAAACAATTTTGAAAAACAGAAAATTCTTAAAACATGTAAAAGGATCTACACCATTCACCAATGCACTCAATTGTGATGACAAAACAAAGAGATGGAGATTGTTAATGATATGGGTGGAAGATCAAAATCCACAGCACTTACCTCCAAGTCTAGCCTTGACTAGGGAAAAAGCAAGATGTTTGCACAATGACTTGAAGGCTGCACATATTGGTGAAAATACATTATATGGAAAATATAAAACACTTAAATTCAGGGGATTATTTACTAAAGTCTTTCCAAAGCAATGACAGTATATATATATATATATATATATATATATATATATATATATATATATATATATATATATATATATATATATATATATATTTATATATATATATATATATATATATATATATATATATATATATATATATATATATATATATATATATATATATATATATATATATATATATATATATATATATATATATATTTGACTGGGGGGGGGGTCATTTCTGGTCACTAAATTATAAAAAAAAAATCTACAATGATCATGACTCAGCTTTGTGCAGTCACTGCATTGCCCTTTGGGGGTCTGGCATCCTGGAAAGAAAAGAACAAAAGATAATAGTAACAACAATGCTACTGCAGTTTTCCTCTCCTACTCTCAATACAGGGGGTCCCCGGGTTACAAACGGTGTCTGTTCCTGAGGACATTCTTAAGTCGGAACACATGCTATGTGCATGCTGTACTTCCAGAATATTTAAAATCCCACTATATCATGCTTATGTCCTTATATGCATCTTTGGCACTTAATTTAAGACAAAAGAAGAAATAGAATAACAAAATACAGTAAAGGAAAGTGAAAAATAAGTCATCTAGTAAATAAAATACTGTAAATTTCAAGTTTAACCTCATTTGTATCGACAGCCATTCGTAAGTCGGGGACCTCCTGTATACAGTATATAAAATTCAAGTTCCTGTTCATCTGCACATTTAATCACAAACACTACCTAATAAATACAATACTGTACTGCCTAAATCCTAAATAAATTTACATTCTGTAGGAATCATCAGAATTTGAGTAAATAAGAAAAAATTTCCAGTAAAGTAAGATATAAATATGCAATGGGTTGTAAAAAATTAATTTGCTAACTCTTAGATTTTCCAATCTTGTGTACAAAAAGCAGACAATTGTGACTTAAATCTAGCCAGCCATTTGATTAAAACTTACCATTCTTAAGATAATGATGGAACAAAATATAAAGAGAAAAAACTCAAGGGGAATACTGTACAAAGGAGATTTTCAATAAAGCAAAGTATGGTGAACCTGACAAAGTATGTCATGAAGCATGGAACACTGGTTATATATAGTATAGGACAAAGTTGTCAGTAGGTTCAAAGAGGAAACTGGAAGGTTATGTCTTCCCTCTCATGCTAACATTACAATACTGTACATCAAATATCTAGGTTCAGGAACTTTTTATAAATTTTCATAGTTGGATATCACTCAAGATACTATACAGTCTCTCTTCCACTTATGATGGGGTTCCATTCTGATGACCAGGTTGTAAGTCAAACCGAAGAAAATAATACATAGTACAGGTAATAATTGTAAAACGTTTACTACTTTTTAATACACAAACTGAGCGGGATACGACGTGGATGCTGTACACATGCGGCAGCGTGCCAGTGGAGTTGTCGTGAAGCGTCGTTAGATATTAAGACCAAACATCTAGACTCAAAAATAATGTCAAATATTTTAATATACAGACAATGACTGTCTTAAGTTGAGGAGAGACTGTACTGTACAATCAATTCTTTACCATTTCAGAAAAATGCAACAACTGATTTGTTTTTGTTTTTGTTTTTTTTTCAATACAAAAAGCCAGTTATATTTACTTGATTACATTAATATTTGGAAGTCCAGTAGTGTCTAACTCAATTGGAGTCAGGTAGATATACTGGGTCTTGGTATTGGCCGCTTTGACCATCATGGTCAAACTCTGCCGTCTGGCAACTATGTCCTGTGTGGTGATAAATACATTAATGATTTTGTGCAATAAATTATAATTTCCTGTCGGCAATTAAGGACACCAGATACAATGTTGCTATACCCCTGAATCAGTTCTCCCTAATATCTGATTTTTCCCTTAAATTCTTATCAATATTCAAAATCCTACTTCTCCACAACTTCTTGCTAAATTACATTGAAATTAATTTGTAATACAAGTACAGTATATTGTAGGTAATTTACTCTTCTTGAATGTGACATATAGATATTTCAGATTATCACTTTTATATTGGGTGCATGAATTTTCTTCCTACTTACCATTTTTCCTCAAAAATATTTATAAAGATAGATCAGCAAATAATAAACCAAGCCAAATATAAAGAAAACCTATATGTTCAGCCATGCACAATATGTTATTCTACTGCAGTATTTAGTTTTTGTTTTATTAGGTTCGGCCTTTAAATGGCCGAGCCTTAAAGATTTGAAGATTAGAAAAATTAATTCTGACATACAGGCCAATGGGGTGGCGCGTGAGCAACAGACGGTCGAACCTCTCCCTCACTTCTTTTGTGTGTAACTACAGCCTCAGACTCTGGTACTACTACTCAAGGTAGGTAGATAACAGGTAGCCTCACTCCCATAGGATCTACGCTAATGAAAATAAAAATGGAATTTTTATTTACGTATTTTTGAAGGCTTATGATGGTATTAAAAGTTGTACAATAAATGTATGGAATGGAGAATTTTTGTTTTATTTTAATCGGAGCCACTGATTAAATATATAAAATAAATATAAATATCTCACTTGCGACCGCTGGATTCCATCCAACGTTGCTGATTGGCTAGCGATGACATCACTTATTAAGCTCCGCCACTTAGTTACATCAAACAGTATAAGCAGATAATAATACTTCAATATTACAAATGCATGAAGTGGCAAAAGGGGAGTGGCTTAGTGATCTTGAGAGTAGAGTTGCCAATTAGTGAATTCCTATGGGCCTGCGAGAGGCTACCTGGTATCTACCTACTGTACTTTGCTACTACTGTACTAGCGAGCTGAGAAAGTTGCCAGATACTGATTTTTACCAAGTGATTGGTATTATTTTACACCAAAATATTATTAAATACTTTTCTACAGCTTTTGCTGCATAAACAGAAGGGAACTCTAAATGAAGGGGGGTAGAACAATCATGCATAGCTACATTAATACCATGAATTATGCAATAAAAATAAGTCCGCATATAGCCATAAGCAAGAGCTTTTCCCAGGATTTTTTCTGAAGATTTTTGTATTTTTCTGATTTTCATCGGATTTTCAACCTGACGCTCTCCTTAACTCCTTTACTATGGGGATGCCATTTTTATTAGTTTAATTGGCTAATGGCAGGTGATTTTATTCAGTTCGGAGGGAAGCCCATACACGAAGGGATTAACAGCACTTCTTTTCTGTGAATAAATTTATCAATCATAATTCATTATTGGTAGATAAAGAACACCAAGTCTCACTATAAACAAACCATATTTTTCCTAACTCTATTGCACTTACCATAAAAACATCAAACTCATCTAGGATCCTTATGGGAGATTCTATAACATCCCACAGTGCAATAATGAATGAGACTGTGGCAAAAGAACGCTCTCCTCCTGACATCATTGCTAATGTCTGCTTCTTGTTCTGGCTCTCTTTCCTGGAGGATTATACAATATGTATAGCACAGTAAATGTTTGGAAATTGAAATATACTAAGAGGTGCATCAGACAGTGGATGTTTACACAATGATATCCAGCTGGATAGTAAATTTTTTTAATCAATATGCAGTATATATATAGTAGAATCCCAAGTTTCATGACTAATTGGTGCCGGTTTTAGCGCTGCAAAATTTAAAATAACTAAACGAGTGACATTGAAATATTACTGTACATGTAAATAAGCCTAATCAGTTCTGCAGTGTCACTCAAACCCCCCTATAATGACCTACAATCCACCAAGAAAATGTGGTAATGATAATTGTCATAACAAAAGGAAGATCAGGTGCATAATATAAATAAATATATTTTTTTTTTAACTTTTGGTGAATAAAAAATGGTGAAATGGAAATTAGTACACAAAATTAAGCTACTTACATCAAGATGTTGATTGCCTCTGCATCTGTTTCACTGCCCATTTTGACTACACTCAGTGTAAGTCTACTGTTGTCATGGTCAAAATTTAAACTCCCCTGAAACAATGTAAATATTAGTTAATATAACTGATCTCTCATTTAGCATTATCTCAAATTCATTCACTAATGCTGTATCAAACAAGAAATATATAGCATTATTTTAACTACAACAAACTTCAAACATAATGGCTGACTTAATATCATAAGGCTATGGCTACCACATAGAACCCCCCTTGGCTTTCTTCCTACAGCAGAACAAGAGCCACTACAGTGGATATCTTTTATTCATATCATCAGGGGTTTCAAGACATCTTAATACTAATAATTTCACGCACTAGAAGATAAGTGGAAAGAAGGACACAGCTGTGTTTCTACGGCTATAAACACCAGTTAAGGCTATGGCCTCAGAGCCTGATGACTGTGACTATATCATCAATATACAGTAAACCCTCAAAGATCCGGACTAAAATGGGGAATTTTGAGGTCTAAACTACCAGAGTCCGTAAATGCAGTTCTAATTAAGTTTATTAAAGACATCTTCAGGTTATGAGACCCACTAATCCCCCACACAAGAAAGGATGACCTGACATTCCATCAGAAGGTCAGTAAAATGAGACCACTAATTCCCCACCCTACCTCCACCTGATATTGAGTCAGGTCAGTTACACGAGACCCACTAATCCCCGACAGTTCCATAGGAGTGGAAAATACGTCTTTGCTGTAGTATACAGCTTCATTCATGCCCATATTATTTAGATTTTTAATTTTTAAATACAGTATAACCTCGATAAATCAGACTAATTGGGGCAGACCCCAGTCCAAAAAAAAAAAAAAAAAACGAATATAGGGGGCAGGGGATGGAGATAAAACTACTGTACTTATCTGAACTGTTTAAAGAAACTCAGTTATGTTATTACTGCACTTCAACAACTAAGGTCTTTAAGTGTATATAACAAGGTTATTAAAAGAATATTACATAAATAAAAACAATTATGAAACAGAACTCTCTGGGTTGAAAATCAGACTTATAAGTCTGGTTGTCAACCACTGTTGTCATCGAGATGATTGTTATTTACTGTAGTGCTAAATGTAAGTAACCACAGAATTTGTCTTATGAATAATGAGAAAACTGTATACTGCACAGTACTATAAAGATAAAATAAGAACAAATAAGTGTAGAAGTATATTGTATGTGGAAGACGAGTGTTTATCTGGGAGCAGGTGGCAGAGAAGAGGGGAAGGGGGGGGGTAGCACAGGTGGGTACCGGTACTCTCTCCCCCAAGATTCCTTTAACACTTCTTTATGCAATTTCACCATAATTTTCATATAATTTAGGATCATTTGGTGCCAGATTGATAAAATATTATCCTGAAAGAATCAGTTTTCCTGAAAAAAGAATCCCACACTGAAAACCATGAGTCATTGTTTACAAAGAGCAAACAGCTGATCGGCTTACCACAATGTCTGTCTTCAACACTTAAATTAGTACAGTACAGTTGTGTATTTATCATCACTTAATAAATACTATTGCAGTGTATTTATCATCACTAAATAAATACTATTGTAGTGTATTTATCATCACTAAATAAATACTATTGCAGTGTATTTATCATCACTTAATAAGTAATATTGTAGTGTTAAGTATTATGCATCTGCATATACCCTGGTGTATTCATTAATCAGTTGTCTAAGTGTACAAGTAGCCAAACTGAGTCATCATATCACACTCAAAGGTAGTAAATAATATTTTTAAGAAGGTATTTTCATATCATATACTATACAGTGTGTTCTAGTGACCCATGTTGTGAGCTGGTCTACTGAAAGCTGTCACACGAACGCAGCTTGAGCAAATAACCTTGATACAGCTTATTCTTTTATTTTCAAGTCATATTACAAATTACATACAGTATTGTATATTTTCTCTATTACTGAAGATGTTATATTAATCTTTATAAACCATAAGGGGCCAATCATGTGAGAATATAATACTGAGTCAATATATAAATAAACCTGACGAATGTGGCAACATCTGATCAGCCCCAGCCTGCATACATACTAAAGTGTCTAGTTCTCAGTAGGCCTATAGCAAATCTGGTTAGACCACTGTACAGTATTCAGTAAGTGGGGTTCATTCCATAAGATTTTTTTTGTTTTTTAAGTATTTCTGGTGACCAGAGCATCTCAAGAGTAAAAAAAAACGTTTAACTTAATTAGTACTGTACTGCATTTATGGACTCCGGTAGTTTAGACTCAAGGAAAACATCCCCAGCACCTAGAAACATTCTGTGCAAGATGTCTAGTTCAGACACTCGGAAACTTTTTCCAATAACTGGAAACGATTCCGGGGATAAGGAATTTTTCCGGGTTTGAGAAAGTCGTCTCTTTAGCCGGAAAAATCTCATCCCCGGAAATGCTCTGCACCAATTATTCCAGCTAACAGGGATATCATTAGTATTTATACATACTGTATAGTGCTGGCCTTTATCACCCTTCTTATTATATCAACTTATAAATGTCCTAATAACTCTGGGCATGAAGAACACTTAGGAAACAAGAAAATACCTTAAATACTTACATGAAGGTTGCGAATACTGAGAGAAATTTTAAAATTTGACTTTATCATAATGGCCAGCAACCTCCGGAAGCGTTTGTAATGTTCCAGTCTCAGTGAAAGACTCTCTTTTATTTTCTGGAAGTAAACAAGCATATAGGCTATACAGGTGTTTACAATATAAATTTTTTATAAGATTATATAGATTTTGGAAAATGTTTTGCAAGAAAAAGATAATTACCAAAAGACAAGTGTATTCTGAAGTCACAATTTTAAAAACACACACACACACAAACACAAAAGTACTGCATATGGCTTTTGTCCATATTTTCTTATGACTTATGGGTGACCATCGAGTGATCTGTAAGCCCGATACTGCTATATCACTCCCTACCAAGCCATATAAATTGCTGGAGGACTTTGATGTGTTAACTAGCAGAGTATGGTACATTATCCAGTTGAAAATTGTCAGTGAACGTGGGTTGTAGATTTTATCTCATTTGATCTGGCCATTGCCTGAAAGACTTGTGAGGTTTCAGGTCAGGGGTTGAAACCTTAAATACTTACTTGTAAACCAACAGTTCTTAACTGGCTGCAAAAGCTCGGGGAAAGTGGTCATTACATCTCTGAGTGTGAATATATATATATGCTTCCTTGCATACCTCAGTTTTCAATTTACAAATGAAATCATGGTTTAATGTTGGCACTTGCGTTCTGCTCAGCTTTCTTGAATGAAGCTAATGTTTTGTTTGGTTCATTGTAGCCTGATTTGAAAACGTGTAAACTTGGTCGACAAGAGATAAAGAGTTCGGCATGTAAAGTTCACTTGGGGGGGGGGGGATAATATTCTATTCTTGTTCTGGTAAATAAATAATTTGCTTAACTTTGGATTACCTATGGCCACTGAAATTATTTAGGAATAACATATTAGCACTTACCAATAGTTATGAACACCAGCAATATCAGGATTTACCTCCAAGTTTACCAAAAAAAATTTTTTTGGTTCTATTCAAGATTACGACTAAGGTAGGCAGGTTAGGTTTTGCTGTTGTGACCGTCCTGCTCCCATACCTATTTGGAACATACGCTATTAAAATTATTCACTTTTGGAACTGGCAGGCTGGATGTGGCCTGTGGGTTATATTTTGCCCACCCCTGATCTAAGGTGAAATCCAAGGGAATAAGTAAGGAGGTACCTCATTTCCAATAGATGTTCTTTAAAATTATGATCACATTTGCACTGTCACATTACTCGGTGGTCAACCCATATTTCAGTAACTCCATATTGTCCTTTCATTGACTGTTGTTACTCCATTCTCCATTGTTTAATGTTTCCCCTACTTGTTACAACTTACCAAATAATGTACAAAATATTCCATTCTTACCTTTATCAAATTGCAGTGAGATTCTATTTCACCCGACACCGTGATAAACCTTTGCTTTATTTCTTTATATCGGTTTGCTACCGTCAATGGATCACCATTCGCGGCCATCTCCCTGTTTAATCTGTCCTGAAGACCATCGTACTGGCGTTTTACTTCATGGACACTCCTGGAGAGACATATCTATACAGTATTACAATAGACAATGACACATAGAACATTGACAAAATATTAAGGAATCATCATCCAACCACTTGTGATATCTGCTAAGAATTCATATCTAAGATATCAATAGGACATTACATACTGTAATTCCTAATCTTTGAGTGAGATGGAGTGTGTATTTAACTGTACACCGTCTTCCAGATACATTAACCACTTGTGTATGGGATCCACTCTGTGCCGAGTAAAATCTTATGGAGTTAGTCATATATAATATTAAAAGTGGGATCTCTGTAGTAAAGGAGTTAAAATATTCAAAGAAGCAACATCATTTTAAAGATATACACTCACTGTACTAGCACATTATGTGAGCTTCAAATTCAACATAAACTGGATCTAAAAATGTTGATATACCTACCAAACATATATGGGGGAAACATGAGCAGTGTTTAACCTGTCAAATTCACCTATACAGTATTACCTCTCCATACCAAAATAATTTGTGAGCAGCAAGTTTGGTAAAAGGAGGTTTTAAGTATAAAATTAATCAAAAATTTTCATTCAATTTCAAAAATTTTTTGGTACGTATTAAAAAAGTTCAGTATTTTTAGTCTAGATAAATTGACAGAATATCGGACTTTTTTGTTACATAATGTATAGTTTGGTAACAAGAGATTAACATCATGCAGTATCTGTATGAGTTTATCTTGTGTGAGTTAAAGTAAATAGTTTGTTAATTTCTATAATAAAAATAAATAAAGAAAACTAATGGAATCCAACAAGAAAGCATCGCCACTGTTGTCTGTTTTGATTTCAATCACAATGAAATGCTCACCTCAAAACATAACACACGTCACCAGTCAGCTGTGTCTTGTGAGATGGCTTTGCATGTTGCCACTGTTACATGTAAAAAACTATTTAAGTTGTGCAAAATAATTTCATTACTCTAATGTGATTTAGAAATAAAGAAAATATCATCTAAGACAATAAAATAAGAAAAATGAAGATCATTGTGTTTATTCTTTGGGAAGTGAACACGTGTTAAGTCAGCGGGTGGTTTCAATAGCGCATCTGGCGACTTATCTAATCAGGCCTTATTCAGTTTAAACCAGGAACAGAAACATGTGCATTACACGTTGTGTAAAGCGAGAGGAAGTGAATGTGTAGTGGATATGATGTGGGTGCATTGTGGTAATTACATCACTAGCGACGCAACAGCTTCGGTCATATGTCGCCGAATTAAAATACTGAACAGTGATATCCCCTTTAGCCGGAACAATTGGTGCAAAGCACTTCCAGGGATGAGAGATTTCCGTCTAACCAGACGACTTTCTCAAACCCGGAAAACTTCCTTATCCCTGGAAATTTTTCCGGTAACTGGGAAGCTTCCGAGTGTCTAAACTAGACATCTTGCACAGACAACCACTAGCCCACATCCACAGAATGTTTCTGGGTGCTGGGGATGTTTTCCTTGAGTCTAAACTACCGGAGTACACAAATGCAGTTCTATTTAAGTTAGAGACTCCATTTCTTTACTATAGTAAAATAATCCAGATTAGTTTATCTAAAAGACTGGCTAAATATATTAAAAAAACTAATAATCTATGATACAGGCATGAATGAAACTGTGTTACAACAAAAAAAGCCGTTTTTTTTTCTAAAAAACAGTTTTTGGGATATAGCTTGAATGCGACGTCAGCAAATGCTACCTAGGTATGTTAATTCCTAGCCAATTCGCCAGGCCAACATACAGGCAATTAAAACATCTAATATTTACTTAAGTAATTATTAGGAGGACACGTCGCTACCTGGCATTTAATTGCAATTCTCAAAACCCCCTCCTTCACCCCCCACTATACGCATCACGACCCTCATCTCTTGCCTCCCTGGTTGGGCGGGTTTCTGTATTGTTGATACAGTAAACCCATGCAGTTCCGGACAATTAGGGGGGGGGGAGGGTGCCTGGATGTGGTAAATGTTCGGACGAACTGGGGGACGAATATGCATTAATGATTATCATAAATCTGTACATGGACTTTATTGATACAGGAAATATCAATAATACAGTAGTGCGGTATTACTAATAATATGGGGGACCACCTGTCTGAGAAAAGCCAATTGTTCGTATCTTCTGGCAAATGTATTAAATGAAAAAAAAAAAAAAAAAAAATTATTTTACAGTATATAAGACGCAGCCCCCATTTTAGCGGTGAACATTTTGGAAAAAAAATGGTGTATTTGCTCCTGTAGCCATGGTTTTCTTTAAATAATATACAGTATACACTACAAAAAATACTATACTATACTATACTATATTGCCAAACCAATAAATAATAGCCAAATGAAAGTTTAATACACTCTCGGCTTCACCATAATAACAAAGACCAGCTGGGACGCCGATTCCCTAGCAATGCTCCCCAACCCCCACACTCGGCACTCTCCTCCCATTACGTGTTTGCCCTTAGGACAATATCTTTTATTTTCTTCACAATATGTATGTAGGATGGTGTGTGCATGTAATATTGCGACAAGTGGGTAGTTTTACTAATTAGTAAAATCAACCATATTGCCACTGCCATTCTAAGTAACAGTCTTTCTCATGTGATACAGAGGCAGTTTCCCTATCCTTTTGTGGATAAATCTCGATTTTGTCCATAGTGACACTTTGTCTACTGTCTCCTCCTGTGCCACCTCAGTGGCAGCCCCAACCTACACAAACTTTCCCCCATATTAATCAGATTTTGGTTGTGTTTTTCCGGGTTGGGGATACATGTGTCCGGTGCTGGATCCCAGTCTAGTTTGCAAGGGGATCCAGATTAAGCGAGTCTGGGTCAGGCAAAGTTTACTGCACAGTAATACTTAAAGGTATTTTTGAGGCATCACTAAAATTTGTATCTGGGGAAAAAAAAAAAGGTTTATATTCTTAAAAATACATTACAGTACAAATTGGTTTGAATACATTGAGACCAACTCAGATTTGTTTGTATGTGTAAATTAAAAAACTTATGCTGGATTTTGGACAAGTAAACAAAAATAACATGTAACAAATCCAGAAGTGGAATCTTTCTTATAGGCAGAAAAATAATGTACAGTACCGAGAAGAGTTTGCTGCATCCTGACCTGACTGTGTCTTTCCGTGGCTGAAATTTTCCTGCTTTTTGTAATTCTTCTCTTAGCTTTTCTCTTGTTTTCTCGAGATTCAACTCAGACTCCTTTTTATTTTTCTGAAAATCTCTCTCTTTTTCTTTATATAATTCCACAGTATGGGACAGTTTGTTCAAAATATCCTCATCTTCACTTAACTTCTCCTGAAAACGTAAACATTCCAATGTAAGTTCCAAATTCTAAAAGCATAAAATTAAAGGACAAACTGGTATGTCTCAACCTTTTCAAAATTTTTTATGTCTTTTTACTACTGGTGCAATCTCTTATAAAAGATAACCTTGAGCTAGCAAGATAAAGTTACATTAATACCTAAGCACAATTCTTCTTTCCTTAATTAGAGAGTACAGTTCTTTAAGAGGTCAGTATAATAAGGTTCTAATATACAGTAGAAGTGTTCCTGACATCACTATATCTAAACTTAATTTAAATCCTTCATTGATATCGCTGTCTAAAAAAGTGAAGAGTACCTCTGATTTGGGAGGGGGGGGGGAGGGTGGTCCACAATGAGATACAGTACTTTCCTATGACCAACTAAAAACATGCGCAGTCAGAACCCCATTTAGGAATGGGCATTTAGGGATCGATCAAGGCAATATACAACTACCTTCACTTACACTGGACATACCTTCATGTTTTCAGCTTCCTGAAAAAGTTTTTTTTCACCTTTTTTCAGCTCTTCATATGCTGAAGAAATTTGCATGAAAGAATCCTTACTGCTTGTTACTCCTTCTTTTAATTTTTCTAACTGTAAAAGAAAAAAAGTGGTTGTCATAATAATTGATGCAAAACACTCTGCATGAAAATTCTGACGAGACCATAACATAGATGAAGCATTATGCTGTACACAAAAGTATGAAGCAAACATTGGAAATATTGTTGAAGGAAGATTCATAAGAAACATATTGATATTATTTTTATTTGATTGTAAGCAGCCATCCTCAAACACTTAGGCTGGAAGTCATTTCCGTAGATTTTCTGTAGATGGGAGGAAACATTAAGAGTTGATGAAGATGACATAATTATTACTGGTGACAGTGTAAGTACCTAAGCCATGAAGGCATACTGATTAACTCAAACAGGATGATAAGGCTCAGGGAGACACTGATAGACTAGGTGCTGAATTTATTTTATTTTTTTACAATAGGCACTTGGCAAGAACAGGTTCTAGAAGCTTAGCAGTAGTCAAAGTTTTACTGTACAGTATATTTATTCTTGTCAGCCAAGAACCTTTACCAACTTCATAACACTTTTTTTTTTAAGTTTTGTTTAGTGTAAATTAAGTTAGAGGATAAGTTAGGGGTTATCCTGTCAGCCAGAAACCCAACCCCTTTAACCATAGACCTTTTACTTCACTATCTACAGTGATTAAAAGGAACAAAACCCTAAAAGATAGTGGACATTTCTGTATTTATTATCCTCTGTATACTTGTACATACTGGTAGTATCATGCTGATACAAGGTATAAAACAGCAGGGTGCACTTGGAACATTGTTTTAGTAATCTTAGCAACAATAACTGCAGAACTTCATTTCCACATAATGATTTATCATTTAATTTAGTACATGACTAATCTTATCTTTAGAAAATACTGTACAGCATATTAAAGCCAAAATTTTCATTGTGGACTTCCGGAGTTCTTGAGAATTGAGTGCATCCTGAACTCACCAAAATTTGAAGCTACCAAATGCTAAATACTTTTATCCATGGTTCCATACACACTGAAATTCTTCACTGAACCTAATTTCAAAAGCTTTTTTAAATTTGCAGACATAAAAAATTTTGTTTAATTTTTTTGTATTACTCACACTAGCCTGAGCTTCAATTAGCGCAACTTCTTGTTGTTTTATATCGTCTTCCAACTGAGACACATCCGGGGGTGGCTGTTCTTCCTGGTTCTGCAGGTCAGCTAACTGTAAACGCAACTGATCCATCTTTTTCTGTGGAATAAAACAATACACATAAAATATTATAATTCACATAACTAATCTGGCAATGCTCCCTACTACAAGAGACTAAAACAGAGAAAGCCCTTCACAGTTCCTAACACAGAGTACAATGTGAACTCAGTGATGTCCTCACTAAAGAAAAAATAATAATAAAATAAAAATAAAAAATAAAATGCTAAATAGAGCCTGGATGTTATGGCAATTAAAATCCTTCTAAAGGGCAAGCAAAATAGGAACTAAACTTTTCAAATATAAGCAGCATAAAACGAAAAAAGGCAAACACCATTTATTAATAAAATGCAAAAATTTAATACATATCTAAACCTTTTGATTAACAACAGAGTGGACACCTTTATTTTGTACATTGCGCCTGTCTAATTTTGCCACCATTCGTCTCGTCAACGGAGATCATAATTATTTTGTCACTCACTTCATGAAGTATTTTCTACATACCATCAGAGGTAGGGTTTACATCATTCTTTCTTAATGTAGCCTCACCTGGTACACTTTTCTTTGTGTATTTCTCTAGAAATTCCTTCAGAGATTTATTTTCTACCTTCCACAAAGGAATACCAGCATCAATGAATACCTTGCACAAGTCCATTGAAAACTGAGATTGTTGATTGGAAGCTGCTGTGTATGTTGAAAAAAAGCATGTCTTCTTTTCACCATCTTTTCAAGAATAATTTGTTTTATGCTTAGATATCTCTAAATGCTGAGAAACAAAGTACTTCTTCTCATAGTTCATAAATTTTTCAGAGACTTTGTAAAAGAGCACTTTTCCATCTGTTGACAAAACATCACCAAATTCAATTAACTAAACTACAAAGTTTTTGCTTAAGGGAAGCCTTTGTTTTGGGCATTGTTTATACAGGTGTACCAACTTCTGTCTTTGAAAGAGAACTGATCGCTTCACCCATGTCAGTGTCACCCGCGATTATGACATCTGGCAATCCTTGGATTAGTGACGCTTCACTGAGCATGACAAGAGATACCTCCCACTAACGCGCCAGGCGTAGTGAGCCAGGAATAAGCATATATTGTAATAAAAAAAAAACATATATTGTAAAAAAAAAAGTCTTTCTCCCATACAATCGTACTAATTGCAGGGAAATAATGTTTTAATTTTTTCTTTACAAATAACAGACAAAACACTAAAATAAGGCATTATAGGCATAATTCAATGAAATAGGCAATATTTCACTCGCATGACAAAAAAGGCACAATTGGGCATATATGGAATTTTGCCTGAACATCCAGGCCATACTGATAAACCTTGAGCTCCATACACACATGTAAACAAGAAACATTTGCTGGACTGTAGTTCACCAGATGACCATGAGGCGGCATTCGGGTAGATGACGCCTCAGCTGACAAATGAGATGAGTGATGCGTACCTTCAACTTGGTGAGTTTGCAGGATGACAAATACCGTTAATGCGAATTTGTTTGCACTGCATATAGGGGAATACAGTAAAGCCTCCGATAACAACGGTTCGACCAACAACTTTTCATATTTAAAACCCTAGTTAATTTAGGACCAATTCAAATTACGTCCTTATTTCGTTCGTATTTATGACCAAAATATAATAAAAATAAAATACAATTACATTTTCATATAAATAATAACTAAATCCCAATTTGTATAATAATAAATAAAAAATTACTGTCAAAATAATGAAAAGTGCCTTGCCCAAAGAAGCTGCCTGGCTAATGAGTGGTAAACAACAGTTGGAGCTTGGCGGGGCTTTTGTTTTCACGCGTCTGGAACAAAAACAGGAGAAAAACTTTCTCAGGTTTCTTACAAAATTTTTGCATCCTTATTCAACATGAGCAAGAGCGCAAGTGATGGTAGTGTTGGTTCAAAAGCTAATAGAAAGTGTATAAGCTTAGCCGAGAAACTAGATGTGTTAAAACGATATGAAAAAGGTGAGAGGTCTGTGGATATTATATGGAGCAAGCAATGAACATATTTTCTGAAGTGGCTCCATTAACAGAACAAAGCATTAAAATTTGAATAAACGCAAATGACCTCTACATAAAGATGTATAATGAGAAAAGAAAGCAGCTGTGCAAGGTTCTTTCGACAGCTTTATTATTCGAAGGCCTAAACCATCAACTTCAGCTTCACCATCAAATTCAGCATCATAAGCAACATCAACTTCAGGTTCAGTAACAGTTTCAGCAACAGTTTTATGGAAAGCTACAGCTTCAGCCAGAGTTGAACCTGATGACCTCGTCATCTGAGTAAAAACTTGCACAATATTCATTGGCTGTCCTTATGTTTTAGACTTTACCACCACTGGTGAGTAGAATTTTTGTTTTAAATTCGTAAATGTTACTTAAAACATATATGAACAGTAAGTAAGTGTTGCTTTCATATGTAGAGAAATGACGATATGTTTTCACATATACGCACTAACTGTTCATACATTGGCGTTCCCAATCGTCTCGCCTTATTTCTTTACCATTAGTGGTTAGCTACTTCTAGTGTTCCATTTATTAACATTAAATAACATTACTTAAAACATACATACAGGTATTCATTTTTTTTAAATTAAGTTCACTACAGCTACAACCAGGGTTTTATTTTCTTTAGTTTCTTATGTAGAACCATCGTCACTCACGAAAACAATGCCGTCTTGTCTCCTCTTGTGTGTTTTAATATTCTACGTATTATTAATGAATTGCATTGTTCATTTCACATATATAAACATTAATTCAATCAAATACATATTCAGTAATAAACAATAACGAATCTTTTGTACATATTCTTAAGATAAATGAATGTTTCCTTGAGTGCACACGCACTGTATACATTGGCGTTCCACTATCAGTATCACTTTTCCTTTAATATCAGTGGTTACTTCTACTGTACATTAAATAACATTAATTATAACATACAGATTTTTTACAATAATTTTACTATGGATAACTGACATTATGGGTGTAAACACTGATAACAATGCTGTCTCTTATCCTCTTGTGTGTTTTAATATTCTATGTACTGTAATCTTAATATACCAGCATCATTAACGTGAATTTTCATAGATTAGGAGAACGTAAATAGAGGTTTACCCGTATAAAGTGAAAAGCACCCATACTAAATCAATCAGTAAACAAAGCAACATGTCAAGCATCAATGTTGCCAGACCATGGAATGAGTAAAATTATATGAAGTTGCTTTAAAATATTCTGGTCCAAGACTGCCATGTGCACCTCACATCTCATTGAGTAACTCAAGAGGCTTCGTATTCATGACTCAATACTCATAACCCCTATGCCTCGGATGACATTTTGGAACATCTGTCCGGCATACCCAGGTTGAAGTTCCAGAACGCGCGCCTTTTTGCGGCATTGTTTGAATGCCCAATGCGGGCTATCAGGTTCCGGTGTGACTATTTGCGTGTCACATCACATGCTTGGCCACAGGGAAGCTTCCTGAATGTAAGTTCCTACTTTTGTTCGTTTAATTTTCATTGTTTGTCCATTTTATCCCGTTGTATCAAAGTAATATTGCTAAAAGTAGTGTAGTTGTATTGTAGTGTAGTATTACTGTAAAATAATGCTATGACTGTTATTCCTGTACAGGTAAATGTATTTATTTGTAGAATTATTATTCCAATAATTATTTTATGCATTTCTTGCTCAACCAAACACAAAGACAGCCAGACAGCCTGGCGACCAACTGCGTGTGTGTTGCCGAGCACGTTTTTATGAAAAATAATGCAAATTAAATATTCTAAATGAATTATTTATAAGAAATAATTATTATGTTCAGTAAATGTATGCATTACTGGCCATCCTGGACACAAAGGCAAGCAAAAAAAAAGCCACTAAGTGCGCAGTGACCACAAGTGCTAGCCACCAAAACAACACTGTCCCCTTATCTCCCTAGCCACTGCAGTCACAGGGAAGTTTCTAGAGCAGGGGTGTCAAACTCATTTGCCAAGGCGGGCCAGATTTAATATGAGTACACAGTATACGGGGCAAGTAACATAATTATGAGCACTTCGCAATCACCTCTTAGGTGAGTAGTACGACAAAATAAGAAAGATGGATTTAGTCTGCGCTCGTGCGAAACCCTTAAAAACTAACAAATCAAGTGTTTACTTACCTTGATCAATCTTATTGTTTGCTACTGCTGCTTCCTAATAATTGGCACCTCTTGGTATGGACCAGTGCATCAAAGTTTGGCACTAACAACTGAGCTGTAGCAACCTTCAGTATTGAATTAAGGTGTGCATCAGTAAGTTGAGACAGAAGTCCGAGACTTGTTCAAGTTCATCACAGAAAAGAGTTGTTCACAGACATTATGTACTTCCAAACATTGACATAATCTTTGAGGCAAAACATTTAATCCTGGGATAATTTGGTCCAAAATACTGATAAAATGTGCCAGCATCGACACTAGAAACCTTGTTCCTCAACACAGAATCACATTGGAGCTCATTGGTGATGTTGATTGAGTATATTGTTCTAGGAAACAGCGGACTATTTTATTCAGCTGAGGGATACACTCACTATTTAGTTTTAGCTCCTCAAGGTAAGGCTGAAGCAGCAAATGGGCCGCGGGCCGCATGCAAGAGTGTGTCGGGCTGCATGTTTGACACCCCTTTTCTAGAGGGTTAATATATAGTTTTTCTTACCTCTTTTTTATTGTTGTATCATTTAAAAAGGTTAAAAATTATTTTTGGAAAATTTAATTTTTCTTGATTTACCCAGTGTGAGAGATACGGCCAGCGACACCCTAGCCCGGGGCGTAGGGGTTAATGGTTCACACCTCACAGAAACGGTGGATTGACAATGCTGAGTGTATTAATTGGAAATGTCCCCAACTGTACACCCATCCATATTGTAGTGGCTGCTGAGAGAGGTAACAATAGGAGTTATGGAGAGGAAAGCAAGTATAAAACTTTTTGTGAAATAAATTTTTAACTGGAAAGTGAAAAGTAACATAAAAATGGTAAAGCCAGTCTAAATTCATGGTATAAAAAAAAAAAAAAAAAAAATTATATAAAATTGAAAGGCATAGTGTAATTGATGTTTTAAATACTTGACTTGACTTGACTTCTAACACAAGGTATTGTATAAGGTCAAGTATTTTCAAAGAAAGAGCACGTTTGTGTTAAGAGAAGGGTTCAATGTATACTGTATAATATCTACACAAACATACAGTAGTTTCTGCCCCATTTCTAGAGTTATTCCTTTAGATTGTTAATCAATTGTGACAAGGGTAAGAATCTGATTATTTTCAAGCATTCAATATTATCCAGGAATTCATTAATGATTAAAAATTTTCACCATTAATCATTCATGATTAGAGACAAACTCAACCAATTGGTATGTCCACCCATCAGGCCCAACAGGATTAAGATCAATTATGATACAGTACAGCAGTAGTTAATATTACTTAATAACAATAATAATAATCAAAGTGCCCCTAAGCATAACTGAGTAAACATTAACGAACCTTACTACACGTCAGCTTTCTCGACGATGCCTGGACTTCTTCTTCTAGTTTGTGTAAATTAGCTCGTGATTTCTGCATTTCCAGGTTATGAGTTCTCATTTCTTCTTTGGAATTTTCTAAATTTGCCACTAATGCCCTGCAGGATAAAAATTTCATACAGAAGATGAAAAATTATTCTAGTGGGGAGAGTTTAAATATCATAAGTAAAATTATATACAATATGTATGACACAGTCCCTCTCACTTAAGCTGCTGTGTCTACACACACACACACACACACACACATTTACAATACAGGTAAAAGAAATTACTGTCTCTAGAACGAATGGCTCCCTGTCCCAGCCACAAAAATGCCGGCAACTTTAAAACTACCCATAGACATTCTTGGGTACGTCCAGGGTGTCATCCACGAATAATAGAGGATCGCGAAATAAAAATCCGCGAACTTGGGGGCCCCTGCATTTATAAGTGCCATTCATTAATGGGTGGGTTGGCTCAAGCGAGAGCAAAACCCAAGCGTAAGGGCAGTTCAGAAGTCAGACGCAAATAAACGGGGTCATGTACTCTGCAACCCTAGCGTACTTCACTACCGTTGCTGAATAGTGGCAGCAAAGAACTGGTGGTGATGCATCTCACTAAATATTATTTTGGTGTTTTGGACTTGTGGTAAATTTTAACAGCTGTTTATAATAAAAAATATAAATACAGTATACAGTATTTATAATATGAATAAAGATTACAGTAGTACCCCAATTTACGCGGTCAATTGAACCCACAGGGTACCGCGTAAAGTGAACAACAGAACATATGGGATTAATTCCAATAGAGACTGGCCCGACCCCCAAACTCCACTTTTTGACGACACACAACTATGTTGTAGTAAAAATATTATCTTAACTTTATGATGGTATGCACACAATTAATAATTAAGAGAAATATCAATAATATTAGTTTTTTTTAACATTTACATCAGTAGAAAAGATGGCTGGGCACACGGGGATGGGGGGTTGGTTCCGAGGCAGAGGGCAGATTATTGGCCCTCACCTGTATCACTTGTATCACTATCCACCACAGAGGCTTGCAGGGCCTCTTTGTCAAACCCCTCAAAGTCCATATACTCACTATAATTATCACTATCACTGATTTGGGCCAGCTGTGGTGGGTGGCGGGTGAAGAACTCGGTAATGTTTTGATGACTGGGCGACCTTGTGCGCATCCTGCCCGCGCCGCTTCCCGCGTATATGAGTAGATGCACCGCAGAAAGTGAAAATTCGGTTCTGGCGAGGCACCGCACAAATGAGAAATCGCGGAAAGTGAAACTGCGTAAAGTGGGGTAATACTGTATACTAAAAAGTTAAACAGAATTTACAACAGAAATTTTTGCTTTAAGAAAATGCATTCATACCTCACTTTTTCTTCCAAAGAAACTTGCAAAAACCTTGCAGGTTGCTGACCTCTTCCTGAGTACAAACGGTAGTTGGGGTCTGGGTAATAGATGTCTCGATTCAGTGTGTAGGCAACTTTACAATTCCGAGGCACTCTGAAATAAATGCACAAAGCTGTATTGTATAAAATACCCTCAGACTTCCAGATGTTACATATAAATTGTGGTTAGAAAAAGCATTGACAGTCCTCAGGTACTGAGAGATGTGAGGTATCTGATGCTGCTCCAACCTCCCTGGTAATAACCAGGCACATTCACGATAGCTGGTGGATGACTTTTAACTAATTCATCTACAGCATGCCCACATAAAGTCTTTGAAACATCCACAAAAATCATTATACTGTACTGCACCTATTCCAAATGAAATTAAAATTAATCTGTTGAACATTTATGAATTGTTAACTACGGAGTTACAAATTTAGAGAGATCAGAGTACAGGTATATTATGGAAGAGCTATTAGTACTGATGCAAAATGTTCATTATATTTGAATAGGATACATCTGAACCTTAATATATACAAGTTTGATTGCAGTGAAGATGTTTCAATGGTTTCACAACCCTATGGTTGAAAACCCCAGCTCTAAATGAACCTATCCTATATTGTTTGCAACTTGATCTTACCAAGAGTGTTTCATCTATTCCTCACCAAAGTAATAATTATTTACAATTATATTTCTTACAAAGCAATAAAACAATTGGCTCTCTTACGTTGTCTTATTTTTTAGAATCTGCCCAGCCTCTTGTGCTGTAGGTATCAGTAAGGTGGACTCCACTTGACACTGATCAATTAAAGTATTCGCAACAACATCACTGCTAATCATCAGCATGGACCACAAGGAGGGGTACTTGTCAGACTGAACTTCGTACTTCGACACATCATGTACCTAAAAAAAAATGGTCAAAAATTAATGTTGCAGTGCTTAAGAAAATATAACAAGTTTTGAATTATCTTATTTGATATGGAATGAATTTGCATAAGATATACAAAAATTACATTTAAACCCATACATCCACAATTAATGACGAGTGTTTCTCTTCAATTTTACCAATTTTTCATAAAAAGATGATGGTCAATACTTATGGATATTTTTCATATTAGTCATGACAGTACAAATTTGGTCTCGGCATTCAACTTGACCCATTTTTTGTGACCATAATTTTTTTTCAATAAGAAGATATTGTACTTTGAAACAATATAAAAAATTATATTTCAGTTTTGAACTAGGAAGTAGGGTAGGGATGCACCAATTATTTAATATTGGTAAGCTAGTAAATTACTGTACAGTAATGTCTCTGTTAGCCGGAAACCCTCAAACCCAGAACTCTCCGAAAGCTGGAATTTAAATTTTCCGGAAAATTCCAAATTAACGATTTTCCTGATACCCAGAAAATTCTGGGGATGGGGGAATTTTTTTCTGGGTTTGAGTGATGACAATCAGGCACATTTTCCAGAAATTCCGTGAAAATTTTTCCGGTACCCAGAAAATTACGAGGATGGAGGATACTTTTCCGGGTTTGAGGGATGGTGTAATGGGCAATTTATGGAACTTCCGAGAACATTTTTCCATTACTTGGAAAATTCTGGGGATGAGGGATTTTTTCTGGCTTTGAGAGAGTGTCTCGTTACTCGGAAATCTCTCATTCCCGGAAGTGCTCTGCAACAATTGTTCCGGCTAACGGGAATATCACTTGTATATATGTATTTTGCCCATTAATCGGTATCATTAAATTAAGTGTTGGCCAATCCTGAAACCCTTTTGCTGTCTATCTTGGGATAAAAATAATTTGTACCTTACTGATTCAACTTTTTTTTTTCTCATCTAAGTATTCATATACAGTGGTCCCTCGATTAACGAACACAATTGGTTCCAGAGTTGGTTGTTAACCGAAAAATTTGTTAACTGAATCTATTATTTCAATGGGATATTGGGTAATTGGTTCCAACTCACAGAAAAAAGTATACATACAAAGTAATGTACAGTATACCAGTACTAGAATTAACAAAACTATGAAATTTAAACTAAATACAGTACTGTACTGTACTGTACAGTATACTCTGTACTGTACAATAATTAATAAAAAACAATAGAATACTCTATTTCAACTTACTTTGAGGTGTGTATGTCGTATTCCCGGCAGCTTTGTTTACATATCAAACAGCTGATTGTAGAGGCAGTCGATGATGACATGCCATATTCTTTACAGAGTGCATTGGTTCTAATGCCTTCTTCATGTTTCATAATAATTTCTGCACTGTATACTATCAGTATGTTAGCTAAATTTCAGAATGACCAATAATTTTAATGTAAAAATGCAAAAATATTCAAGAGACCAACAAACTCGATGTTCACTCCACTGTAAACAAAGTTAAACTGAGAAGCGTTGGTGGGTGATTCGATCAGCTGAAGGGCGCACAAAAACTGTTCCCTGTATTGTACTGTATATACAGATATTATCAATATGTTAACTAAATTTCAGAATGACCAATAATTTTAATACAAAAAATGCAAAAATATTCAAGAGCATAACTTTCGTGATATTTACTCCTCTGGAAACAAATGTAAGCATAGAACCAATTACCCTGTACTGTATTAACGGACTAGTCGATCAGCTGATGAGCACAACAAGCGTGTTTCTCGTAAGGCTGTCATTAAGCAAAGTTTTGATCTTCAATGGAACTGAAATCCTTATGGGAGCTAATTCGTTAACCGAAATTTTTTTAATTGAACCGTTCGTTGATCGAGGAACCACTGTACTGTACAAGACTCTTTAAGTATCAACTACCTGTCCTCATCCCTACAGGGTTTGTATAGTAATGAACATAACTAAATGCTCGGTATTAGTTTTTGTGGAAAAGGAAAATCTTTTTTCCTAGGGTTTTGAATCTCTGGACCCAATGTGCCACAATTATTAACTTATGTATACGAGTTGCCTTCAATCTTATTCTCTCATTCTGAAGAAACTACATAGTGTATGTAAATGTAACTCACCTGCTCCCTGAACCTTGATACAATCACAATAGGCTGAGGCTGTTGACCAAAGTTGATCTTTTTCATTAACTGCCTCAAGACCTTTTCGTCACTGCGATTGTCCACACAGAAACCACTGATCCTATTTCCCAGCACCATCTCAGCTATGTGTCCCCACTGCTTGTCACAAACCTTTATGAATGCACCTAATAATAACAATTATGATAATGATAATAATGATGATAATAATAATAATAATAATAATAATAATAATAATAATAATAATAATTATAATCATAATAATAATAATTAGTACAGTACAACCTCGATAAATTGGACTACTCTATACCAGTAATTGGGGCAGACCCCAGTCCAAAAAATGCAAAAGTTCGAGAAAAGTGAATATAGAGGGAGAAATGGAGATAACACTGCTTATCTGAACTGTTTAAAGAAAATAAGTTGTTATTACTGCACTTCAAAAACTAAGGTCTTTAAGTGTATAACAAGGTTATTAAAAGAATATTAAATCAACAATTTAAAAAAAAAATATATATATATATATATATATATATATATATATATATATATATATATATATATATATATATATATATATATATATATATATATATATATATATATATATATATATATATATATATATATATATATATATATGCTGATAACCACAAGGAAAGAAGAAAACACGAAGTTCCCAAGCGCTTTCGTGTAATTCACATCTTCAGGGGTGAGTACAGACTAGAGAGAGAAATACAAATCAAGGTGTATATATACAGAGGAGGGTGAGACCAGGTCCACAATGGTCAGGTATTAGGTAATGACCCTACTAATCTTTAAATAGCACACAAAGGTTGGTGGTCAGGTCAGATGGTCAGGTGACCCGGCCTTCTCACCTGGTCACAAATCTTCTTAATTACAAAATTGTCCAGCTTGTACATGCCGTTACTCAAATTTATGTTGAATGCTTCGGTATGTTTAATAAGACTAGATTCTATGATGTTCCTACTACAGGTTGTACCTCTCTAGTCCGGCAACCTCGGAACCTGACCGGTGCCAGACCATGGAAATTCACCCTTTTCCTGGATAGATAGTGACTTTGTTATGCCTGGAAGCACTAGCACCACTTTCTCTGCGTCATGGTCTCTTTGAAGACATATTGAAGGGTTAAATGTCGTATAGTAGCTTCTCAAATTTCGCGAGTTTTTAATTCTTAACGTATTTTATTGGAACACACAAAAAATAAATAAATAAAAATTTTGACGGCGGAAACTTGAATTTCGACGGGTTTGAACGGCCCGCCGACGTGCATAATCGTGTAAACAGCGTCATTTCTCTTATGTACAAAAGATTCATTATTGTTTATTACTGAATGTCTTTTTTATTGAATTAATGTTTATGTGCAAAATGAGCAATACAATTCATTAATAATACGTAGAATATTAAAACACACGAGGAAATGACAGCATTGTTTTCGTTGATTACAAAACCAGTGACTGACTGGTTCTACATATAAAACTGAAGAAAATAAGACCTTGGTTGTAGCTGTAGTAAAATTAATATGGTTGTTTTAAGTAATGTTATTTAATGTTAATAAATGGAACAATAGAAGTAGCTAACGATAATGGTAAAGAAAAAGAGAGATCACATATGTGCGCATGCGCACATGTGAAAACATATCGTCATTACTTTACATAAGAATATGAAAGCAACACTTATTTACTGTTCATATATATTTTAATTAATGTTTCTGAATTTGTTTTTATTGAATTAATGTGTGTGTGGGCAAAATTAACAATACAATTCTTAATAATACGTGGAATATTAGAGGAGACGAGACGGCTGCCGGCATTGTTTATGTTAAAGCTTACGAAACCAGTGACTGATTGGTTCTACATATAAAACTGAAGAAAATAAGACCCTGAGTTTAGCTGTAGTAAAATTAATGTAAAAAAATTAATATGGTTGTTTGAAGTACCTGTAATGTTATTTAATGTTAATAAATGGAACAATATAAGTAGCTAACCATTAATGGTAAAAGAAAAGTGAGACTGCTCGTATGTAAGTGCGCACATGTGAAAACATATCGTCATTACTCTACATAAGAATATGAAAGCAACACTTATTTACTGCTCATATATATTGAAGGGTTAAATGTTGTACTCTGTATAGACAAGCAGAGAGAGAGAGAGAGAGCAGCCGAACTGCCGGATGTAAACAAACCTTAATTTCCCGCGGCTTTGTTTTTTTTTTTAAGGGGATTAGCCCACCCGGGCATAGGTCACTGACCCACATTGGGGCCTGAGGGGCAAAAATTTAATACTCCTGTAATAATAATTCAGATAAGTAAAAAAAAAATAAAAAATAAAATAAATAAATAAATAAATAAAAATAAAATAAAATAAAATGCTGCCTATCTACCTATTGGACAAACCAAAATCGTTCCGGACCACGGGAGTTTCCGGACCACAGAATGCCGGACTAGAGAGGTACAACCTGTATCAATTGAATTACATGGTAATATTGAGGAGGCATTATCCCAGTCAATGTAATGCTTGTTATCCCTCAAATGAACAAACAGAGCATTGGATTCCTGGCCTGTCCTAACATATACCTAGATCACACGCACCTACAGTGATTTACTTGCATGCATGCATGCATATATATATATATATATATATATATATATATATATATATATATATATATATATATATATATATATATATATATATATATATATATATATATATATATATATATATATATATATATATATATATATATATATATATATATATATATATATATATATATATATATATATATATATATATATATATATACAGTATATAGATATGAAAACTCTCTGGGTTGAAAAACAGACATGTACGTCTGGTTGTCTCCGAGATGATTGTTATTTACTGTTAAGTGTTATAAAGCAAGTAAGTAACCAAAGTATTTCTTATGAATAAAGAGAAGACTGTATACTGTACGATACTGTAAAGATAAAAATAAGAACAATTAAGTAGAGCAGTATATTATATGTGGAAGACAAATGTTTATCCATGAGCAGCTGGCAGTGGGGGAAGTACAAGTGGGTACTCTCTCCAACAAGATTCCTTTTAACACTTCTTTATGCAATTCCACCATAATTCTCATATAATTTAGGAACATTTGGTGCCAGGTTAATAAAATATTATCCTAAAAAAGAATCCCACACTGAACACCACGAGTCATTTGTTTACAAAAAGCAAACAGCTGATCGGCTTACCACAATGTCTGTCTTCAACACTTAATAAAATAGTACAGTACATTTGTGTATTTATCATCACTTAATAAATACTATTGCAACGTATTTATCATCATTTAATAAATACGACTGCAGTGTATTTATCATCACTTAATAAGTAATATTGTAGTGTAAAGTATTATGCATCTGTATATACCCTGGTTTATTCATTAATCATTTGTCTAAATACAAGTAGCCAAACTGAGCCATCATATAACACTCAAAGGTAGTAAATAACATTTTTAAGAAGGTATCTTCATATCGAATACTATAGTGTGTTATACTGACCCCTACTGCAAGCTCACACGAAAGCATCTGAGTAAACAACCTTCTGATACAGCTTATCCTTTTATTTTCAAGTCACATTATTATTCTCTATTACTGAAGATGTTATATTAATCATGATGAACCATAAGAGACCAATCATATGAGAATATAATACAGAGTCAATATATAAATAAACCTGACGAATGTGGCAACATCTGATTAGTCCCAGTCTGCTTACAGTGTCTTAGTTCTCAGTAGGCCTATAGCAAATCTGATTAAACCACTGTACTGTGTTCAGTAAGTGTGGTTCATTTCATCAGATTTTTTTTATTTAATCTCTCATTTTTTTCTTCTGCATTTTTGGTGACCAGAGCATCTCAGAGTCAGAAAAAAATTAATTCCAATTTGTTGAAGTCCAATTTATCGAGGTTTTACTGTATATATACAGAGTTGTAAAGTAACTAAATAAATTTACTTGAGTACTGTACTCAAGTAACATTTTTGGGGTACTGTATTTACTTTTTAAAAAGTTCTCACATTTTTTAAAGTAATATCTCCATTAGCCGGAATCCCTCAAACTCGGAACTCTCCAATAGCCGGAACTGAAATTTTCTCAGAAAATTGTTCCCAAAGCCGGAATTTCTCTGAAAATCGTTCCCAAAACTGGAATTTTCCAGAAAATTCTGGCTTTGGGAACGATTTTCCGAGGGGCCCATTTTCTGGAAAATTCCAAGAAAATTTCCCCAGTATCCGGAAAATTCTGAGGATGGGGAGTTTTTTCTGGGTTTGAGATGAAAATCAGGCAAATTTTCCGGAGATTCCGAGATAACATTTCCAGGGATGAGGGATATTTTTCCGGGTTTGAGAGATGAAATAATCCACCATTCTGGAGCGTCTGTGAAAATTTTTCCGTTACCAAGAAAACTCCAGGGATGAGGGATTTTTATTACGGTTTTGTTATCCAGAAATCTTTCATTCCCAGAAGTGCTCTGCACCAATTGTTCCGGCTAACGGAGATATCACTTTTTACTTTTATTTAAGTATGGTTTTCTAATACGTTTACTCCAATACAATTGAAAAAACAAAAATCATTACTTGTCACATGCCCCAAACAAAGAGTTTAATGTCTGTTGCAAACTAATAATATATTTCTTATTTAATTAATTTAATTATTAACAATAGTAAAATAAGCAGTTGCGCGGGTGGTGTGAAAGGTACGGTGTGGAGAGACACCTCGCAGTCACATACCCAGAGGTCTCGTGAAGTGAAGTGACATCAGATCAGGTGGTAGTGGCCATGACAGCGGACTTTCCCTTTGATTTTCTTGTGTCCATTAGCACCCACCTCACCTAGCCTACCCCTTTATCCCTCCTCCTCCATCGAATCCCCTCTCTTCTCCCCAACCTTTCCTTCAGGGGCTTCGTTTGCCCCATTAGACATCAGTTGCTCTTTGCATATACAGAGGGCCCCACGAGTTTGCGGATTATCATTTCGCAGTCCTCTATTATTCATGGATGACACCCTGGATGTACCCAAGAATGTCTGTGGATAGTTTTAAAGTTGCCGGCATTTTCGCGGCTGGGACAGGGAGCCATTCGTTCCAGAGACAGTAATTTCCTTTACCTGTACGTATTGTAAATGTGTGTGTAGACACACACACCTAAAAAACATATACAAATAAATAATAATTGGAAAATCCTCACAAATAATCAGAAACAAAATACTTTATCTTTGTCTTCATTCCAAAAATTTTTAGAAAATGCTCTCAATTTTCAACCTTAGAAAAAATGTTCCCAAAGCCGTAAATTTGGGGAAAATTCCGGCTTTGGGAATGATTTCCAGAGCAAATTTCATTTCCGGCTATTGGAGATTTCCGGGTTTGAGGGATTCTGGCTAACAGAGATATTACTGTAAATTTCAAGTTTAACCCCATTCATATCAGTGAACGTTCGTAAGTCGGGAACCACCTGTATTAAAGATTATTTGCAAGTAACAGTGAAAAGAAATAAATGAAGAAAATTAAGTACGTACTCCCCACTCTGTGATAACTCCCAAGAACAAAAGAAATGTTTATTTCCTTTATGTTTTTTTGCCTTATAATAATTTTTTGACACATTCTGTATGAAAGATTGTGTGTACATGTAAAAAAAATAATAAATAAATAAATAAATAAAAATACATACAGTATGTCCACCCAAAATTATGAGGTGAAGAATAACCCCCGAGTGCTAATGAGGCTCTTCAGGATCTCAGGAACAGGACCTATTTTTTCCCATAAGTTATTAATATCGATATATGATCAATCACCTTACAATGGCTTTTCTAAGTCCTTAACCCCATCATTTAATGGTCAACACCTGTATTATTAGTAGTAGTATTATCATTATTACAGTACTGTACTGTATTTTATTTCAATATTTGTGGAGGAGTTCGGTATAGAGCAAATTCGTTTGGTATAGAGATGTAATACTGTACATTAATAGACAGAGAAACAGATATAAATAAAAACTATATAATTACACATATGACATACCTATTGGTCCAACTGGTTTCTTTTTAAATGCTCTCTTCTTATGAGCAATGTTTATCTCATGAAGTAACTGCGGCACCCACTGCCCATATACAGTAAACTGGTTGCTCTGCTGACCCTTCAAACCTTGTAGCTCCTGCTCTATTGCATCTAAAATTATAACATTTGGTTATCTTTAATAAGTACATTGATGAAATTTTACTGGTTTATTTTTGTTTCCCCCAAAAGTGGGGTACATAATGACTTTTTACCTTATTATGCTGAACAGCAATTGCTATTTCTAGCCTCCCTTGCTATGGTTATTACTTGCAATGGGGAGTTTACTTATTCATTTGATTAATACCCAGCCACTAAGGCCAAAGGGTATCCTTGATCTCCAACCCACAGATTTATTAATCACTGAGTTGAGGGTGTCAGGTTTTATCATTACAAGAACACACACACAAACAAAAAAATTCCCCAAAGTATGTGACAAAAGCAGCATCTAGTAAGGGTAATCTTAAAGGTATGTGAATAGCATTGCTCACTTGTGTTAATCCCACAATAAAGGATACTAAGACTTGTAAGGGGGTAATGCACTACGTACTTGGAGTACCCAAAAAGATAACTTCCTACCATCAACTTTTGCACACTACATATAATTCAAAGCAAAATGACATTTACCCCCTGAAAAGAAAGCAGCTATCACTGGATCACCAGCTTCTCCATTATGACATCTTGTCTTAAAGTCTTGTGTAGAGCCTACAATCTTATTTCAGACATGTCTATTATTGGAGTGAATTATTCCACTCAATATTACTACCTGTATTAATCATAACTCTATATCCCATCAATTAAAATATAGCCACATAATGCAATATAAATGCAAAACACACATGGGTACATTATTGGCAACAAACATACATTGCTGTCACAGTTATTCAATTTGAAAAGCATGTTAAAAGCATGCAAACAGTTGGCACTCACAGCAACGCCTTCTGATGGCTTTTTCTTCCATTACAAATTGTGTCAGCTCTGCTTTTTTAACACCTACAGTATTCATTAAATTGACATGATGGGTCTCTTCTGTTCTCATATTCTGCTCTAGTTCTTTCATTTCATTTTGAATTCCATCCATCTTTTCCTGCCATAATGCACGATGTGAAGCCCACTGAGTTTGAGTACTGAAAAATATATTGAAACTGCATAGTGATTAATTAAATTCCTATAACATGTGTTTTAATCTTTAAAAGAACACACTGAATACTTATTTGTCAATTTCTAATATTCTAAATGTTACTGAGATGTAATCATATAAAAAAAAGTTTCCACCTTAAGTTTATTACAATTTCAAACTTTGCTCCAGTGTACAATTGGCAGACCATTTGATGCCTTTGTTGTGAATATGTAGAGCAAGCTTAGTTGTAATGATTAATCCTGGAAATTTAGCACTGATGGGGACAATCCTTAAAATACAGTAAATTGGAAGGACACTGGTGTCGGGAGGATGAGGATGGAACATGGGTGTAGTTCCATACATACCTCCTTTCTTAACAAAACACACAACATAGGCCACTGAGTGACTGTACAGGGACACTCCAAGAAGGCTTTGTCAGCACCTCAACATGTTCCAATAATATGAAATTACAAACAAATTTCATAACTTTGGAGTTTATTTTCACATGCTGAAGTACAGTATAAAAATGACAAATAAGAAGGAACTGATGCCCTGGGTTGGTAAAACAATATATAGTACCTGCACACAGCACA